TTGCATACAAACAGATATCTATCTTTTCTCTCTCACAGGAGACAGCATTCTGCAGTAGACTTTATCACCAAGGATTTTGGATTGTAATCCTAGATTGTTACTGAAAACCCATATTTTTCAGTTGTTTTTGCAATCATTTAAAATGTGCTTATTCACAAATATTGGTACAGGTTGAATATCCTTTATCTGAAATGTTTGATACTACAAGTGTTTTAGATGACATGTTGGGAGTGTAGTGTGATCCCTGTTATCTACAGGACACTAGATAATTGTGAACTCTGTATTTTAATTATTCTTGGTGTGGAGGGGGATGATACATCTTGGAGTATGAGTAAATGAAACTGGATTAGGTGGTTGTATTGTATTTGCATATACATAATGAGAATACCGGCCATATGACCTTGGGGGTGTCTATGGACAACACCGGCTCTTCAGCTTAGAAATGGAGATGAGCACCAACCCCCAGAGTCAGACACGACTGGACTTAATGTCAGGGGAAAACCTAATCTAACTAATGAGAGATCTTACAGATGGGACCTATCTAAACAGAACATTCAGTTATGTTTCATTTGCACCTTATAGGCATAGTCTGACGGTAATTTTATGTACCATATTTTTTATCATTTTTGTACATGAAACAAAGTTTGTGTACATTGAACAATGTATCACTATCTCAGCAACCCATGAAAACAACCTTTGGAGTTTTTTTGGATTTCACTTGTCTCCTGTGCTATTCTAATAATATAATATATTGTATATACATATAATATTTGTAATATTATAATGTAATATAACATAATACTAATAATATGATATTATAATTATATATTTTATATTACATGTAATATTACTAATAATATTACAATTTAATGGTATAGTACAATATAGTTCTCACCTTCGGGGTGAGAAGGGTGGCATATAAATGTTGTAAATAAATAAATAAATAAGGACGTACATTGTAAAATAGCTTTTAATAAACTTTCCCATTTTAAAATTTATGAATTTCCTTTTCAATATAGTTACGTATTTGGAAAGTGTTTTCACAGTCAGTGGATTAGATATCCATTGGAAAGAAGTATTTTCCTTTCTATTTCTTCCATTTTGTTAAGAAAAACATTACAATGTGTGACAGTTTGATCACATGAATTTTGTTTTGGCATGTTTGCTTTCTCACAAAACAAGTTTAAAACATCTTGCTAATTTTTTGCTATTAATTTTTCTTTTGCTTTTTGGCTTATGAATTCAGAGCTCCTTTACATGCCATAAATACCTGTGGCAGTTTTGCTTACTGCATGTGTTGCTACCTGGCTTAGCAGGAGGATTCATAGCCACTGTAGATGCTGTCTCAAGAAACCTAGTCACCATTTGAACAGCTTAGGGTGTATTTTTGGAAAAAATGTAATGTTTTTGAGATGTTGCTTATTCGTTTAACAATAAAAAGAAGTACAACAAAATTGGTGATATACGTGTGATGTGTGAAGTCACTGCAGCTCCATTTTGATGTTGGAAGCTTGGAAAATGGAACAGGGTGCATTTTAGAGCATAGAAAATACCTCTGTTAGGATTTCAAATGAGTTCTGATTTTCTATTGTAATGCACGTTACGTATTCCTATTTTAATAACTTGCTGCTCCTGGTCACTCATTGAAGAGTTTCCTTGCCAAACTGAATAGCCGAAAAAGAAATTCCAAATTAGGCATGGTCAACATTCTGATAACACCCCCCCCCCCCCCCCCCCCGCACCACAAAATGACTGTACATACTTTATGTGTCTGTATTACTAGAGGATTCATTCTGAAAGCATTTACTCATGTATGTTGTCAAGAGCCACAAACATCTAGTCTGAGTGTACCAAATGGAATGCATAAAGTTCCATGAAAAAATGACTTCAGCTATTAGTTCGCAACAGAAGCGGCCATAATGCTGCTTCTGTTCAATTTAAAGATCTGCATGTGGAATTGGTAGTGGTGGCCAGGGGCACCTTGCCCCCCAAAGTGGCATCGGTGCTTTCCCCTCCACACAGTGGTCTTTGTCAAATCCACAGGTCATTTCAAAATTCATAATTTTAATTCCAAAACCTGCCCCAACTTCACGTATTAGGTCAACTTATACATGAGTCAGCACTTTTTTTTTGGATGTCTACAAAATACTGTACCCATTGTATGAATTCTTGAAGTTGGGAAGGAATGTTACCTTCTTCAACAAACAGCACCTTGTTTGGGAATGATGAAGTAGAAATCATTTTGTTAAAAGAAGACTTGGGTGAGTTGAGTATGCATATGATAAAGTAGGTTAGGTGTTTCTCAGATACTTCCTTTGGTACAGCTATAGTTTCAGAACTAACCAATGCCTTTAATGACTTCACATCTTTAAAAAAATCTTTAAAATAATATATTCAAAGTATTGATAGCCTTTCATGGATGAAGAGTTAAGGTGACGGCTCCCTGAGCAGTTTATAAAACACTAGGAAAGTGAAGTACAGTATTGAAACGGTATGATAACGTTCCAGGATACGGGACATTAAAACTTCTCAGTCAGTGTATGCAAAAATGTATGAATACATTTTCTAAAAACTGAAATCTAAAAACACCTTAATGATGGAACATTTTGAGACAGTGTTGAAAAGAAAGCAAGGACTCAGTACCCAACTGAGTCAGCCATTTGTGCAGTGAATCATAGCAAGCAATTTGAATGTTTTTGTTTTTTTGGATGAGGTGATATCTTTGCACATCCAAGAGCAGCATATGCTGGTTCCAGGAAGGGAGGTAGCCACTTGTGACCTGCTTCCTAGCTTATATTTATAATTTTAAAATTTAGTGCTGGGACTTCTTTTACCAGTAGAATCAGAATAGATACCAGTAAACCTATATTACACATGAAGTAAATTGTTTATCTGACCACATAGTAATTTTTAAATAAAAGCACATTTAGTTTGAAATCCTGCTTAAAATTCAGGTGCCTGTTTCCATAATGGACACACTATGCATATCATATTTTTTCTGAAACTTTTTTTCCTCTCATGGTTTCATACAGCATAGATGGTTTGTGTGTATGGCTGTATGTGTGAGGATTATATTACAGGACTGAAATTATCTTTTTTAATATTTAAAATCGGAATCTTAATTGCTCCATGCTGGCCAGACAAACCTCCAATCAGTTCAAAAGCTTTACCGGGGTATGCCAAACTTCGATATATATTCCATATTATATAGTATACTATCTGTCTATCTATCTATCTATCTATCTATCTATCTATCTATCTATCTATGAGTTTTTAAAGGCTATGTCAATAAGTATTTTATTACTCAGAGGGAAGAAAGCAATGTTCATGTCAGGGAGCAGAGTTTCTGACATGACTGTTATATTTGGTTTTCCTTATCCTTTCTTTGTTCATGTGTCGATTTTGCAGAAAAGTAGAAATTTTCAGTAAGGTGAAAGCAAGATATCAGTGCCTGTTTCCTTTGTCATCTTAATTGTGTTTCAGAAATAAAACCTAAACCATTTTTGTCCATAATTTGTTGTTGTGTGCCGTCAAGTTTTTTTTTCTGACTCAGGCAGACACCTATCACGGGCTTTCCTTGGCAAGATATATTTGGAGAAAGTTTGCCATTGCATTATTCTGATACTGGACAAGTATGGGTGTATCTATGCTGTAGAATGAATGCAGTTTACCATGGCTCAATACTATGCGAGTTGTAGTTTTACAAATGTTTTACCCATTTCTACCAAAGAGTGCTGGTACCTCGCAAACTACAAATCCCAGGATTGCATAATTTTGAGCCATGGCAGCTAAAATGATGTCAAACTATATTAATTCTACAATATTGATATGCCCTATGACTTGTCCAAGGTCAACCAGTGGATTTCTGTGAGTAAGCAGATATTTGTACTCATTCTCCCAGAATACTAATCTAGCACTCAGATGCTATACCATGCTGGCTCTTAGAATTTGCTTACATTTCAGTGGTAGTAAATTCCCACTTGTAATACATCTGGACTCATGTCTGTCTTCAAATAAGGATTAGTGGGTGTGGCCCAGAAATATTAATGTGCATCAAATTGGGTGTTTTCCCCCTAATTTGAGGTTCCTGGGCAACCATCACTAGTATGTGCTTTGTTAATGTAGTGTAGTACATCTGTAAACATAGTAGATGTTTTGAACTACTATTTTTTCTTAATCTTCAATTTCAGAGGAATCTATGGTATGACTCTTGGTTAATATTTTATTGTTGTTTTACACTGAATACTTAGTCTATGTGTATTGCTGTTTGAGCAAGGATCAATACATTTCTTGGAGAATATATTGCTTTTTTTGAGCTAGGTATTGTGGTAATTTATTCTTCCCCACTCACTTCATCTTTAAACATTGACCTATGAGCAGACCATTGACAATTGACCTAAAAATATAATGTAATTTTTGTAATAGTCACTAGAAGAAGATAATATTTCCTTGGAGGGGATATTCTGGATACTCTTACCTAACTTGTGTCTACCACCGGGATTGTGGCGCAGCTGGCTGAGTGTCAGCTGCATTAAGATCACTCTGACCAAAAGGTCATGAGTTCGAAGCCAGCCCGGGTTGGAGTGGGTTTCCAACCAATTGTGTGTAGCCTGTTGTCGAACTTTGCAACCTGAAAGACAGTTGCATCTGTCAAGTAGGAAAATTAGGTACCACATTAAAGTGTGGGGAGGCTAAATTAACTGATTTATGAGGCCATAAAGAAGACTCCAGCAAAGCATTCCAGTGGGGAAGCATGTGGGGAATGCGGAAGAGATTCATCAGCGTCGCAGTTGGATGATGAAAGCGACAGCTCCCCTGGCGGCCAGAAAAAGTTAAATAGCCTCTGTGTATGTCTGTATATGTTTGTATGTCAAAAATTTGCATTGAATGTTTGCCATATATGTGTACACTGTAATCCGCCCTGAGTCCCCTGCGAGGTGAGAAGGGCGGAATATAAAAGCTGTAAATAAATAAATACCAATACCATATTTCTCTTGCAGACCCCTCTGATAATCTGAGAGAGATTCTCCAGAATGTGGCCAAATTGCAAGGGGTTTCAAATATGAGAAAACTGGGCCACTTGAATAATTTTACTAAGGTAAGTATTTTGCTAACTGATAAAATGTGCAGTATGTTTTAACTTCGGGGCAATGGTACAAACGTTGATAACAAAGTCATCAAAAGCAGTCAATGATTGATGCATGATTTAATGAAGGTTTTTACATTTGGTTATGGATTTGTTTGGTCATTCACAAGCCTTATAGTACAATAACAGGAACAAGATTTAATAAGAATTAATGCTGTAAAATAACTTTGAGCAAATAGCATTCATCTGGGAGGGGGAAAGGTCTTTCGTCACATACATCTTACATGTCCAAGTAAGCAAAGGTATCACTCTCTCAGCTATTCATGAGGACAGTTTTAAATTTTGAAGTATTTCAGATTTCAGAATTCTAGATAAGGTATGCTCAACATGTATTTAAGAAACCTATGGTTTGGCTATTTATGATGCTGTAAAAAGTAACAAAAGGGATGTTTTAACTACAAGAAGGTGGATTATATATCAAACCCCTTGGAATAACTTTCAAGTCTACAGTTCTGTGATTATGTTTAAACCTATGCTTTGTCACTACTTGTACAGATATCAGGAAGATGCAGCCCTCTTCTACATTACTCTATATCCCAGGATCTGATCCCAGTTTACCTGATTTAAACTGGATTATATGAGTCTCTCCGTCAGATAATTTGAGATAAGGAGATAATCTGGGATCAGATCATGGGATATAGGGGCGGTGTGGAAGGGACCACAGTTTCATTTCACTGACCAATGTAAGACATGCATTTGTAATTATATTTTCCTTGCATACGTACATTGTCATCAAAACTGTAAAATGCAGTGTATGTATTCAGAAAGGATATGTGTGTTTTATTGATGTAGAATGCTATTACGTTTTGGGAAATCAAGTATTATGTTGAATTTTTTTTTAAAAAGACATTGTGATGCTTTATCCTCAGACAGTTTTAATGAAAGCAAGCCACTACCCCTCAGTGCTCTCATGTGATTCAAATTGTCTGAAGTATATACTGAAAACTAAACCTTCTATTCAAGGGAAAGACAGGAGGAACTGGTGATGTGATCTCCCAAACATGTGAGAGTCACACAGTTGTGTCTCACTTGACATGATTTCACCAGATCAAGTAACAAGCATAGTTGACTGCTGACAACCAGAAAGTTAAATAAAAAAGTAGAATTGTGGTCTCTTTTAGCAGGCGATTGTGTGCCTTTAAAAATGTCCTCACTACACTCTTAAACCTTTTCTAAGCAACTAATACCGTGAGTCATCTCACACAAGCTACTGCTGTATTTAAACGTTCTAACCACTACCAGCATGCTAGTAGCTGGTTTTGAGCCTTTTTAATACCAGAGTACATAATTCAGCCAAAAACCCTTTTCATGTATACACATGTATAACTAAGGAAGCTGTCTTGTAGTTTATTGATCATTCCCTGTCAGGTCTGTGGAGTTGGAGTCAGAGTCAGAAGCAATTTTGTTCGGAGTTGGAGTCGGTAGAAATGTATTGACTCTGACTTCAAGGTAAAATCTTACAATGCCAAATGCCTAGTTTGTTGCATATTTATATTTATAGGACGTTTTAGAAAGTTACCTTATTTAGAAATTTTTCAGATTAATATATTTTATGTTTTATTAGTGTTAGTAGCCTGATGATTGACATGGTGAAGATGAAATGCTTTGTACCGCTTTTTTACTAGAGTAAATTTGTTATTTCTAATTAATATACATTTGCCATTTATGGAGGGATTAAAGCTAAGTTGGAACTGAACAGTTGAGAAAGGGTCCAAGAAGCAGAAAATTGCCTCCTAAGTCCACAGTAGTGCCCTTCTCTACTTCTGGGAGAAACCCCATGTTTTCTTACTTCCATCTTTAAATAGGATGTGAGAGGATGTCATGCACATTTGGTTAAAAAGGACTTAGAGCCGCCGCAAACTAGCCTCCTGCGGGAGCAAACCTTGCCAGCACGTCCCTGACGTCATGAGACTGCGCCTCTCTCCCCGCCCCTTTCTCCGCCCCTTTCTCCATGCCAGAGTGGTTTTTCCTTTGCTAGGGCAGCATTGCCAGTGTACTCTCGTTGTTGAATCCAACAACGAGAGTACGCTGGCAATGCTGCCCTAGCAAAGGAAAAACCACTCTGGCACGGAGAAAGGGGCGGGGCGAGAGGCGGAGTCTCATGACATCAGGGACGTGCTGGCAAGGTTTGCTCCCGCAGGAAGCTAGTTTGCGACGGGTCTTAGGAAACTCAGCGAGTTGACTAGTGTTAGTGAAATTTAGACAATAAGGTATCAAGGAAAGATTTTGTCCCTTGCCTGCCTGCACTTCTTGAAAAAAGTGAAAATCCTGTAAAAAGTTATACTTTTTATCCCCACAAGGAATCCTGGAGTAGCAGGTTTAGCCTTTTCCTCTGAGTAATTCTTGAAGGGAAAGTGATGATGACATGGGATGATTCAGTCTCCAATTTGAATAGCGTACTGTAGAGAGCAGATTTTCACTCCACTTTCACAAATGCAGCCGGCAAGCTAAACATTGGCAAGAAAGTAATGGCTTCCCTAACTTTCCTTGGTATCTGAAGTCCCTTTTTATCAGCTTATGGGAAATAATGTCTTTTTATTGAAAGATGTTATGGTATGTGTAGTGTGCTTGATAAACTAAATTATACCTGTGTGGTTGAGCAGCTAACATTTCTGCCTGCTTGGAAAGTCTTTCAGGGGGGGGGGGGCTCTAGTTTGTTTGTGGGTGACCATTTTAATTGCACCGATTGTTGATAAAAGGTCAGCAAATATGCTATTAGAAGGAAAGGTGATATTTTGTTTCTTTCATTGCTCTGCTGTTGTCAAGCTCTTGTCATTCTAATTTAAGTTGCCATTTAAGGCATGGAGACATGATTTGCTGTGACTCAACTTTGTAGTATTATCCAGTCATGACTGAAAGTGACTATGAAAATGTTCTAACTCAAAATAGAAAATTATCAGAATTAAAATATATTGATACTTGAAATAACTCAGCTACCCGGGATCGGTTAATTTCGCAGTATCATATAACCACAAAATCTTGTCAAAACCACAAATTCTTCAGATAGTATAATTTATTAAAGTTAAAGTTTCATATTTTTCTAAACTAGTATGCCTTACATTCAATAATTTTTAAACTGGTATCTCAATCAACAACCAAGAAAAATAGATAAAGTTTAGGTTTTGGTTGATAGTGTATGCATTTTATATAAGTGTTCATATGGGAAGGAATTGTGACCTTATAATAAAGAATACTTACTTCTGTTAGGGATTTTAAACATCATGTTCCATAACACAATATATTTACAGTATTAAAAGTGATTATACAATTGTGTGCTTTTTATTTTATTCTGTTAATTATAGTATTAATAAAATATTCCTATCTGGGGACAGTGTACAATGTTCACAGTTTAAAGCATTTAAGTATATGTATTTTAAACAAGATTAAAAGACAATAGCAAGAACTGTAAAAACCACAACAATTTAAGTCTATTTGCTTGTGCATTTCAAAGTGATGAAAAGTCATGCTTTGACTTGGCACCAGAAGGAAATCACTGTTTGTGCCAGTCAGACAAAAATGACATCAAGGAGTCATATGTGTTAAACCTAAGTACCAGAACAAGAACACCAATTTTAAAAACTCTTTCTACACATAGAAACTCTGAAGCATTCAAAGAGCAGCACCCAAACTTTGCTAGATACTAGGAATTCTGTGAATGTATTACAATGCCCACTGAGGCCTTGGTTTCATTGTGGAGTTCAAAAAGAAAATAAAGACTTGAGGAAGAATTTTGTTTCTGTGTGTAGTGTTTAGAAATCACACGAATGAATTCCATTAAATTTGTATGTTTTATTCCTAAAGCCTCCAATTAGAATTCTTGACATTCTTTTTAGTATTAGCTTCCATAACCAGTTAACAATAACATTCCATGAACAGTGAAGAAGACTATGAAATCTAGGAAATTTTGGGATGGCTTTTTATACAGTTCAAGTGTATGAAAATCTCAGAAAAGTGGTGTTTGTGCACAGCCATCTCTGTAGTAGGTAGTTTTTACAATTGTATTGCCTGATGCTAAAACCGTTTCTGCTAGGAACTCATAAAAAGGATGTCATGTGCATCGAAAGCACTGAAATATGACAGAAAATAACTTTTTACCTCCACATAGATCTATTGGTGGTAAGTAAGTATCGATTTATACATTGGTTTCTTACTGTTCTGGTAGCGATACTGCTATCCTATATCCCACTACCAAAATCATTTTTTATTAGTTGAATACTTTTTTAGTGAAAGTACTCATAAAGGCATGTAACCTTGTGTCTTTTTTTCAGTTTTCTAGGATCTATCGTAAATAATCATGCTTCTTTTAAATGGGCTAGCGCACACACACACACCCATGTGTGAGTGCGACCATATTTATGCTCATTGGTGGAAGGGGGTGGAGTTTCAAAAATGTGTTTCGGAACTCTTGGATGGCATCCTATGGCTTCTGAACTACCATGGCTTCTATATCAAAAATAATAGGGATCATTTCAAACAAAATTTTCATTCCTATAACAAATAGCTAGCTTATTCTTGTAAGGATGTTTAAGAATATATTGATTAACATGGGATGAGAATAATAGCAACTTGGTCAATTCTCTTTTGCTGTTAACTTTGAATATAGCTCAGATTAGTTAATGGAGAAATCTGAGGAGGATGGAAAATTATGAACGGAATGTGTCAAAGAACTTAAAATATGTTTCTTACTTGCAGCTTCTTTGTAATGCTGGTCATAATGAAGAAAAGCTAGGTTTTACTTATGACGATATCATCATATGGTAAGTTGCTATTTGTTTTTTAGGAGTATTTGAACTATGCATTTAAAACTGCTGTCCAAATTAACATGTACCTTGAACAGTGTTTTTGAAGATGGATAGATAGACATAAGGGCTCAAATAGTTGTGAACCAATAAGAGGTGCTTAGTTTACTGCAGCTATTATTTCTGATAGAGTATGGTTGGTTTTTAGAAACTTGGCTCAATATCTCGAGAGTATTTTATTTCAAAGATCACTGGGTTTTTAAAAAAGTTTTGAAGATGCACTTTTAGTATTATGTGTGTTTGTGGATGTGTTAGCGAGAGACCAGACAATGTGTACTGTGAAATCCATGCAATAACTAAAAAAAAATGCCACAGTCCAATTTTTTTTCCTGGAAGTATGCAACATATTCATTATTCTTTATAGGTCCAAATATAAAAATGATTTATTTTGTTATAGTAGTAGATAGAAAATTATGTTTAGTAAAATTTCACAGCAATTAATGCTTCTTTACTAAGGTTGATTGGCAGAATATTTTTCGTTTTTTCCTTTTATCATTTAATCAACATATGGCAATCCAATGAATGATAGACCTGTAATTTGCCCTGTTATCCAAAGCCCTGCTCAGGTCTTGTAAACTCGGGGCCATGGCTTCCTTGACTGAATCTAATGTGTTTGTAGCTCATGACAATTAATAGTTTAAGATGCAGTTTGTTTTAAGAATAAGATGCAGATCTGTACACAGAGTGGAAACATATTGTTTCAAAGTTATTTTTTGGTGTTAGTCATTACATTAGCAGATGACTTAAGTAATTTGATTGCTCTTCAAAGTGGTATTATCTGTCTCTGATTGTCTCAAAAAGAAATGCAATAAATCTGTGCCACCAGTATTATTTCCTATAAGAGCCAGAGGACCTTAGGCAAATAGGGTAGTTTCCTGAAATAGCTATAAATGTAATCAAAAACCTGTTACTAAGCAGTGTGTTCAGTGGGAAATATCTTTTGTAACCCTGAAAGTGGTGAACAATTGGTCTCTGTTTGTACAAGTAGTACCATCCAGCTGAGCCTTTGAGAAGTTTAAGCTCTTTAGTACTGGATTTTTTTTTTGTATCTAAAGAAGCCTCAAAACAGGAAGTATTGGGCCACACACATTCCACCACTGTTCACTCCAAATACTGACATCAGAGACTGAGATGGCAAGTGTTGTTTAATGTTCTCTGGATTGTTGGTTGACTTTTTGGCATCACTGGGGGATTATAGCTGGTTTTGAAGCAAACCAAATTACATGTGAAGATGTTTAAATTTTTTGTATTCCACAGTTGTTTAACACTTTAAAAGGAGCACAGGGGAGATCATTTATTTCTTTCCCCCTTATGATAGCGGTAGCCTAATGTTTTATCATAATATTGTCAATAAAGAGTAAGAGGTTGTTGTATCCTTTTCTGTTCCCCTCCAACTTGCTTTTTGCTACGTTTAGTTTTCTCATAAGTTTACTTTGCCTGTACGTTATGCTTTGTATTATTTTTATACTTACTGGTGCTAGAAGGTCAAACTAAACATGACTAGCCATGTATTTAAGCATAAGATCTCGCCAGTCCTATAAATGGTATGTGTGTGTTTGTTTTAGCAAAAGAGAGGTGCTTAAGTGTTTGGAGCCTGAATGACTTTCTCATTATGTGCATTTCAGTTTGCGGTTAGCTTTACTAAATGAAGCAAAAGAGGTGAGAGCGGCAGGTCTACGAGCCCTTCGATATCTTATCCGAGACTCCAGTATTCTGCAGAAAGTATTAAAATTGAAAGTGGATTACTTGATAGCAAGGTAATAAAAGCAGATATTGGAACTGCATTTTTTCATAATACCGTTTGTATCAGGCTTGAGAAGGGTCCAAGCATCTCTTAGAGAGCTAGTATAAATTAATAACATCATTCCCACCCCAACATATACTTTTAAATTATTCATTACAAACAGTTTGTGACTCATGAAAGAAACATTTTATTTTCAAATCACATTTTCTGAATTTCAGAAACTACACCATAATCCATTCTGAGCATTTTCTGCAATGACTCAGGCTCAGAAACTCTGCACCTGGTAGTACCTGAGAGAGTCTGTGACACAAAGTGAGAAAAATCTCAATGTATAAGGGTTAATTTAACTGCTGAAGCATACTTTCTTAATTCTAGAAAAAGGACTGGTTGGCAGCCATTGTTTATAGTGCTGCTTGTTCAGCTGTAACATGAAATTGATACATATATAAGAGGGTATTCAGAGGGAGAGATTCCACAAATGCCATCAAACTGGATCTGCAATGTAACCTGTTTCCCCCTTTTATTGCAGCAATTTATATTTTATTTTTTTATTTAAAATATTTACATATTTCCTCCCAGCCCACAAGGGCGTAGGATACAATTAACAAATAAAACCAACAGAAAACATTAAAATACTTATGTAACACTTTTAAAGCAGTGTGAAAACCATCTATATAAATAAAAATGTAATGTTTGTTTGTGGGATTAACATAACTCAAAAACCACTGGAYRAACTCCCGCCAAATTTGGCAAAAAGACCCCTACTAACTCATTTGGGAGTTGTACTTGCTGGGATTTATATTTAACTTACAATCAAAGAGCATTCTGGACTCCACCAATGATGGAATTGAACCAAACGTGGCACACAGGAYTTCCATGACCAACAGAAAACACTAGAAGGGTTTGGTGGGCATTAACCTTGAGTTTGGCAGTTGTAGTTCACCTACACCCAGAGAGCACTGTGGACTCAAACAATGATGGATCTGGAACAAACTTGTCATGAATGCTCAAGTGCGAACACTGGTGAAGTTTGAGGAAAGTAGACCTTGGCATTTGGGAGTTGTATTTGCTGGGATTTATAGTTCACTTACAATCAAAGAGCATTCTGAACCCCACCAATGAGAGAATTGGGCCAAACTTTTCATACAGAACCCCCATGACCAACAAAAAATACTGTGTTTTCTGGTGGTCTTCGGCAACCCTTCTGACACYCCCTTACAACAACCCCAGGGGTCCCAACCCCTAGGTTGAGAAATGCTGCCTTAARGCCATCCAGTCCAACTCYCTTCACCAGGAGAAGAAAACATATTCAAAGCCCTCCTGAGAATGAGCCATCCAGCCATAGATATAGATAAATAGATATGATTCACACACACACACACACACATATGCCAGATATAGTATCATAGATTTCAAAGGTATCTCTAAAGAAGGACAACGATATGTTGCATGTCCCAGAGTAGGCAAACCAAACAATCTATATCAGCACTGACAAGAAATACTGTATACCCACAAGCGTAAAGAAATTACATATGTTAGAAATCAACACTATTTTCAAGGTCAGACTGGGCGGCCACAGCAACGCGTGGCAGGGGACAGCTAGTCTTAAAATACAACTTAAAAACAAGTTTCAAACATGAAAGGCAATTTTTCTGGCTGTTGCAAGCACAAATGGTGTTGCTACAAAGAAGAAATATCAAAATATCAAAAGAAATATCAGAAAATACACAATAGAGACTCCACAGAGAATACGTTTTGGCCAGTCTCATATGGTTTGGGTTGTGGCCTGGGCTACCCTTCACCCTGTATATTTAGACCCTCATGCTACCCTCTCTGTACTTGGACCCAGCTCATGCATATGTGAGTGTTCAGGGATATTTACTTGTAATATTGATTGTATATCCTGGTTGTATTCAAAAGTTGATTATAGATCGAGGAGGTTGCATGCAATAATTATATCTAAATACTAAGTTGGGAACTGAAACACTGAAAGGAGAGGCTATTGTGAAAAGTGTTATTAAGACAATTTTGCACCAATCATTTCTAGATCTTGCATATTTCCATTTCAACCTCTAAGACAACTATTGCTTGACTCCATTCTACTTTCTTCTGTCAGGGAAACCACTTGCTTAATGGAAGTTTTTTTTTTTCCAGCTGCTCTTGTGAGAAGGGGGAATGTTGATTATGTATATTTTGCCATATGAATCCTAGCTATAAGAAAATACTGTAATATCTGTAATCCATATTTTTATTTTTAGGTGCATTGATATACAGCAGAGTAATGAAGTAGAAAGAACACAGGCACTTCGATTAGTCAGGAAAGTATGTAAATAAACTCTTTTTACTAGTTTCCAAATTATATGTAGATTGCATTAGACATTGTAGTAGTTTACTTTGTTTTAACACACAAAGTGACTGGTAATAGTGTAAAGCCTGGTTGACACATTACAAGCAGGGTTATAAATATGGAAATTGAATTTAAAGGTAAATGTAGCAGTTTCATTTTATAATTGAACAAGTTCAGAAATTGACCCATATGCTATTGGAATTGCTCTTTCTCTTACTATGAGTTTATCACTTTGGTAGATTAAATATAAGTCTATGTATGTACAGCTGGAGAAACAAATTTAAGCATTTACATGTAGAAGAGATTTGAGCCAAAAGTGTCAAGGATGGAGGGAAGAAGAATTTTAATGTAAATTACAAAATCAATAAGGTTGTTCATAGTCTTATTATATGCTGTTGCTGTTATGGTCTTTGTATAGTACCATGGCACTATATGTGGCACTTATAGGTAAAAGAACAACAAAACAGGTCATTGTTCTCAAACTTGCAATCCAATTAAGACATGACAGAAAAGAAAAAGAGAGATCGCATCATTGGCAGCTGGGATGCAGGGAGGGTCTGTCATCTGGAGCAGGGCTTGAGCATGATGGAGCTGTTCAGTGTGCAACATGGATTTTTATAACAGACAGGAATTTTTTATAACAGACTGGAAACTCGTTCTCCTTTCTTTCCAGATGATCACTGTGAATGCTTCAATATTTCCTACTTCCGTTACCAATTCTTTGATAGCTGTTGGAAATGATGGCCTTCAGGAGAGGGACAGGATGGTTCGAGCATGTATTGCTATTATCTGTGAATTGGGTAAGAATTTTGAAAAAAATTATAGGTAAGCACTGAGTGCTGGCACACAACAAGCTGATTCTTTAGCAGTGTTCAGAATAATATAATGCTAAAATGTGATTGCATGGCATAGAACAATAGATATTCTGTGGAGTGGGAGAAGAATATACTAATACTAAACTAGTGAATGAATGCATGAACAGAAATATTAGATTATTCCGTTTTGAGTTCAGAAGTCATCTTGTGTAACCGTCCTATTTATTTATCGTGTCCTATGAGTAACTTTCAATAAGTAGATAAATCGAAGCCATTGCTTAAAAAAATCTAAAATAAGAACAAAAATAATTCCAGAGCTAGAAGCTATTAATCAAGATTTTTTTTAAATGACTTAAAATAATTTTATGAAAGGCAATTTAGTCTCTAAACAAGGAAGTTTTGTAGCATGGATATGATTCCTGACCTAGGTTGTTAATCATTCACAGCAGGCCACTTTAAATGTTACTCAGCAATATGTGCCAAATCAATGTAGTTTATATGAAATAATCAGGGTAATTACACCCAAATATACATGGAAATTATGGAACCATATAGTGGCTAAAAATGTCGTAACGTAAACCTGGCTGCATTCAGTTGTATCCCTATATTCAGTTACATGGAAGTAGATCCTACTGAAAACTGCATGACTAACCTGAGATAATCATATGGCTGCCTTTTTTTTTTTCCAACTATTTAGGCTAAAGAGTATTCATGTAAAAGTGTCCATTTGTTGGTTCAGTATGTTGAACCAAGTATATGAAAAGAATCTATTGGATATTTCTCTCTGTGTGTGTGTGTGTTTGTGTTCACATTATCTATATTGTGAAATGACTATATGTAGAAAGATAGTGGAGTTATAAAACGTCTTTCGCTGTCTCTGGGAAATAAGCATACAATATGTTTTAATACTAAATGGAAGTTTTTAAACTAACATTTTAAACAACCTCTGAGGATGCTTGCCATAGGTGCAGGCGAAACGTCAGGAGAGAATGCTTCTAGAACATGGCCGCATAGCCCGAAAAACCTACAAAAACCCAGTGATTCCAGCCATGAAAGCCTTCGACAATTTTATGAAATGTACCACATAAATATAAAGTAGATCTTAGTCCTAGATATGTGGGTGGTGATATTACAACTTAACTGGATCATTCTCTTTCAGCAATTCAGAATCCAGAAGTAGTTGCGCTTCGTGGTGGATTAAGTACCATTTTGAAAAATGTGATTGATTGTCAGTTAAGCCGTATAAATGAGGCCCTCATAACTACAGTTTTACATCTTCTCAATCATCCAAAGACTCGACAGTATGTACGAGCAGATGTAGAATTAGAGGTAAGAACCTCATTTTCTCTATTCATATTATGTTTACATTAGCTTATTTCAAATCAAGAAGAGAGTTTTATGCATTTGCATCCTGTGAAATATCATGTATTTAATGTTATTTACCAGTACCTAATCAATACATCTATAGGTTAGAGCAGGTTAAAATTATGTATGTTTTAAGGTATTGAATAGTTGCCTGTGTGTAAAGCTGCCTTGAGTCCCCTTCAGAGTTGAGAAGGGCAGGGTATAAATATGGTAAATAAATAAATAAAGCAGTTGACAACCTTAAAAAGAATAAAATTACCTAAAAAGTATTAATGTTAAAATAAAATTTAACTTACAGTTATTAAAACTACTCCATTGAAATCACATTAAAATGAATAAGTAAAAACTGTTAAAACAATTGAAACACCATACAGCACTCTTTGGCTCATTCATAATAAATTATTTATTTTTATTTATTTCAAATATTTGCATCCCACCCTTCTCAACCCCTGGAGGGGGACTCAGGGCGGCTTACAGTCAGCAGCGATTCAATGCCCAATATTCTGTTTTAAAACCCTGACTGAATAAAAAGGTCTTAGCCCGTTTCCAAAGGGACAGCAGGGAAGGGGCCATTCTGACTTCCCTAGGCAGGGAGTTCCAGAGTCCAGGCCCAGCCATCTTTTGGGTCCCCACCAGCTGGACTTGTGATGCTGGTGGAACTGAGAGAAGGGCCTCTCCTAAGGATCTCAAAGTCCAGACAGGGAGATAGGATCTACGAAATAAGTTGGAACCAGACCTGAGTCATATAGGTCATAACCAGCACTTTAAATTGTATCCTAAAACAAAGTGGCAACCAGTGCAATTGTTGCAATAAAGGAATTGTATACTTCCTGTAGCCAGCTGTAGTTAACAATGTGGCAACAGTTTCTGCATACTTTTCAAAAGCATCTCTAGCACATGTTACAATAATCCAAATGGGATGTAACTATTTATTTATTTATTTATTTACTGTCCCTGTATACCGCCGTTTCTCAGCCTAACTGGCGACTCAACGCGGTTTACAACAAAGTATGCAGTGCACAGCATACAATTAAAACCATAAAAACATAATACACAATATTACACGAAATCACAAAATCACAATCCAATACATCTCCTAACTAAAATCGTGGTCCAATTGCATCATCCATATTACCAATCCGTAATCAACACATTCATTGCACCGAGTTAACCAAATGCCTGTTTGAACATCCAAGTTTTTAGTCTAAGACATGTACTAAGACATGTACCACCATGACCAAATCTGACATCACAAGGAAATGTACAGTTGGTGCACATTTTTTAAATGTGCCGAGGAGCTCCAGCCACTACAAATAGACGGGCCTCCAGGTTCAACATTGAGTCCAGAAATATAGACAAACCGAGAACCTGTGCCTTCAGGGAAAGTATTATCCCATCCAGCACAGGATGAACCCTGTTCTTCTAACAGCCTTCTGACTGACTAGGATTAAGTTTCAGTTTGTTTGCCCTCATCTAGTCCATTGTTGACAACAGGCCCACTTTTAAATACACTAAAATCCTGCAGGCTATGGGATGGGATGCCTGGTCAGGGGGATGTAATCATGATAACACTGCTTCAAAATTTGGCAGGCATAGCTGAGCAAGATTACCTCCATCCCTCCTCACCCCTGTCTCTCCCAGTCAGTTATCTATAATACAGGCTAGAATAATTTTTATTCAGACTTTTTTTGTGCTTGATATTATGTATTTTAATTAAGTAAGTAAACCCTAGATTAGTTGTATTTTGTGTCAGCTTTCTTAACAGTTGAAGAGGGCAGACAGGCAGATATGCAGAAAGACAATAATATTTTCAAATGTTTTTCAGGTGGATAGGAATAAAAATGAATACTTTTAAAACTTTTTTTTACTTTTTTATTGCAGCGTATTTTAGCTCCATACACAGACTTTCACTACAGGCATAATCCAGACACTGCAGAAGGACAGCTCAAGTAAGTACAATCACAATTAGTCAAGTTTCACTAAGATTTAAAATGTCATTCTGCTGTGGAAAAGAGAAGATATTTCACCATCTCATTTTTCAAACAGAGAAGACCGAGAAGCACGGCTTTCAGCTAGCAAAATGGGAATTGTGGCAGCATTTCGCTCATGGGCAGGTAAGACTTTTTTAAAAACTTTGGCACAAGTTATTAAATAGAATGATGATATTCTTTTGAGTGTGCACAAGGATACTGCCCTGTTTTTTAAATTCTTTTAATGTGATAAGCACAGCTGCAAACATTATGTAGTCAGAGCCCTTCAGCTTTATTTTCCTTTTTACTGCTGTGATTCTTTATCCTCCTATCAGCTCTTCCTGCATATGCAGAGAAAACTCTGGCACCAATAGTTTGTGATAGAGATTATTACATGTAGAGGAAAATCTCTCTTGCTCTGTCTTCCAAAGTACAGTTCATAGACTGACTACCCCAACATGTTTGCCTCTTTAGGAGAAGATCAGCAGTTTATTGTTCAGCTGATTCTTTAATTTGTCTCCACAAAAAATTGAACAATTGATACATAGCTATGAATGAAGTTGAATTAAGACCTCCCATAAATCTAGATTTAACCTCAAGAACCTTTCCATTGCAATTACTTTGCAACTTGAGACATTCTATCTCATCTCTGTAAAGTATATCCCTCTTTTTCCCCTCACTTGTCATGCTTGGATCCTGGGCACAACAGGAGTTGTCTTCTTTTGTTTACCCCTCAGCACCATTTGTTTGTTTCCCATTTACTGAAAACCTATCATGGCGTTTTCTTGGAAAGAGGCTGAAAACTGAAAGAGTGTGCCTAACCCAAGATCACTTAATGTATTTCCATAGCTGAGCAAGCATTCAAACACTGGCCTCCAGGATTCTTGTCCAGCACCCAAACCAATGCTCTCCCAACAGCACCCTTCAGTTTTCCTCCCATCTTTAAACTTAAATGGGAATTACTGTAAACAGTACAGTGTCATTGGAAAAAATAGACTTTTTGTTTCTATCATGGTGGGGCTCAGGCTGTTTTTTAACAGAATGATTGATGGGACCTGAAGCACAAGTAGTTGAGTGCTACCACCTAAGACAGATTTGGAAAAAAAAAGGCTAGAGTAGAACCAGAAACCTATTAACAGCTGTTAGCCATGATAGAAGTTCTGTATGCAGAGATGGAGTTCCTTTGGATACCAAATACTGGGAATTTGTGACAGTGTCAATGCTAGTCTAATTTGTACGAGTTTTTGAAAATATCCAACCATATGTTGCAGAAGTTTTCCATTAAATAATATATTTGTGGAGACTGATACATTGTCAATGGGATACTTGCAGAAGTAGATTTCTCAATATGCTGTTGTGTAACTTTGTATTTAATTTTGATTTTAGGTATCATTAGTTTATGCAAGCCTGGGAATTCTGGGATCCAATCTCTAATTGGGGTGTTTTGTATACCTAACATGGAAATACGGGTATGTGTTTTATTTCTATGGGTTGAATTCTTGGGCTTGATTATACTCAATTCTTCTGATACTATTGGAGAGAAATGTATGAATTTGGGGGAGGGGGGAAGGCATCTACATTACGTGTTTGTGAAAGGATGTCAGACTGTGCATAGACCTTACGAGATTCGGTTCTTGTGAGGCATTCAAAAAAGCCTGAAGTTGAGACACTAGAGCAGTTGGTGGTTCATCTAGCTTTTCCCATGATGGACTAAGCTTTTGCTTCCTTTTTGATAAGAGTGGTCATGGATAAACTGACCCAGGTTTTGGGAGTTGATTGTTTTGAATAAAATTTTGATATTTATATGCAGGACTAGCCAGAGACTGCTGATTCTTTTCTCCCTTGGACTGTGGTAGTTGGGATGGAGGGAGATTCTTTTATCTGCTACTGCCTAGACATAACAGAGATGTGCCTGCTTCTTCCTCTCCCTCTGAATCCTGAGTAGTGGTATTTGGCATGGAGAGAGGGCCTTTCATCTGCTTCCAGGATTTAAAAACTTTAGATATGCCCTGTAATGTAACCATGATGCTTGGCTACATGACATTTACTACTGTCACATGCCATAGAGTTTAGTTTCAAATCATGTGTCTCTTTCACATGCATCTGTTGAATACATAGGGCAATGAAGGGAATTGGAAAATCCAGTGTTCCCTTTCAATCTTATGTATGTTAGTTGTGATGGAAACCTATAACTTGCTAGCCCTTGTGTATTGTCCACAGTGGCATCTTCAGCCAAGGATCTCTATTGGTAAAGAAGTGAGCTTAGTTACAATCCTTTGCACAATGGCACTAAACCTGTATATCTCTGGGTGATAGCAGAATTTCCTTAAAATCAGCTTTATTACATTCCCTAAACATTTTAATTGTTGTAAATGTTTTCTCCCTCTTATCCTTTTTTAAAAAATGTGGATTTGAAGATTAAGAGGAAACATAAGCAATTATAGAGGTTTGTCCAATTTTTTAGAGTGTTTTAGTTTGTTTTAACATTTTGAAACCATATTCTCAATACAGATGTTTAGATTTCTGCTGATTTTGGTAATTTTACCCCTTTTGTCTTTATAGAGAGGACTGCTTGAAGTTCTGTATGATATTTTTCGACTTCCTCTTCCTATTGTGACTGAAGAATTTATAGAAGCACTTCTCAGTGTAGGTTAGTATTCTTAGTACAATGCATTGGTGATACAGTATATCCAGACCTATATTCATATTTCTGGACCTACAGATAAAATTCGACTTCAGCGTAAGTATCAGATGTAGAATTGCAAAAACTAGAAGCTTTTTCTTGGTGTGATCTTGAAGGTTGGTTTAAAAAACTTTAAAGGTTTAGCATTCCATAGTGCCCATGGACAATGAATGTTTATAGCTTGCTATTTTTATAGCTTACTATGTTTATACTCAAATTCTTGTTACATTCAGCAGTAAATTCGTTCATTTATGTGTACTGATTATACTTGGCACAACCTTTTCACATGCTAAAATTATAAAATACTTGCAGATTTTTTCCTCAAGTGCATTAGTACACTTCTAAAAGAATTTAATTCCATCTTTTGTAAGCATTAATTCAAAACCCTTGAAACCAAAACACTCTTACTGAGATTTTCTCAGACCGTTCTTCCTCTGACAAAAGTAAAATCAAACTAAGCTGAATGTAAGGCAAACTTAAAGAACATTGATGTCCCTTGCAATCTCTAACCACATAAAGTGGCAAGGTATTGTACATGTTTGCAAATAACTAAATCTGGAAGTAGAAATCTATCCCTGAACTCCACAGAGGATCATATATAGATTGCATTCTAAAGTTTTAAATATAGAAGAAACCATTTTATTATTTGATTATTTGGAGATTCCAGCTATTTTAATCAAATAATAGTCGTTGAGGGAAGCATTTTATCATTTATATATGCAACAGTGACGTAAAAAAGCAGCTGCTGTTCTGTATAAATGAGAACATGGTTCAGGACTAATGAGCATTCCCACCCATGAGCCCCCAAAATGGTTCCTTGTACACATGCAGCGTGGATTGCAGTCCTAGAACTCAAAAAAAAATAAGATGGCATACAATAGTGAAACAAGATGAAATTAAGTGAGAGATCAGCTCTAAGATTTTGTTTTGCTTTGGCTAGACTGACTGAAGCCCCATTATCTTTTTTGAAAGATGTCTGTATCAAAAGATCCCCTGGTTCCTTTCATTTCATGTAACTCCGAATATAGTGTGTGCTTATTTTCCTTCTGGCATGACAGAAGTATAAGGACCTAATTTATAATTGAAAGTTAGGTTTTAAACTGGTTCATTGTTCAGAAACAGAATCATAGGATGAAACTGACATTATCAGACATAGAATTCCTCTAAAAGTGTGTGAGAAAAAAGCACATCACATATGGTGCATTTCCTCAATATATTCTGCCCCAAATAATTATTGAGGAGCCAGTTTTACAGTAATATTGTTTTGTAAATTTATTTATTTATTTATTTATTTACTCCATTTGTATACCGCATTTATCAGCCTGAGACGGCGACTCAATGCGGTTTACAATAAAAATGGGCAACACTGACAGTATATAAGACACACATACACAAACGACACACATATAGTCATCAACGCCTCAATTAGAATCAGATCCCGTTTTCACAGTCCTTTTTCGTTTTTTGTAAATGTGGAAAGGTTCAGACATCTTTTTGATCAATTCCAGTTAGTAAGTGTGTATATGCTTTGTGTAACACACTGCAGCAGGAGAAGAAAGAGACAGGTAGATGCAAATGAATAGTAAAAAATGAAATCAGATGAATGGTGACAAGGGATAAAAATACTGACTGTTGCTGTTTTGCATTTAAACTTAGTATTTTAACTTCAATACTTTCTTGTTGCAGATCCAAGCCGGTTTCAAGATAGTTGGAGACTCTCTGATGGCTTTGTAGCTGCAGAAGCTAAAGTTATATTACCTCACCGAGCCAGATCCAGGTATTTCTTTATTTCCTATAGAATAGGCATGGGGAAACTTCAGCCCTCCAGATGTTTTGGACTTCATCTCCCACAATTCCTAACAGCCGGTAAAAGGGCCGAAGTTTGTCCATACCTGCTATAGAAGAATGCCATCTCTGACTTACTTTAATAATGCAAAAGAGAGGTACAGCTTGAGCTGATTTTGCTGTTTTGTTCATTTTGATTTAGGCCTGACCTCATGGATAATTACTTGGCACTGGTTCTCTCTGCTTTCATTAGAAATGGATTGTTAGAAGTAAGTCTGGGTTTAACTTGAAATGTTGACCACTTTATCCTACATTATTGAAGTATGTGCTTGTGTGTCTACACACACAGAGAGATGGTTATAATGTCATTTCACTTTTTAATTGCTCCAGGGTCTCGTAGAAGTGATCACAAGTAGTGATGACCCTGTGTCTGTCCGGGCAACCATCTTGCTGGGAGAACTTCTGCATATGGTAAGACTACATTTTTGTTACTTATTATTTGCCTCAAATGTGCTAGGGATGGACTTTATTCCCAAGCATGGGAAACAAGAGAGCTGTTTTGAAGGGAAAATATACAAAGGTGGTGTGTGAGAGTTATATTATTGGTCCATGTAGCAGCTCTCCCGAATGTCAGCCATGATTTATTTGTTTGTTTGGATGGGATTCAAGACAACCAATGAAAGGATTCTTTCCAGAAACCACTGCTTCTCCTTGGTGATTTCCTGTCCAAAATATTAACCAAGCCTATCCCTTTATAGCTTTTGAGATCAGATAGGATCGGAGCATTATGGTGGCGATGATATGCATATATGATTACCCAAAATTCCCTATTCCCACATAGTTCTTTGTAAGGGATCAGTAGTGTGGTTTGAGGATGTTTTTCTGCTGCCCTGTTCTCTGTAGTCTTTCCTCCACTGTGGAAATTTAGTTCACAGTGGATTTATTCTTGACTTGAGAACTTGCTTGTGCTGTCTGGATGGTTCTTGAAGTATGCTTCAAAAGAATAAGTCAGGTATCATACTATAAGTGTCTCCTGTATTAATCATTGAGTCGCCGATAGGCTGAGAAAGGCAGTATATAAATACAGTAAATAAATCCCTGCAGGATATTATTTTTTTACTCTTAGAATTGACCAGCTGTAGAATAAGCCACACAAATTGCTTGTTGGCCCTTTTAATTTAGTTAGTTAATTGCTTTGGGAAATGATAGTTAAAAATGTTGTCTAAGGCTTAATCAAATAAAAAAAAATCTTTCCAGTCACTTTGTTTGAAATTATTATCACTCAAAGTTTCTATGAGCTTTTGTATGTGTGAAAAGTATATTTATTGTCTTCAGTGGTCTTAAATGTATACTGTTATGGGGTAGCGGGGACATGAACATTTTTCAAAGTCTGTGAAGCTTTATCTCTTTTCCAGGCAAACACCATTCTGCCTCATTGTCACAGCCACCACTTACATTGCTTACCAACTTTAATGAACATGGCAGCATCTTTTGACATTGGAAAGGAAAAGAGACTGTAAGTACAAATTTTAGTGAAAACTGTAAACATATATTTTTCTTCGTGGTCTCTGTGAGTGCACACATGTGGAGTGACTGCGCCTGCGCAGGCCCCAACAGAAACTTCCCAAGTTTAAAATTTCCAAGTTTTGGCGGTAACCCCGCCCAGTCCCCGGCAGGGCATAAAAGGCGCATACGCTCCGCAGTTCCTGTTTTTCCGCTGCAAGGCTCGCATCAGAACTTCCTCGCTATGTAAACGACTCGCTTCAAGCACTGCTTGCAGTGTTCTAGAAAGATTCCTGACTCTGATAAGCACTGTACAAAGATTTTTAAAGAATATCATATGTAAAAGGCTCTTTCTGTAAAATTGTATGAACTGGAGGAAGAGTAGAGAAAAAGAAAAGAGGGATGCAAGAGGGAGTTCATCAGTAGAAATATGCAGTTTCCATAATAATAATCATCATCATCATCGTCATCTTTTTTATATCCCACTTTTTTCTCCACAAAGAAGATTCAAAACAGCTATTGCTCATTAAATCTCCCACCCCTGATACATGTTGGACCTCTCAAAGTGTTCCTCAGTGCACTGGAGTAGGTTTTGGTCCTGGTTGAGCATGGGGCCGTGGGGAACATTAAACGTGGCCCTCTTCCTGTTCTGTTGATGAATATGTTTGCTATTTCAAAAAATCTCCTGTTGGTGAAGAGAGAGCAGTTGCAGTCAACGGGATTTTGTTTTCTATAATACTGTATGATTTTCAGTTGAAAATCTCTGTTGCACAAATAGTTTTTCATTAGAACAGATTGTATTTGTTTAAAAACAAAACATGCTTCATCTTCTTGGTTTTTGTTTTGTTTTGAAGTTTCATCTATTTTCAAAATGTGGAAACAAATTTGTTTTGGAAGTGCTTTAGTATTTCTGTTTTGTCTCATTACATAAATTCAAAATGTTCATGAAGCAGGCATCTTGTGTTTTACAACATTCACAGATTTTATTGGCTACTGTTCATGCTCTGAGTGATTATACCAGTAACAATGACTCAGAGCTTTTGATTTCTTTATTTTCAGTAGCATTTGTACCTTCTTTAAATGAGTGAGATATTTTATGCTAATTTATTGAGTTGTATACTTAATGGTTCTCTTCAAATTAAGTACTAAATTTTTCACTCTATGCTTTTCTCTCTATCAGACACGTTATGAACAATGATAAAAGCTTTGTGGTGTAGCAGATTCCCCATTGCCTATCCTAGACATATTTTTTAAAATACCCTATGTCATGCTCCAGGTATCATTGTACTATCAAAAAAATATGGTGGAATGTAAATACTTCCACCCCATTCATCCCTACTCACTTGTTTCTGCCAGCTATTCATCCCTGGAGCACTGGAAATACTTGGATTAGTGTTTAATACTTTTGAGTGTTAGACTGTAGCCTCCAAATATTTGTGAGCTCCACATTTCACCCTGCTGCTGGAATCCACCCTTCCACAACCCTCCTTCCCTTTTTCATTTTAAATATATCACTACATTACCAAATTTGAGCGAGTTATGTTTTTTGATCTGTGTCCTGATTAAAGTTGCCCAGTTCTGCCTCAAAGCCTAACCTTCTTTAGTATGACCCCAGGAAAAATATAAATGGCCATGTCTTTCAGAACCTTACAAATGTAAACAATGCAACAGGAGTCTTATCACGTGATGCTTTTTGATCGTATAAATATTTTCTTCTGGCAGACGAGCCAGTGCAGCACTGAATTCTTTAAAACGCTTCCATGAAATGAAGAAACGAGGACCTAAACCTTATAGCCTTCATCTAGATCACATTGTGCAGAAAGCCATGTCAACACATCAACGAAGAGATCAATATCGTGTGCAAAAAGATATCTTTATTCTAAAGGTAGGATTCTCAGATTTAAGACTTTCTGTGTTTTTTTTAAAAAATGTTTTATTATATGTATATTTGTATCACTAGGAAGCACTTTGTAGTAGTTTAGATGTGTGTGAGAGAGAGTCAAAACTGGAGAGTTTAGTGGTGGTTATTCAAACAGTGGAGCAATCCATAATCACATTATATAGCATAACTTATCCCTCTTCTGTAAGTATTTGAGGCAGGAGTCAAAAATTCTCTGTGAAATTATAAATTGCCTATTAATGTGAATGTAATGGTGTAGCAAATTTCCATTTTACTCTTCTCTTTTGTGATTAAAGGACACAGAGGAGGCATTGTTAACAAATCTAAGAGATAGCCAAGTTCTTCATCACAAAGAGAATCTTGAGTGGAACTGGAATCTTATAGGGACCATACTTAAGGTAAGCAGATATGTCTTGATTAACATTCAAGAAATAGGTTGAGAGAGATTTGGTTTACCATACTTACAGTCCTCTCTATTTTCTGTTTTCTAGTGGCCAAACATCAGCCTAAAGGCTAACAAAGATGAACAATTGCACAGGTATGCAATTAACTTTATGGAGAGATACCCAGATTCTGAAAAGAACTTAATAGTTCTTGAACAAAACCTGTTCCTACATTGTGAAATCACAAATTCAGAAAATATTTCATTACATCTTGAATAAAGTCAGTTCATACATAATGAAATTGTAAAGATAACATTATTTGCTAGTAACAGCTCCATTGGAACATGTGTGTTTGCTATGGAAATGTGTCTACACTGTAATACCATGTTGCAGAGTATGTTGTATTTTCTGCCCTGTTCTCTGATAGTTTTTAAATTTAATTCCTTGAAAGCATTATACAACTGATTTTGAGATATTATGTGCAGTAAATTTGTTTTTTATAACATGTGTAGACTGAGGCAAAATGATTGTCTCAGATTAAACAGTTGAAACAACAACAACAACAATAATAACAGCTTTATTCTTATAACCTACCACCATCTCCCCAAAGGGACTTGAGATATCTTACAGACGGCACAAGGTGCCTAAAACATAAAAGTGAACACAATATAAAATGCAACAAAATAAAACACATTCACATATAAAAACATCAATTCAGACTCAATTTTCAGTCTGTGGTGGTAAATTACTGCAACTATTCCCAAATGGTGAGCCATCTGAACATGGTTCAGATCAGCAAAGCAACAGACAAGACTTTAATGGTGAGGATGTTTTCAGCAAGTCTGAACTGACAGCTGAATTGTGAAGGCAAAATAACAGTTGAAACATTTTAGTAGTGGCTTATCCATAGCTTCTTGTATTCATTCTGATTTCAAACTAAAGGTGGACTAATGTCAAAAAAGATTTCTTTGAATATACTGGTTTCATCCAGAATATATGGATGGCGCAGTGGGTTAAACCCCTGTGCCGGCAGGACTGAAAACCAATAGGTTGCAGGTTCGAATCCGGGGAGAGGCGGATGAGCTCCCTCTATCAGCTCCAGCTCCTCATGGGGACATGAGAGAAGCCTCCCACAAGGATGATAAAAACATCAAATCATCCGGGCGTCCCCTGGGCAACGTCCTTGCAGACGGCCAATTCTCTCACACCAGAAATGACTTGCAGTTTCTCAAGTCGCTCCTGACACGACAAAAAAAAATCCAGAAATTCAGTCTGTGCTAATGCCACATATCCAGATATTTCTCTGGTGAGATGGAACTGTATTTCAGTTCAATCTCAATGGGAATAACTTGTTGACAACAAGAGCATGTTTCTTTTACTTTGCAATAACTTGGTTTACCAAAAAATGTCATAGGATATTCTCCCCTCTCAATATTTTATGTTATCAGAATGGAAAAGTAACCTGGTAGCAAAGACTTAGTACATTTGCTAGGATTTTTTAAAAAATATGACTGGTTTTTTTTTTTTGTTAAAAGAGAAAATGGGTATGTGGCAAGTGACTAAAATTTGAGGAAATTATTTACAACTTTCCTGATAATATTATGATAGTATCCCTTCACTGGTTTTGTATGGATTTGGCAACAGAATGTGACTACAAAGGACTAAAATTCCCCTTCCAAGGTGAATGTGGATTAATGTTAATGTGGTATAACACTTGAAATGAGTAAAATGCGTTGACTGTCTTGCAAAGAAAACATGCTAAACTTTTGTGTGAAACTTTTTGTTTTAAACTTTATTCTTCTGCTTGATACTAGATTTGTACGACGGCTGATATATTTCTATAAGCCCAGCAGCAAATTGTATGCCAACCTGGATCTGGATTATGCAAAATCCAAACAACTCACAGTTGTGGGCTGCCAGTTTGCTGAGTTCCTTCTTGAGTCCGAAGAGGTAAGATTAGTTTAGTTCAGCCATAACTAACAAGGAGCGCCTCCTTATAATTGAACATTGTGGGAGGAGGGAATTTTAAAAAGTTCTCATTCTTTTGTTACACCATGTTTACTACATCTTAAGTAAAGTACAATGGGGGAGATTGATTTTAAAGATTCAGACCAAGAGATTCTAATTTGCTTGACCAAATCTTAGTATATGAATAGATTTTATAATCCATATTGTTTATTCAAAGGCAATGATAGACAAAGTTTAGGAAATACATTGGTTGGAGGCTAAAGAAATAATTTTCCAACTTGGTGCCCCTCAGTGCTCCTAGTACTCTCAAGTACCATCACAAATTGACACATTGTCTGGGCTGTTATCTAATGCATTTGAAGGGGGCCAGGTTCAGGAGTACTGCTGCCAAATATTAAAACACATTAATAAAATGTAAAAGGATGTGATTTTTTGAGTTCTTCGGATAGTTTGAAACCTTTCCTTAACCTTGCACCCAAAGAAGTCACTAAAAATCACATTAAAGTGGTGTCCTGTTACTCCAGCTTTTCCAATGGAACTAGCTTTAATATAGCCAGTGAATCAATAGCTGACATCACCTTCTAAGATCAGTCGGCCTCTTTCAGTTTTATGAGTAAAGAGATCTCATTGCGGCTCCCAGTTTGGAAAAGGCTAGAACATGTTTGTGCAGTAAATTGGCTAAGAAGGCCAAGAGAGTTGTGTGAACTGAATTATAGTTGTTTATTTATTAATTATTTATTTACTGCATTTATATACAGTTTTTCTCACCCCCAGGGTGGAAGCAAAGCAGTTTCCTACATAATAATGGCAAAATTCAATGCCGTACATACATGTTAAAACCAAAGCATAATATCTAGACAATAATGTATAACTTTAAAATCATTAACCATATTAAAACATAAAGCATAAATAAAAAACATTAAACATAGAATCAAAACATCTTAGCATAAACATTAAAATCACATAATCCAAAATCGTAATCTGAAGCCATTCCAGTTGTCAATTGCACATATTCCCTATTAGATTCTTGCACTGCTCACTGACCAAAGACTTGGTCCCACAGCTTGTCTTTGCTCTCTTTCTGAAGGCCAAGAGGGAGGGCGCTGATCTAATTTCACTGGGGAACGAGTTCCGCAGTGGAGGGGCCACTATTGAGAAGGCCCTGTCTCTTGTCCCCACCAGCTGCACCTGTGAAGGAGGTGGGATCGAGAGCAGGGCCTCTCAGGAAGATCTTAACCTCCATCATAGTTTATAGAGGGAGATGCATTTGGACAGGTAAGCTGGGCCAGAACCATTTAGGGCTCCGCCCTGAGTCCCTTTGGGGAGATAGAGCGGAATATAAATAAAGATGATGGTGATGATTATTATTATTATTTGAAACACAACAAGATGAGTCCACAGCAGACAAGATCACTCTACTGGCTGTTGAATTGGATCACACATCGGACCCTTCCCAAGTGTCTAGGACTATGTGATGTATTGGCAAATGATGCATGCATATCCCAGTAAGGTGGCCTTCTGCAGCTGGCAGATGGTAATCTTGTCAGTGCCGATTGTGTTTAAGTGCAGGCCAAGGTCTTTAGGCACTGCACCCAGTGTGCCGTTCACCACTGGGACCACCTTTACTGGCTTGTGCAAGAGTCGTCGCCATCATCGTTATTATTATTATTATCATTATTGGCTAAAGCCAGCCCTTTGGATTGTGCTTGGTAGCAAACTGACAGCCAGTGGAGCTGACATAACAGTTCAAAATAACTAGATGATTTCAGTCAAATAATTAGGTTTACTATTTGAACACACAGAGCAAAAAATGTTGGTTATAACTCTTAACATTTGCTTTAGCCTACCAGTTCATCTCTTGCATGCTGCAAAATATCCTTTTTAAGAGACAATACTGACTGTTAAGCAGTGTGCTATTTCTAGCTGCAGACTGCTGAGCCAAGAAGCCAGGCTACTTCTTTACACAGTCTTGCAAAATTGATTTGTTGGCCTGGTTTTATTCAAGATTTGGGGTGGGGGTTATGCACGGGTCAATCAACATGCACTTTTGCCCCTCAGGAAGGAAGACAGGAAGGAAAGAAGGAAGGAAGGCAGGTGCAACAAAAGGTAGATACAGACTTATCTAAACTTTCTACATGCTAAACCTTTGCATTTTTCTCTTGTCACGCAAAGGGCAGTGAGTCAGAATTGCTCATTCTAGCTCCTTTGTTTGACAAAACTCAGAAACTGATGGGAGAGGAAGGTACCAGAGGATGTAAGTGCGCTTTTGTAGGAACCTGCTCTTGAACTGCTTCACTTGTCAACTGCCACTGTTGCCTCTGAGAAAACACCGCCTGCCTGGAGTTTGTTTACTGTTGTGGCTGCCATAATCCTTACAGGAATAACTTTCAGCTTATGTCAAGATCATCTGAGGGCAGTATCGCAGCTGACCTTCCACTCACATTTCTCATGAAGGAATTCTAAAACAATCTTTAGAGCTTACTTCTTTAAAAAGACTCACTGTTTTTCAAGTCTCTGTACAATTCAGTCTTCTCAATAATTTTTTTTTCGTGTTCATCGTATTTTGTATTGTTCTTGTCAATATTTGTCTTTATGGTAAGAATGATGTAAATAGTTTTCAGTGAACCTCCGCCCCAAAAGGAACTGACACTTTTGTTCTTTCATTTTAAGCAGGATGGTCATAGCTATCTTGAAGACTTAGTGAAAGATATTGTACAATGGCTTAATTCTTCATCTGGAATGAAACCAGAACGCAGTCTCCAGAACAATGGGCTACTTAACACCCTTAGTCAGCACTACTTTTTGTTTTTTGGTACGCTTTCCTGTCATCCCCATGGAGTGAAAATGCTTGAAAAGTGTAACGTGTTTCAGTGGTAAGCATTCGCTTTAGATACAAAATATTTTGACATAACTTGTGGTTTGGAAAATTAATCATTCTCTCACTGTACTTTAAATTATTGCTAGTTTGTTAGTTGATGCTTTTAGTAGTAACAATTCTGAGCCCAAAGCACAACATTAAATTACAGCACTCCCAAACTGTACTTAAATCATTTTCTATACATAACTTAAAAATGTGCTAGATTCCAAACATTTTGTTTTGTGAAGGTGACAACCCATTTAAAAATATATGTATTCATAATATTTCCAAAGTGAGTGCTGCACATTTATAATGTTTATTTAATTGAGAGAATAGACATAGTGCAAAGATTTTACCAGGGAAAGAAAGTCACCTTCATGTTCAAATGTGTTACTAACTTTGTCCTCTTTAGCTTCATAATAATTGTTGGACCTGAAATTATGTAACATTTTAATATAATATAGAAAGCCAATGTGGTGTAATTCCCCCTCAGCCTCAGAGAGTTCAAACACAAACCCCTTTGGAAAAATAATGCCAGGAAACCCCCATAATAGAGAGCCATCATAAGTAAGAAGCAATTTGAAGGCATATGGCTACAGCAAGGGAAAAATCGAGTGTCTCTGATTGAACTTACAATCTAAAAATTAATACTAAGAAGTGTCAGATGGAGAGAAGATGGTGAGATATTTAAAAGTCAGTTGTGTATCTCATATGCATCTGTATCATGGAAACTTTTTGGGATTTAGGAGCTGAACGCCCCCACCCTCCCCACCCCATTAACTCAATCCCAACATATATATTTTGTCATCAAATGCCAACTTTATGCGTTCTTTAGACTGTAAAAAGCAAATTTTCTTTCTGGTATTTAGTTTCCGGAGAAGGTTTTTCCCCCAATAGTAAGTGACCTGGGATTTACTTCCAGTCCAGTTTCTATTGGGGCGGGGGGTCTTAAAACATTCCCAGGGATCTCCCATGACATTGCAAAGATGCCTCTTAACACCTAGTAGGCATTTGGGAATATGTGAGGCAAAAACATTTTTTATTAAAAATTGGGGCACCCTGTGAGCAACAAACATTCCTAATCAACATAATTGGGACATTACTTTCCATTTCATTTATAGATAATTTACATTTGTTTTACCCATACTTAACTGTTTTTCAGTCTCCTTAATCTTTGCTCCTTGAAGAATCAAGACCACTTGCTCAAACTGACAGTTTCTAGTTTGGACTACAGCAGGGATGGATTAGCAAGAGTCATCCTTTCTAAAATTCTAACTGCTTCAACAGATGTAAGTGACAGCCAGCTTTCTTTATTGGGTGGCATTGTTAATTTTTTTGTAGATAGCATCATGGTAGACTGTTGAACTTCAATCATAAAAATTGACAATCAGATCATTGATGACTTTGAAGCAGTTACATTCTGTCAACTTGTTTTATTTCTGGAGGTTATTAAGATGTTGAATGTACATATATGAATCTTGGGGAAAGAGAGAGATAAACATTAAGTCCCCTAGTTTTACATAAAGCAGTTTCAGTTTGTAGTTATATTCACACAGTTCTTGGTATAGAGAATTGGTGCTTTGGGAATTTCAGATTTCTGTTGTGATAAAAAACACAATATATGAGCTGTCTACTTCTAAATTTCTCATCCATTCTGACAGGATTTGGGATTTATAGGCCTAATCTCAAAGGTGTTTGCCACTTCCTTAATTATGCTCATGGAAATATAGCTGTATTTTGAAGCATGTTATCTAATTGCAAGTTTGGAAAATATGCTTTTATTTGCCATATTTCATCAACTGCTTTTCTACTAAGCAGGTTTTTTTTTTCCTTTATAGAACTGTAGGTTGTATGCTACCAAACACCTCCGAGTTCTTCTGAGGGCCAATGTAGAGTTCTTCAGTAACTGGGGAATTGAATTATTGGTCACTCAGCTTCATGACAAAAATAAGGCAATTTCTTCAGAAGCACTTGATATCCTCGATGAAGCATGTGAAGACAAGGTAGGAATCCTTTGCACACTTTTCTAGAATTCTGTGGTTTTGTGCACGTATATATTAAGAGATAGATACATCAGATTTTTCTACACTAAATTTACTTTGCTTGGTAACATAAAAATTGATGTTGCTTATATAGCAGTATATAATAATCTGTAGGAGCATGCCCCAGATGTAATTGCAGAAAGAGTGAAAGTCATGAAGAATCTTTGTTAAATCTGAATTACTCATATATCTTAAATTTCTCAGGTCCGCCTCTCACAATTAGAGCATCTAAGATAGATAATTTCTAAGACATAAAAGTGTTTCAGACATGCAGTTTAATGTCCATAGTTTATACATATTCAAATTGCTTCATATAAGGAAATAAGCCCACGAGTAATTCCTTAGTGATTGGTGAGAGAGTTCAGTATATCTGTAAGAGCCGCCGCAAACTAGCCTCCTGCGGGAGCAAACTTTGCCAGCACGTCCCTGACGTCATGAGACTGCGCCTCTCTCTCCGCCCCTTTCTCCGCCTCTTTCTCCGTGCCAGAGTGGTTTTTCCTTTGCTAGGGCAGCATTGCCAGCGTGCTCTCGTTGTTGAATTCTGTCAACAACGAGAGCACGCTGGCAATGCTGCCCTAGCAAAGGAAAAATCACTCTGGCACGGAGAAAGAGGCGGAGAAAGGGGCGGAGAGAGAGGCGGAGTCTCATGACGTCAGGGACGTGCTGGCAAAGTTTGCTCCCCCAGGAGGCTAGTTTGCGACGGGTCTAACTTAACTTTTGATATATTGTTAAAATATCACTTCTGTATTCTCTTTTAGGCAAACCTTCATGCTCTCATTCAGATGAAACCAGCACTGTCACACCTTGGAGACAAGGGCTTGCTTCTCCTTTTAAGGTAGTAAACCTTGAATATAACAAGTCATTTAATATGCATTTTCATAATCAATCAAAACATTTATAAATAGTGTGTTATGGTATATTTTTTTCAGATTTCTTTCCATTCCAAAAGGGTTTTCCTATCTAAATGAGCGAGGTTACGTGACAAAACAAATGGAGAAATGGCAGAAGGTACTTTTTAAAAAATGCAGTCTGTGAGACGTATAGTTTGAAATGTCTCACTTCTTGTTTTGCTGAGGTTTTCTTTTGCTGAAGCCACTCCTCAAGCACCAAAAAATGAGTGCAATCGAGATCATGTTGAGCATTTTCAGGTCCCAGTGATAACAACAGGAGAAAATCCTGGTAAAAATTCTCTAAATTTGGCACAATGGCCTGTAACACCTCAAGTTTTGTTTCTGGATATTTTGGAGGGAGAAAATAACCCATTATATTCCCATCCACACCCTCCTTCTTGCTACATTTCCCCGCTCCATTCAGCTGGTTAAAATATGTAATTCTTCTCAGGTCCTTTTTCAATTGCCACCATTTTGTTTCTCCTTTGCTTGACCCCTTTCTCTTTCCCCATCATATGGATATTCAACCTCTTCATGTCATGATCTCGCAAGTTAAGCCCTTCCTTTTTCATTCATCCACACGATTTTCAGATCACCTTCACTCTCCTGCCCTGAGCCATTTTGACTGGTGGTCTTCTTCATGGGTACTCCTTCATTCAAAACCAGTAGAGAAGTTTTTCAGATGAACATCTTATCTGTGGAGTCACAATCTCCACACAAGTCTAGCAGCAAATAATGGTTGAAAATAGCTAATTTTGCAGCTCACTTGGTACTCTTGTGTAGCATGCAAAACTTTGGTAAAATTAGTCATTCTTATCTGAAGAAACAGCAAGTTGAGATTTGCATCCCTAGCATAACATCTATTACTATCTAATGTTGTAAATGTTGCCGGGTATCAGTTTACTTGACTGTTATACTTTAATCAATTGTATGTATAGTTTTGAAAGTATAGCCCATGGCAAGAGGCATTTTAACTATTTTCATTGTTATGAAAAGCCCTTTATAATGAACAGCAATTTCATTGTGGAAATGTTCCCACTTGGTTTATCATAGATATTATTATATTTTCTAGCATATTGTAACCTATATTTGTAGGTATTTTCTAGAAAAAAATACTTTTCCAATATGCTCTGTATTCTATTATCATCTTAGGAGTACAACTTAAAATATGTTGACTTGATAGAAGAGCAACTTAATGAAGCACTGACCACTTACCGGAAACCTGTTGATGGCGATAATTATGTTCGGCGTAGCAACCAAAGGTGAGCAAAGTAAAAGAGAACCTTGATTGTTTTGACAAAGCAGTGGCAACATAGAATGGAATGACTTTGTTTCGATGCAAATGGACCATTCTTTTTTTCTAGATTGCAGCGGCCACATGTTTATCTGCCAGTTCACCTTTATGGCCAACTGGTACACCACAAAACAGGCTGCCATTTGTTGGAAGCTCAGGTGAGGAAACTTAAATGTAGCTGATTCAAAATAAGGTAACATTGCAACCTTCTTTCAACTGTTTTAGCATATATTTGGATATTTCTGGTTCAGAATTGCATAACATGTGTTATTTTATGAAATTGTTTGTTTGCTTTTGCTAGCTAGGTCAAGTATCTCCTAATGCAAAAATGCAGTCCATTTTTGTGGCCTAAATGTAGAATTGTGCATTTGTCTTTATTGGATTTCATTTTACTAATTTCAGCCCAGTATTCTAATTTATTAAGATCCTTTTGAATTCTGTTCCTATTTACCTCTCCCAGTTTTTGTATCATTTGCAAATTGGATAAGGATTCCTTCTACCCCATCATCTAAGATAATAATATTGAAGTGCTGCACTTGAGACTTCCTTTCAACTTGTAGCACAGCCATCCATAAGAACTGTTTGGTCATGGTTTTCCAACTAATTAATGATCACTTTGATGGTATTTACTAGGCCTGGGTAACAACGGAAAAATTTGTTTCTAAAATCGATTTGTATTTGGGGGGTTTTTTTGTTTCGATATTTAAAATAATTACAAAATTTTCCCTTAAAAAAGTTCGGTATTTACAAAATTTCGTAAATATTTACGAATCGATTCGTTAAGGTGGCGCCCGCGTTAGCGCATGCGCAAAGCGTTTACGAAAATTCGTTATTTGTGAAACCGCCAATAACGAATCGATTCGTTGAGACGGTGCCCGCGTTAGCGCATGCGCAAAGCATTTACGAAATTTCGTTATTCGTAAAACCGTTAATAACGAATCGATTCGTTAAGACGGCGCCCGCGTTAGCGCAATGCAAAACAAAAAACCATGTAAAACAAAAACATTTACAACATATACAGCTTCATAATGGACATTTAGATGGGACATGGAACTCATTTTCTGTTTTTTTTTCACGGGTTGGAACTACACAAATAATGAGCGAGCACTGTATTATGTAGCATTTTGTGTTGGCAAAAGGAGCGCACTGGTTGGAACTACACAAATGAGCGAGCACTGTCTTATAGCACTTTCTGTTGGCAAAAGGAGCGCACTGGTTGGAACTACACAAATGAGCGAGCACTGTATTATAGCACTTTGTGTTGGCAAAAGGAGCGCACTGGTTGGAACTACACAAATGATGAGCAAGCACTGTATCATAGCACTTTGTGTTGGCAAAAGGAGCGCACTGGTTGGAACTACACAAATGAGCAGCACTGTATTATAGCACTTTGTGTTGGCAAAAGGAGCGCACTGGTTGGAACTACACAAATGACAAACGCACACACAGGCTCACAAGATTCTTTTCTTTTTTTAGAATATTTTTTGATTTTTTTAAGAATAAAAGAAAGGTATTTTTCAAAAATATTTAAAAATGGAAAATGAACAAAATGCTCTCCCTGCTGTGGAGCAAACAGCCACAGGACAGGGACAAACGATAGCACACAGCCACAGAAGGGTCTTTTCTTTTTTTAGAATATTTTTTGATTTTTTTTAAGAATAAAAGAAAGGTATTTTTCAAAAATATTTAAAAATGGAAAATTAACAAAATGCTCGCCCTGCTGTGGAGCAAACAGCCACAGGACAGGGACAAACTCACACACACAGGCACACAAGGGTCTTTTCTTTTTTTTTAGGCACTTTTCTTTTTTTAGAATATTTAAAAATGGAAAATTAACAAAATGCTCGCCCTGTTGTGGAGCAAACAGCCACAGGACAGGGACAAACGATAGCACACAGCCACAGAAGGGTCTTTTCTTTTTTTTAGAATATTTTTTGATTTTTTTTAAGAATAAAAGAAAGGTATTTTTCAAAAATATTTAAAAATGGAAAATGAACAAAATGCTCTCCCTGCTGTGGAGCAAACAGCCACAAGACAGGGACAAACGAGAGCACACAGCCACAGAAGGGTCTTTTCTTTTTTTAGAATATTTTTTGATTTTTTTTAAGAATAAAAGAAAGGTATTTTTCAAAAATATTTAAAAATGGAAAATTAACAAAATGCTCGCCCTGCTGTGGAGCAAACAGCCACAGGACAGGGACAAACGATAGCACACAGCCACAGAAGGGTCTTTTCTTTTTTTAGAATATTTTTTGATTTTTTTTAAGAATAAAAGAAAGGTATTTTTCAAAAATATTTAAAAATGGAAAATTAACAAATTAACAAAAACCGCCCTCGCTCTCCCAACAACAGAATAAAGGAATGCAAAAATGAAAGCAAATGAATCAATGCAAGGAATGAATCCAAGCTTAGCAATAGCCAACCAAGCCAAGCAAATCCAAGCCGCCCTCCCGGACCTCCCGTTCTCTCTTCTCCCTCGCCTCCGCAACAATGAGCAATGCGGCCACGCGGAGCCGCTTTTAAAGGGCTTCCCGGCCAATCAAAATCAGCCACGGTGCACTGCTTGGGTGCTTGGGAGCGCCGGATTGGCTCCCAGGCACCAGCATCCTCCATCCCATTTCCGAAACGGGCGGAAGCTCGTAAAAAGGATGGAGGATGCCGTTTCGTTATTGAAAAACCCTTCCGGGTTTGAAAATATGTTTTGTATTCATTTTGTAATTGTTAAATATAACGAATATTTAACGAATTACAAAATTAACGAACGAAACCGCCCAGGCCTAGTATTTACATCTATGTGCTACATTAGTGACTTGCTCGAAAAAAAAAAAGAAGATAAAATATTAGTTTAACAAACACATACTGACTCCTACTGATCACTACATTGTTGTCAAGATGGGAATCAAACAAGTGGTTGGTTTCCATTTTCCATGCTTCTGCCACTGTAACATATGAGCTAAACTCACGAGATTGTGGGGTTGCCATACTTCATGGGGCAATGAGCGAGTCTGGATACGTCTTCATATAAGAAATGGCTTTATCAGTAATTATGTTGTTATTTGTGCTAGTACTCAATCAAATTATTAACATCATTAAATATATTGCTTCAATTTAGTTAATGTTACTAAGGCCATAACCTTTTTGTATTTTGCTTTGAACACTTAGCAAGAGCTGGAAAGGGAATTCAGAAATAAATAAACAAACAAAAATTAGGCCTGACATAGTGAAACTGCTTTGTGATTGTTCTCTTTATTCTTTAGAGCATTGTTCCTGACCTGAGTTACACTGTTCGTTCTCCAATGCTGGATAAATGGGAAGGGATTAAGCAACTGAAAGCAGCTCTCTGGGCATTGGTTAGTTTTAAAAAATTCTACCATGCATTGTTATTCTTTTCTGTATCTGTATCAGACTATGCATCAGTAGTTCTGTTGGATAGATTTCTATCCCAGGGGGTACCTTGACTTCTGAAAATATCATGCCTGCAGTCCGCAACAAACAAAACCAGAATTGGGCAGAAATCTAGTTCTTGTCTTGAAAAGAATTACGCATCTATGTTAAAAAATAGGAAAGGAGATTCCACCTGAACATGAGGAAGAACTTCCTAACTGTGAGAGCTGTTCAGCAGTGGAACTCTTTGCCCCGGAGTGTGGTGAAGGTTCCTTCTTTGGAGGCTTTTAAACAGAGGCTGGATGGCCATCAGTCAGGAGTGCTTTGAATGCAATTTGCCTGCTTCTTGGTAGGGGGTTGGACTGGATGAGATCTCTTCCAACTCTATGATTCTATGCTATGAATTGCAGAGGGTGCAATCTAGTTAAGGAGGTGATGTATGGATTCTGGAGTCTTTTAGGAAAATAGCTCCTGTATTTTCCTAGAAAATTTATGATCCAGGAAAAAGAGGGTGAAGGTTGAAAAAATAACCTTGGAGGGGTGCACTTTACTCCCCCCATAATCTATATTCATATGAAATATTCCTTCCCTTCCTGTTGTCTCACCCCTGTTTGTAGCTAGGAGTCGTATGTAAGTCAGAGGTTTGTAACTAGAGACTGCCTTTATTTAAAATTTAAAATGTGAAAGGAATCAGTAAAAATATTTCAGTAAAAATAATATTATTCATCAGTTAAAATCATAAACCTATCTGAATGAGAACATTTTTGCCTACCAACAGTAGGAAAAATTATAAATGTGTGGTCTCATTTGTTAGAGGGTGCCAAATTTGGAAGCAGAAATGATAAGATTTTCTCATTCAAATGTACCCTTAGTGTTGATGGGTCAGGAAAGAGTCCTTTCCAAGCATCTTAAGGTCTTGGGTTGTTTACTAATTTTTGTTTATTAAGAGTATGGTATCCAGGATTTATTGCTCACCCCTCCCCTCTCTTGAGTTGTATAGATTTCCTTACATTGACAAGTGTGCTGAACAATGGTCCCAAGTTCTCTGCTGCTCTGAGGCCACCTCTATGGCTATGTATGACAGACAAAGTCAGGGTCAACCTGGGTTTGATCTCACTGAAGAGTAAAAACTCTGCTTCTGCTGCTGACAGGATTTGGGAACAGAGTTATATGAACACTAAAGTAGAATCCCAGAATTGCTTTGGACCAGCCCCTGATTTTGTCACCCATGTAAATGTGCCTCAGGAATGAATAAAAGTTTGTGCATATAGACATATTTTCTGACTCCTTGTAGGTTGCAGCCAAAGGTTCCTTTCCATAGGCAAAACCACTTTTCTAACACAGTAAGGAATATTTTGATGCCAACCTTTTAAACCTAATTTGATAGATGATAATTAGTGTGTTGATGAAAATGTAATTCTGTAATTCAAATTAAAATATGGTAATAAAATGTAAAATTAATGAAATCATAAAATTGAAAGGGATCACAGATGTTATCTAGTCCAATACCCTCCTATAGAGCATTCTGAAAGCTGCTCATCCAACCTCTGTTTAGGACTTTGAAGAAGGAGAGTGCACCACTCTGTTAGATAGTTTATTCCACTGTCGAGCAGCTATTTACAGTGAAGATGTTCTTATTGATGTTTTGATAGATTCTCTTTGCCTTTAATGTGGATCAGTTGATTCAGCTACTAATCTCTGGAGCAGCAGAAAACAAATTTGCTGTGTCTTCTACTCGACATCCTTTCAAATACATAAAAAGATGGCTATCAGATCACTTCTTAATCTTACCTCCTAAAGCTAAACACCGTTTCTTAAGCATTCCTGATTGGGCTTGGTTGCCTGATTTTTTAACATCATCTTTGCTCTCTTCTGGATATATTCCAGTTTGTTAGTACCTTTCTGGAGTTGTGGTGCCCAGCATGCTGTATTCATGGGAAAGTAGGACAAATGGGCATATTGTCTCAAAGAACTATTGTTTTAAGGCAATATACCCATATCAGACTCCACAATAGGTATGATTATGTAACTTTAATGCAAACTGTGGGAAAATCAGAATGATTAGTAATTTCCATATTGTACTGTTTCTCCAGTTTATTGCTTCAGGTATGATCACAACTAATATTTACATTTCAGGGAAATATTGGTTCTTCAAATTGGGGTCTGAATTTGCTTCAAGAGGAAAATGTGATTCCAGATATAATGGCGCTTGCCCAGCAGTGTGAGGTTCTGTCTGTTAGAGGGTAGGTATAATATGATAATTGAAACCTTCCTTGTCAAGTATCTATTGGGGTGCTGGGGAAGGGGGACTGTTCCTCCCCTTTCTTTCACTTGGTATCACAAAGCCTGATTTGCTCCTCAGTTTGTGCTTCTATGCTTCACAAATGATGTATGATTTTTGGAGAGAGAAAAGTGACTCATAAAATGCCTAGAAATAACAGGGTTTTTAAAATTTCTGCCTTTAAAAAACTGTTGCATTCTGGCTTTCTCTATTAATGAGCTTGGCACATTCACTACCCTTTGAGTATCGCATATACTAACAGTTGTACCTCCATTCTTTGAGACACAGTAAAATGGACAATAAATTGCTGAACCAAAAACACAAAAAGATTAATAAATTAAGGTTTTGTGCATATCCTTTATGGCATAATTTGTATTAATTCCCTCCATTTATTTTAAAAATACTAATAATAATTTTAAAAGGCATGTAGTATGGCTGTAGTCTGCCTCATGCACAGAGGAAGAACTGTCTAAAGCTACAGATAATGTGGTCGCTGTTGCCTGTTTTTGGTCTAAAATTATTTAGCTGCTTGTGTTTCCTCTATTTTATCAGTTGTATACTAATTTACTTTATGCAGTGCTTTTGACACAAAATAAATAAATGGCTGTAGTATCACTGATGCAGTTGTTATGTCTGATTTGGCATTGTTTTTACTTTAAATAATTAAAAATACATGTTGTGATAGATCTCTTGTCTAGGTTGGCCTAGCAGCTCCAACCCTTGGGATCCCATCACTTGTCTTGCTCTTTTAGCCTTATAATTGCTCCCTGGATCTGATATTTGGGGCTCAAGGTTACTACTGGACAAGTGAATGTTTTGCTTGTTAGGTTCAGTGTGAATAGTCTTCCTTCTTAATTATCACATCAATATATCTAGAGAGAAAAGTAGAAAATAAAAACAATAAAGTTTCATTGTACAGCAAACATCCAGGATGTTTTTTTGTCAGTTACACAGTGATTCCTCACATAGTGCATCACAACATCTCAGTTTTAAGCAATACTTTCCCCTGAATTCTGCTCTTTCAATTCAAAACAAAGAAAACATTACACTATTTGCACAGACGGGGGTCTGAGCACTGAACTCTAATATGATCTAGGTCCTCAGAGTTACAAGCTTTATGAAACTGTGATCCTGAATTCCAGTCAAAAAGGTTGGGATGTTTAGTCCATAGAAGTATGCCTAACTGCATGTTTGATTGATGCCATTATAGCCAACACTTCCAGGCTGATTTGATCAAAATTCTTTGTGGCAAAAAAGCAGGAAAATATATTCTGTCTCTTAGTCATGGCTTGTTGCCTCTTGACCCTAAAATAAGAATTTGTTATATTCTTGTTTTGTAAATATAGGACATGTGTCTACGTGCTTGGCTTAATAGCCAAAACGAAACAAGGTTGTGACATTCTGAAACATCATAATTGGGATGCGGTGAGACACAGTCGAAGACAGCCATGGCCAGTAGTCCCTGATGACATGGAACAACTCTGCAATGAACTCTCTTCCATCCCCAGCACACTTAGCTTAAACTCTGAATCAACTGGGTCAAGGCACAACAGTGAAAGTGAATCTGCACCATCAAGTAAGCATGTGTAGTTGTATCAATACAGTTAATAATGTTATTTATTTCCCCCCAAAATATACATAGGCATGAGCTTTGTGAAGGAGGCAGTTACTGTGTTTACTTTTCACATTAAGCTATAAATTCCAACTCTGAAAGTAAATGTGAGTAAGCTGCACACTTGTGCAATTTATCACATTTAGTTGCACTGTGTTCCTCTTGTTCGTGCTGGTGTTGGCCTGAAAGCAACCAATATTTGCAATCCAAGAACAATTCCTAGTTTAAAACTGGCCTATGAATTCTGATTGATTTGGGTATAGAATCCATAATTCTATATTCAGGCATCAAATATGCTACCGGTTTCTCTTTCTTTTTAACTATTTGTAAAAGCAGGAGTGATATAGTCCAAAAGGGAAATCAGCATTTAATTCAAACTAATAAAAATAAGTCCCATCCAATCAGAAATCTGAAAGAATTTGCTGAATTTTCTTTACCATATTACATTTTGATTACAGTAGCAGCCCATACCAATTTCAGGTTCTACTGTTTGGTCTTGCATCTTCATCCAGGAATGGAGTTTGAGCCAGACATAAACTGTGGTGTGTGGTTGAGTGTGATTCTTAATCAATATCCATGTCTCAGATGATACTGGGGCCACTGTATTTGCAGCTTACTTCAAAAAAAAACAAAAACAAAAAAGAAACACACTATTGCTGAGTTGTGTCTTTCCTAGTTTGGGCCTGAAATGCCTATTAAATGTGGGGAACATAGAACAGTACATGAAGATCTGGTTTGTTCCTCTCATAGCTAATCAGTATTGAAGTTCTAGAAGTAGTAGAAGTGAAGTCAGGGTATGTTATTTTTTTCTTTAAAAAAATGAATTGTTCCACAATATGTTGAATATTCCACAATTGGATATATTAAAGGATAATTTTAACAACTGTAAAAGACTTAATACTTTCCAGTATTTAAAATTACATTAAAAATGGTGGGTAGGATCCATACATAGACATACTTAGAGAGAAATAACTGAAATCAAGGGGATAAAGTTCATTATAAGTTATGTGCTGATGGGTTTCAGTGGGTTTGCTCCAAGCATGGCTAAGCCTGATACAGACCTTATATAACATCCGTTATTCAAACTTTCATGGATTGATACTGTTTTAGCAGTGCATTCTTTTATTTTCAGGCATGTTCATTATGGAAGATGACAGGATTGGCAGCACCTCTACTAGCACATTTTTCCTAGATATCTCAGAAGATGGAGAGCAGAATCTCTATGACCAAGCTGGATCTTTGAAAGATAAAGATCGCAGTCCCTTCCCTTTTTTCTCTTCCGGCAGGCTTGCAAAGAATAGATTTTTAAATTCTCTTACTTTGCCTAATAAAAAGCACAGAAGCAGCAGTATTCCTAAAAGTGGCAAGCTTTCTTCTTCAGAGAGCAAAATGGGTTTGAGGCGAAATCGCACAGTAACTGAGCCTTCTAGCAGTATGGATTTTACACGGGGGGATGATTTCACGCCAATATTCAGGGTGCCTAAAATACAAACTTTCAAGCTGGAAACATCATTTGTTGGGAGCAGGCAAAATGAAGATGCAGCAAGCACCCCAAGCCTTGGTGAGAATGACCTAAAACTTCCAAATAACTTTGGCCATGAAAAACACCGGGAAAACACCAGCCGAGAAAGGCTAATGGGGGATGTTTCTACACAAACTAACTTCAAAAGTCGTAGTTTGAGTTTTAATACAGATACCACTACAAGTGGCATAAGTTCAATGAGTTCAAGCCCCTCAAGGGAAACTATGGGAGTGGACACTACAAATATAGACACAGACTGTGGGAGTTTAAGTACTGTGGTGAGTACCAAGACTGTTAAAACTATTCAGTATTCGACTCCCCAGCCTAATCACCTCCCACTCTCAAAGTCAAATTCTGTTTCCCTGGTGCCACCAGGGTCCTCACACACTCTTCCTCGGAGAGCACAGTCACTAAAAGCTCCTTCACTAGCTACAATAAAAAGTCTGGCTGACTATAACTTTAGTTATACCAGTTCTCGAGACGCCTTTGGATATGCAACGCTAAAACGCTTGCAGCAACAGAGGATGCACCCTTCTTTGTCGCATTCAGAAGCCCTGGCTTCTCCAGCAAAGGATGTGCTTTTCACGGACACTATCACAATGAAGTCTGGCAGTCTAGATTCCCGATTAACACAAAACAGGTAACTGTGTATTTCTTTGACTTTTCTTAAAAATATAGATAAGATAGGTTCCGTTAACAGGGATGAAATATGAACCAGAAATTTTGGATACAATTCAAAGAAGCTTTACAGTTAGCATGTTCTTCATAGAAGCTTCACATGCCTAAGACTGTTTCACTGTAACTGTTATTATTTTGTTGGCCATGATTCTCAAATTTGGACAGGGTTCTTTAAAAACATACCCCTTATGTTGTAATTTAGACTTAAAGACCACCTTCCACATTACAGTTTAAATATGTAATGTTTAAAACACTTTTAGTAATGTGTTGTCAAAGGCACTCATGGCTGGAATCACTGGCTGTGAGTTTTCCGGGCTGTCTGGCCATGTTTCAGAAGGATTCTCTCTTGATGTTTCGCCCACATCTATGGCAAACATCCTCAGAGGTTGTAAGGTCTATTGGAAACTAGGCAGGTGAGGTTTATATAAGAGCCGCCGCAAACTAGGCTCCTGCGGGAGCAAACCTTGCGAGCACGTCCTTGACGTCACGAGACTGCGCCTCTCTCTCCGCCCCTTTCTCCACCCCTTTCTCCATGCTAGAGAAGAAAACCACTGGTTTTTCCTTTGCTAGGGCAGCATTGCCAGCGTTCTCTCTCAGTTGAATTCTGCCAACTGAGAGAGTACGCTGGCAATGCTGCCCTAGCAAAGGAAAAACCACGCTGGCACAGAGAAAGGGGCGGAGAAAGGGGCGGGGCGAGAGGCGGAGTCTCATGACGTCAGGGACGTGCTGGCAAGGTTTGCTCCCGCAGGAGCCTAGTTTGCGACGGGTCTAACTGTGGAATGTCCAGGCTGGGAGAAAGAGGCTAGTTTGAATGTTGCAATTGATCACCTTGATTAGCATTCACCTTGAATAGCCTTGCAGCTTCAAGGCTTGGTTGCTTCCTACCTGGGGGATCCTTTGTTTGGAGCTGATTAGCTGGCCCTGTTTGTTTCTTGTTTGGAATTCCCCCATATGTTGAGTGGTACTCTTTACTTACTGTCCTGATTTTAGAGTTTTTTAATACTGGTAGCCAGATTTTATTCATTTTCATGGTTTCCTCCTTTCTGTTGAAATTGACCACATACTTGTGGAGTTCAATGGCTTCACAATGTAGTCTGACATGGTAGTTGTTAGAGTGGTACAACTTTTCTGTGTTCTCAAATAATACTCTGTGTCCAGGTTGGTTCATCAGGTGCTCTGCTATGGCTGACTTCTCTGGTTGAATTAGTCTGCAATGCCTTTCATGTTTCTTGATTCGTGTTTGAGCGTTGCTGTGTCTGGTGATCCCTATGTAGAGTTGTACACAGCTGCATGGTATACGGTAGACTCCTGCAGAGGTGGGAGGATCCCTCTTGTCCTTGGCTGAACATAGCATTTGTTGGATTCCAAAACAAATCAAGGAACATGAAAGGTACTAGATGTGGGTGAAAAGTCAGGAGAGAATGCTTCTGGAACATGACCATACAGTCTGGAAAAATCACAGCAAACCACTTCAAGTATTCTCTTCAGTCACCTGGTATTTGCAAATACCTCAACACGGAAACATATTCCCCACTCTCATGTGTTCCAATTGTCATTCATAGATGGATTTGTAATTACTATAGAAGATTTTGTTGTCCCTTATGCCTCTCCACTAGAAGTGCCTCACAGTACCTAATGGGAAATTTGGTGAGGAACATAACATATCAGCAATAGAGTTTCTGGCAATCAGTACACTGAAATTTCACCACTTTATCAATGATTATATTTCAAAAGTGACATGAGAATTCATAGCTCCATCACAGGTAAATCAAACAAAACCCAATAAGTGATCTAGCACACTGGTGGCCTGCAGATAGCTGCTGATTCCTGAACCATCATCTGTCAGTCTATGACACTTTTTCTAGTCAAAAAAGAAACACATTGTATTATTAGAGCACAAACAGGGCACAGATTCCTGGAACACTAGGGGAAAAAAGATGATCTCTCTTGTGGGATAGCTTGAAAGGCACTGATCTAGCCCTTACTATTTTACTGTGGATATTGTTGAACTGTAATAATATGGTAAGTAGGTTTTATTTATGGAAGTGTTAGTCATTGAAATTGTTCTCATATGAATTGTTAGGATAATTATTTACTTATCTATTTATTTACTATATTTCTATACCGCCATTCTCAGCCCGGGGGCGACTCATGGCGGTTTACAGAACAGCACAATTCAATGCCCCCATAACAATATAAAAATAGCTAAAACATTTAAACATAGATACAAATTCACTACATAATAATATCAATAAAAACATCATAAAACAATAAATCCTCTGCATTTCATTACCAAATTATTATCCAGTTGCGTTGTCCAGCCATTCTAAGATCAGAGTTTATCTGCTACACTGCATATGGGAAAGCCTGCTCAAATAGCCAGGTTTTAACTCTTTTACAAAACGTTAAGAGGGTGAGGGCTGATCTAATGTCCCTGGGGAGGGCATTCCACAGCCGAGGGGCCACTGCTGAGAAGGCCCTGTCTCTCATCCCTGCCAGCTGAACCTGTTAAGATGGCAGGACCGAGAGCAGGGCCTCCTCAGAAGATCTTTAATTTCTCGATGGTTCGTAAGGAGAGATACATTCAGACAGATAGGCAGGGTCGGAACCGTCTGATGGATTTGGATATCTTATGGTATCACATTGCTGTTCTTATTGTTTAGATTCCTATAGATGTTGCTTATATAACATTCTTTTAAATTTTAATGTCCTCAACAAGACATTTAAATTGAATAAAAATACATAAAATTTTGCCTTGAACCAAGGTACTCATTTAGATTAGAATTTCAAGTCAATACTTTACAAATCTATACTTATAAATGAATATTTTTTTCCTCTAGTTGCCAACTAGTAAACTGCTATTATTATAAGATTGAGCAATGCAGCTTCAATTAAAGAGAGTCTTGTTCAGTAAACTAAAAGTGAAATCTAACCTAAAATGTTAGTTAAACATAGTAAGAACCAGCTATTTTCAATATTAGTCCAATACATTCAAATAATCACGTGTTCCAAATTTTTTATATGTTCAAAATAGTTCAAAATAGTTGAAACAGTCCATGAATTTTTTAAGTGAGCGTCTTGACCAGATACACCAGGGAGCTAGAAAATATAAATGAGCTCAAGTGTAAATTTTCTCTTGCAAATTGAGACAACTTGTTTTATTGGAAAATCCGCACATAGCATCATCTGCAACTCTGAACCAGAAGAGGGGAAACTGGTCCTTCCTATGTTGTTGAATTCAAGCTCCCATCAGCATCACCCAACATGTCTAATGTTCAGTGTGCATATGAATTGTTGTCCAGCATCCAATGCAGGACTACAGTTGCCCAATGTCTGCCTCAAGCAATATTTCTTTGAATTGTTTTTCATCAGGTATTCCATGAAGAGGCAAAGCAAGGTGCTCCATCTTTACAACTATATAGTGTATCAATATAGAGCCATGACTGTGGCTTTCAAAAAAAAATTTTCTATGTGTTTCTTCTATGCCACTACAGGTTCATAAGAGCTTTAAGTTATGCATCATCTCTAGATAAAGAAGATTTATTAAGTCCTATTAATCAAAATACTCTGCAGCGCTCTTCTTCTGTTCGTTCCATGGTGTCAAATGCTACCTATGGTAGCTCAGATGATTACATTGGACTTGCACTTCCTGTTGATATCAATGAAATATTTCAGGTATTGTTCAGAGTGCTTTTCTTTCAACGATTACATGTTCATTTAATTTATCATATGAGATTCATTATTCCATTTGTCAGGAAATTCTTGTCACATTTCCTTTACAGTGTTTACGCAGAGGAATCATGGTGTAGTTTGCCTAGTGTATAATAGAGCTTAGCAACTTTCGTGAATCTGGGTGCTATTTTTCTGTCCTAGGACCTTTTTATCAATTTTCCCAGAATTTCAGGATGTAGCAATACTGTGTTCTGATTTTTAAAAGCAGCTGTTTGCACATTTCTTTCATGTTTTCATACTGTTAGAAATTTTTAAAGCAAGTTTTTTTTTATGTGTGGTGGGTATGGTGGGGATTGCAATTGATGTAGAAAGTGAGTTTGCCAATCCTGAAGGCTTCCATAAGATGTGAATATTTTTTAGAAGTTTTGCTAGGAGATCTGGGAGATCTGCTTAGGTCAAGGACAACATTTATTAAACACTAACTTGAGGACCCATCAATGCCTGGGTTATTTGAGAAAGGCATTGTTTGTTTTTTCAAATTTGGTAATATCAGTTTGTTTGCGTATAATGCTATTTATTACTAAAAAAACAGACATTCCTTTTGGTTTTTAAGAATGCTCCCAATAGAAAATGCATAAGGATGTAGGTGACCTACATTTCCCAGAATCATGGGTCAGTCCTTCCCAAACCCTTCTGTTATTCAAAGTTGGCCATGTTGGATTTGTGTGCCAAATGTGGTCCAGATCCGATATCACCTGGAGTCAGTGATATCTAGATAAGGGTGAACTAAAACTCTCTGATTCCCAGGGCAATCACCCATAAACCCAGCTAGTAATCACAGTTGCCTATATTGGTTCTCTGTGTCCAAAGTTTGGTCCAGATTTGTCGTCAGCTGGGTTCACTGCTCTCTGGATAAAGGTGAACTACAACTCCCAGATTCCCAGGACATTCATGACCAAACCCTACCAGTATGCACAGTTGGCCATATTGGGTCTGTGTGGCAAGTTTGGTCCAGATCTGTCATTGGCTGTATTCACAGTGCTGTCTGGATGTAGGTGAACTATAACTCCTATAAATCAAGGTCAGTTCCCCCAAACCTGGTCATGGGGTTTTCTGTGCCAAATGTGGTCCAAGTCCATTATTGAAGGGGGTCAGAGTGCTCTGCCTTGATTCAGGGTGAACTGCAACTTCCATCCTGTTAAATCAGTCCCCCAAACTCCCCCAGTCTGTTCAATTGCTGATCAGTTCCTCTGTGTTTGCTGTGTGCCATAGGAATGGGGGGAAAGGGTTAAGGGAGAGGTAGTGGGCGTGGTCATGCAAATTCCACATAAGGAACCCTGGGATACCTGCCTGTAGTGGAGGAAACACATGAAATCTAGGATGCAGTTTTCCCCAAATGAAAGCATTCCTTGGTTTTTTGGGGAGAACATTGGCAGGGTTTGCGCTACATATTCATGGTGCTCACTATAACCTGCAATGTCAGTTTAGCCAGTGTCTTGGAGGCTTCTCAGCACTTGTGGAGGCAAGAGGCTGTCTGTGTACGTGGACACCTCTGCCACATACACACATATTTTTACTTTTATTATGTGTATAAATAAGACATTTTTAAAAAATCTAGAAGAATATTTAGCAGTATTAGAAAGGGTCTTGATATAGTTCTAAACATCTTAATTTTTCATTTTAAAATACTCCAGGTAAAAGAAACTCCGTATTTTCTGAAGAAAACTATGCCTTCGTTTGATGAACGGAGCACTCGTGTCTTTGGCCAGGATGCTGGAGGTACTTTTTCTTTTCCAAATTGTAATAGCCCAAATTGCTAATGTCCATCATTGCTGTGTTTTACAGCCATTTTCATTTTGGAAAATAATATCCCTTAATGTTGTTTTTTATGTTTAATTTGGATTTTATATGCATTATTATATTTTGTGCAAAAAAAAAAAAGGAAAACCATCTTACAGGCAATATGAAATACGGAAGTTTAATAAGACTATTCTGTAGTGGATATGTTTCCACGTATTTTTTGAAAGTTTGTTACTGTTTTTTCATATTTGTACAATCCACAGTAATAGCCCAGAATTGTTTCTTTTTTGGTAGAGGAGGGAGGTCGTATGGACATGTGCAAACTTCATTGAATGTGACTTACTTCTGCCTGCTTCATTGTTTTCAGCATATTTGCACAATCAGAATTTTTTCATTTGCAAGCTTATCTTTTTAGGTCATAACTAATGTTCTAGGCATAAAACAATTCAAAAAAAGTGTCTGTTTGCATGTAGAGAACATGAATAAACTGCCATTCATTATTACACTAATCTCCTGTTGCTTGAAACTTAATATATTCACCAGGTTTGTCAGGAAGTTCTACTGAGGCTGTGAAGAGTCCTTTCCAGATACTTCGTCAGCAGATCAGTCTTACAGAGATTATGAACACAAGCCGTTCGGATGCCTCCCAGTTCCTCGAAAACATGGAAGACACCGGGCTTCAAGAGCACACTGAAGACAATTGTCTTTACTGTGTCTGCACACACATTCTGGGCTATCAACATAACAACAAAGTGAACTCGGCATATAGTCGCACAGGTTAGTACCATTAGGTCATCTTCAGTCAAATATTTAATAAATTTCCTAACCCCAGCAATATTTCCAACCTATTTCTTGCTTTTAGTGTTTCATTCAATGTGTTTTATAGCCAAGAGTGCAAGAAACCTACACTTAAATTAGATTAAAATCCTTAAATACTCATGTTTGTAATATAAACTGCATCACATGCCTTAATAATTGCAACAATATACATAGTCATAGATCACCATTAAAAACTATTTGCAGTTGCAGAATGATCATGGGAATCCCATAAATCCAATGGAAGTTAACACTTTCTGGTTGGCCACTAATGTAGGGTCCTCTCATGTTCAATTAGAATATTTTTACTTAACAGGTCAGTGTGTGTTTATTGAAAGAGTAGATCACATTTCCTTGGATCTTTTTTGTGTTGACAATCATAATTTCAGTTGCAATTAAGTTTTGTTTTGTTTTATTTGTATGTAAACCATTCCATATGTCTTGTATCAAAATCTATCAGAATTTTCAGACATTCCTTATTCTGACTGGTGTGGAAAGACCATGCATAATCACTTGGATGTGGTTTCCCATTCCTCAAAGTTTTCTGGAATTTCAGGATGTAGCGATGCTGTATCTCATGGATCAGCTAGTAGCACCAAGAGTACAGATCTTGTCTTAGGTGAGTGACTTTGTCATAGGTGTGCCCTGTTCTGCTTCTAATACTCTTGATTATTATGAAAAAATGTTAGGTACTTGTGATTATGAACATTTCATATGGAAATATTGCTGTCACTGTTGATTGTACACTTCCCCTAACAACTTCCATAACTTGAAGACTATGACCTTATAAGAATTTTGCTTGAACTGCAAACGTTACATTTGCCAAAGTGTAGAATATGATATGCACTTGTGTGGGCCATCTTCACCTTCTGCTCCTCTCCTTGTTCAAAATCCTCTTTTCTTTGTTTAGAAGAGGCCAGTCATTAGACCTCACACTTTTGTTCACTCTTTCTTTCCTTCCCCTTCTTTCTTTCAGCCTTTGATCTTTAACAGATGCAGGAGGACAAGGAGAAGAAGAAATGTCTGGCCAACCCTTTAGGGGGGGGGGGGATGTAAACATATCAGATTTTGCAGTGCTGGCCGGCTAATACTGATGTAGCCGCTTTATTAAATTTATATATTGTTAAATTTCTGTCTCCTAAGGTGTAAAGTCAATACCAGATGATACTCCAGTCTGCCGCATACTACTGAGAAAGGAAGTCTTGCGATTAGTGATCAACTTGAGTAGTTCAGTGGGAACCAAAGGCCATGAAACAGGTTTATTGACGTAAGTAACACTTCCATTAATACTCAAGGATCCTTATCAGCAGTAGTGGAAAAAGGCAGTGGGAAAGTGTGTAGTGAAGCTGCCTTAGGTTACAAACTGATCAATCTACCGTGAAACTATGGAATGAAAGAGATATTGAGGATTCAGATTCTCAGTTGTTTAATTGCGTGTCAAGATGAATATGTTATCAGTTACACTATTCAAAGATTCATAGTAACATCCAACCTCTAAGCCAGGCCTCACTTTATGGATGGTTTGAAGAAGTGGGACTATCTTGGTTTTTTGCATTTACAATCCAAAATTATAATCACGTTTGGAGGACTTTGTGAATATGACAGAAGGCTACTCAAAGAGTTGGTGTTTTAGCCAGTGCTCATTGTGTCTTTTGCCTAATTTCCTCAGTAGTTTTCTAGAAAAAACAATAGCATTTTTATTTATCAAATATAGTTTCAGTAATTTAGTTCTATCATACACCTTTCTGTCTTTTGTCATGGCTTTTGGGAATTCCTAGGTAAGATAGCCTTCATGTGTCAGAAGTGGGTCTGGAATCATGTATGTGTGTGTAGATATAGATATATTTACATACACACCACACTTAGACTGCAGCCCCTGATTTTTGTTCACATAACTATTTTCTGGGATCTCAGAAGAGGCCGTTTTTACATCAGTTGGGGGGGATTTATCAACTATGGTATTCATGAATTAGTAAAGTGTTATCAGAAGCAGAAGATCACATTATTGTTCAAAGAGAGTAGACTAATAAGTTACATCAACTATTAGAGAGTGGGAAGTTTGTAAGGTTTTTAAAATAGATGTTTAATGGTAGTAGATAGTATTTAGTGGTGTTGTTTTGGTAGTTTTATATATCTAAAATGCTTGTTTATTGTATTTTATATAAAAATATGATTTTTTAAAAAATGGTTTTGAAAAGGGCCTGAAGTAAATTGGAATGAATATAAAGATGGTAGAATTGCCCCACATGCCCTAAGAAGTCACACATTTTAATTTAAATGAAATCAAACCTGATTTCATTTTTTTTTTTATTTGAATTCTATTCTTCTTTCAGTTCTATTTTTTATCTGCTGGTGGGTCCCCCCCCCCCCCTTCAGATTTCAGATATATGTCACAGTCTCTTCTCTTTAAACCTTTCATACCTAAAGGTGTAAATGAAGGTTGGGCATCATATGGCTTACAAGATGTTGTTGGACTTGCAATTCCCTACAGCCTAGCTAGCAAACCTACCTGCTATTTCCCATTCAATAACCTGAGCTGCTGAACTTGCTGACTGAAAGGTTTGCGGTTCAGATCCAGGGAGCAGAGTGAGCTCTCACTGTTAGGCCCAGCTTCTGCCAACCTAGCAGTTTGAAAACGTGCAAATGTGAGTAGATAAATAGATACCGCTTCTATGGGAAGGTAATGGCGTTGCATGCAGTCATGCTGGCCACATGACTGCGCGGAGCGCAATTGGAGGTGTCTACGGACAGTGCTGGCTCTTCATCTTAGAAACAGAGATGAGCACCACCCCTCAGAGTCGGATGCGACTAGATTTAATGTCAGGGGAAACTTTATTCGTCTTAGAAACAGAGATGAGCACACCCCTCAGAGTTGGATGCGACTAGATTTAATGTCAGGGAAAACTTTACTTTTACCTTAGCATTTGAAATGCCTCTTTATTTCCCTTCCCATATTTCTTAAAATATGCTAAATAAGTTACTTTCTCATTTGTTCACACTAGGATTAAAGAGAAGTTCCCCCAAGCATTTGATGACATATGCCTTTACTCTGAAGTGTCTTACTTGTTGGCTCACTGTACATTTCGATTACCATCTCGGCGGTTCATACAGGAGCTTTTTCAAGATGTACAGTTTTTACAGGTACGTAGAAGAAAAATCTAGCGAACTCTGAGACAGACTTTCCCTGACTCTTGTCCTATTATGAAGTGCTTCTAATGCTCTCTCCTTCTAGATGCATGAAGAAGCAGAAGCTGTTTTGGCTGCAAATCAACAGACAGTTAGCCTGTCGACAGAATCCTGACCTCTTGTTTTCCACGGTGTGATAAACATGAAGTTGCTGGTAGCCTTGGATAACTATTGATGGATTGGGCAACAGAGAGAAGCATCACCTTCTAAATGGCTGCTGGAGTCCTGAGTACATGTAGTTGGAGTCTGAGCTACAGAACCTGCTCTCCGTGGACCATGGTTTCCCTAGCTGTCTGAGCCAGCCCCATGGGGAATCGTCTAAATGATAAAGTAACAATTATGAAGATATGCAAGAAGAACCAAGCATGAAACACTTGCACAGGTTTTCATTTCACATACTTTAAAATGCAATGTATGGCAGAGGACAGTGTGGAAGGGCACGTTTTACATGGTTGACTTCTGGACAAAAAAAGTGATATCTTGCTTGTTCACCCTGGATCTCAGAGTCAGGGTGTCTTAGGTTGTATACCATTGTTGTCAGTGGAGCATGTTCTAACCGTGGGCATAAGGGCATTAACAATGGGCCTTCCATGGTATTTTTCTTAATTTTTGTGAAACACTACTTGGGGGATTTCTGATCTCAGAGAGAGACTCCTCAGTAACTGAGGATAGTCTTAAAGTTATGTTATGATTACTTATAGCAAAACTTCTAGCTGTTAGCAGCCTGTCCAGCTCTGTTGCAGTTAATTGTAATTACGTGTTTACTGAACTAATTAAGGAATTTCACTACATTGATTTTAAGAGAACAAATCACTTATTCATCTCCTGGAATCAGATTTTCCCTGTAAATGTAATGCATGCCATTTTGGTGGAGTTTCTATGTTAGTGCTCATCCAGTATATAAATTGGTTGTCTAAATGTAAACCTTTAACAAGCATGGCTTCAGATTAAGGGGTGCATACTTTATCAAGTAAACCTAGTAAATATATGCCTGTTGCTGCTTTTGATCAAGAAAGATGAAAACAAATTCCACATTCCATGGCTTTAAATTTTCTCCTTATTACTGGACTCCAGGATAATACCAATAATTGTAGTGAAAAGCCTTATACATACAGTGTTGAAGCGGCCACTACTTTGCTTTAATCCAGAGTACTTTTGGATAATTTGCACAGATTGTATAATTGTGACAATGTGTAGATTAGTTCCCCCATCCCCTTAAAGTGAAATACATAATTTTTTATAAGTACGGACTTGAAACAAAAGCATCTTATACTGAGCCTCCACAATATCAGATAACTGATATATACAAACCTTTACATACATATGCCCAGTTCCTTTAATTAGGCTTTGATGGACTATATTTGTTTCTAATTTCTTGTATATTCAAATCATTCAGCTGGACTGTTTTGAGATTGTTCATCCTCTTTCACACACGCATACCCCCCCCCCCTTCAACCTTAAAACAAAAAACAGCATAAGGATTTGCTTGCCAAGGTGGAAACTGCTCAGTTTTGCTTATTCCTCATCTGAACTTAATTAATGCGCTAATGAGATGTTCTTGTGGCATAAATTTGTTCTTAGCGGCATGTACTGTTCTATATAATTGCATTCTTTTCTTTTGAAATGTAGCACTCTATTACATTTACTGCCATACCAAACAAAAAAGCAAAATTATTTTGCTGCACAGCTCAGGGAGAGAAAAGTAGAAGTAGTCTACCTATGCTCGCTGCTTTTCACCTATCTTCTCCCTTCTCCAAGAAGTGGCAAACAGTTGTGTCTGGCATTCCCCCACCCCCCTTCCCTTCTAATCACTCCTCTCTTTCACCTGCTACATTGAAGGATAAATGACTACGCCATAAAGTTCTTCCTAGCTTGTCCAAGCTGTGTAGCTGCATGTTTTCTCTCCTCTTACTGCATCATAGTGTGTTGGGGGGCTTACCCACTGCTTTCTCTCTGTCTGAAGAAGGTACAAATGGAATTATTGTGAGTACTTTCAACAAGAAAATAAACCACTTTAGTATTTTCAAGAAACTACCCATGCAGGCAGTTTTCCATCTCAAACTCTAGAAATGAGGTCTGGGGTATCTTCTTCTGTACTTTGGAGGTGATTATTTTTCCTGCTTCCCCAGGTGATGGATACTGTACAATCAGGAAAACATTTCCTTAATAGCAAGATAGAGGGGAAAGACACTTTCATGACTTCTTTCCTGACTTACTAAATTTTGGACTAACATCAGGTGACATTCCCTAAAGCAGTGGTTCTCAACCTGTGGGTCCCCTGGTGTTTTGGCCTGCAACTCCCAGAAATCCCAACCCGTTTACCAGCTGTAAGGATTTCTGGGATTTGAAGGCTAAAACATCTGTGGACCCACAGGTTGAGAATCACTGCCCTAGAGGCAGTCTTCTCCCCACCATCTCTCCCCCCCCCCCCCAAGCTGAGGAGCAAAGGCTTGTCTTTGTGCTGGCACTAAAGGTAATCCATTGAGATTCTAGTTTGCAAGTAAGAACCCCTTCCTGTAGTATCAAATGGCAGAACTGCTTTCATCAAATGATATTCCCTTAACTATCATGTAATTTATGGAGGACCATGGAAAAAAAGATGCTTCTAGCAGTAATCAGTAGTCTGTATATTCTTTGAAGTGAATCTTGGAGATTGGGGTGAGGGCAGGGGACAGAAAGGAGCTTCATTTGTTTTTATACCAACCCATTGATCATATAAAGTTGCATAATAATTATCTATCAGTATTTGGAGAGAGATCTTTCAGCCTTTAGTACAGTTCCTTTGCAAAACCAAAATATCAGCCACAATAGACCAAATAGTGGTACAACCTCCAAAGGACTAATGCCATATTCCCATTAAAAACTGAAATACAGTAGTTGCAAATACTACCTCAGTTAAGTTAGAGTAACATTGGCATCTCGATAGAATTAATTGATTGGCTTCATATTTCATTTTGTTTTGTATTTTCTTTCTTTGAAGTAAGAACTAAATCAAGGTGCATTCTTAAAAAAATGTAAATCCATAATAACAGGAAAAAATTCTCTAAATAGTTAAGTTTCCTGATTACAACTCTTAGAGAAAGGGTGTTAGGAATGATTACAGATCACTAGAAAGGAAACTTGCATATCAGTGTATATGTATTCAGATAGCAGTGCATATGCCATATATTTAATAAGTTTTTGCTTTTTTCAAATATCAAGAACTCTGACTTCTATCCAAAATGGGCTGACCCCAGCCATTTGAGGAGTGATATCACAAAGAATTCTGCAAAGTAAAAGATATACTCAATGAATTTCTAACTATGACCATCAGGAAAGGGTGACTTAAGGCCATACAGATGTTGTTGGGCTGCAAATTGGAAAATTCAAAAAAGCAAAGGTGTTTGGAATTGCAGCCCAACAACATCTATAGTGTTGCAGTTTCTCACTTCTACTGTAATATCAAAAGTGTTTTTTACTTCCATCTCCTTGATTGGACATGAATGAATATACCCTGGAACATGACATGGATAGGTTTTACAATAGTAAGGTGTGTATTTTGAATTGATTTTTCTCATTGGCAAAGTTCTACCATAGATCATACTTGCATGGATTTTAAATCATTAACTCAAATGCAGTTAAACAGCCTTTTGTTATGGCTTGAGAACTTCCCTGCCTGGTTTGTGACGATTTCCTGCAGTTTTGTGCTGCCAGGACAAAGAGCAAAAGGAAGGTGTACTGAGCACTTGGTTAGCTTTTGGACTTGGCTGGTGGGCTGCATTTGGCTAAGCATGAACAAGCTTCTGCACTGAAGTTTCTCCTTGAGCACTGAGCCAGAAGCTCTGGAAAAGGTTCCTTAGAAATAACTAGGATACTTCTTAGAAGAGATCTGCACTTGCATCACACAATGAATTACAAGGGCATGCAGACCGGGTCACTTTTTCCCTTCACTCAGATGGGTCGATAATTCAATCTGTATTGCACGAAAATCAGAGATGCTGAACAAATTCTTGTGTAGTATCATCTCTCTCCCATTAAGATATGCATTGGGTTTTTAAAAAGGACTTCGATGCTTCAAAAATAACCCTTCAAGAAGGGTAAGGAACCTTGGTCTCCCAGATGCTATGGGCCATAAGTTTCATAATCCCTGACCTTTGGTGATTCTAGCTGGAGCTTTTGGGAGTTGAAATCCAGAACACCCAAAGAACCAAAGTTTTTTCAGGCTTCCTTACAACATGCTACTAAATCCTGAGGATATGTTGGGACAGATGCTTTGTTTGTGTGGAGGATAGTGGAATAATGAGACATACACATTTGCACACTCACACTATGGATGGAGGTTATTTGAATCTAGGGCCTGAAATGAGGGCTGCTCCACATCTTTGAATGTCTAAGTGGTGTCCCAAAAGGTTGTATGTGAAAAAAAAGTTAAAATTGTTTCCCTTTTGATAGTTACTCAATTGCATTCCAAAATCAAGGAGTTCTGTTTTCTGTAAAAAAATAATTTTAGTGATAAACTAGATGTTATGGCATAGCCAAGCTTCACATTCACCATCTCCATCACCTTGTATATACTAGCAGCAGAGCAATAACTTGGTTTTATTTGCTGTTAGAGGGGAAATAAACCATGGTTTTTATAGTTCTCAGGACCATAGACTCAGATTCTAGGTTTACCCTTCTGTTTGTTTTCACTAACTTCTTCCTCCTTTCTGAGCCCTCCACACCATTCCCAACTGTCCTCTCACTTCAGGAACAGGCTTTTTGAAGGTGCAAAAAGAAGGGGGAGACAGGAAAGACCAATTATTTGAATGTATTCTGTTCACAACCCTCGTGGTTCTCAACCTGTGGATCCCCAGATGTTTTGGCTTCCAACTCCCAAATCCTAACAGCTGGCAAACTGGCAGGAATTTCTGGGAGTTGTAGGCCAAAAGACCAGGGGACCCACAGGTTGAGAACCACTGCCTAGGTCATAATCTGTGACAAAAGATAACATGGCCCTAAAAAAGACAGAAGGAAATACTCACAATTAATACTATCTGCTTAATTTTTAGTATGTAGAAAATTGGCAAGTGAATTCAAGGGTTTCTGGTGGTCTGAATGGACTTAATTCTCACTTTGATCAGGCACATTGTGAATGAATGTGAGTATTATGCCTAGTCTGCCATGGGACATACACTGATTTTCCAGGGTCTCCCAATGTTTAATTTCCATCTCTTCCACTACTACTGAGAAGGCATGATGCTAAATACACCTTTTTAAAGTTGGGAGTGGAAGAGGCAGAAGCAGAATTCACATGCACAAGGACATTGGAGTAAATGATTGAATGCCTTTATCTCTCTGTATATATAGCTTGTCTGGAATAAACCTACCCTCCCATTTGTGTTTTGATACAGGCTTTTAGGCCGTTATTAAGTGATGTAGTAAGGATCCCTTTCCCAATAAAGCCAATATTTTCCATATAAGAGCACACCTTCACAGCCACTTAGCGACTGGAAGAGAGCAATGGCATGAAAGTAACATCTGGCTGCAATGATAAAAGAGACACTTCCATCCTTCCAGATCTCCAGTTAAAGATCTGGGAGAATGAGGTCTTATCTTCCATCTGCTGCAGAACTGCATTTGGACATTACCCTGGCCATTGATCAGATGTTGGGACACCCTCTGTTATGGAAGAGGTTGACTGCAGAAAGGGGAGCAGGCTGATACGGGATCTTGACTGTTACAGTCCCATAAATTCAAGATTCAATGCATTCAAATTATTTTATCAAATATGAAAAAAATATCGGTCATGAAGCAGTTTCCCCAGACTGCTGCCATATAGGTGTTTTGTACTACCATTCCCATCACCCTAGACATCATGCTTGAACATGAAGGTTGTCATCTAATTTATCTGTCAGGTGCCAATTTGGAGATTGCTGCTTTTACAGCATAAAGTTGAAATGGGAATATCCTTGGAAGTATTTCACTCTGTAATACTTGCTGTTTCAGTGTTGAAGTCATCCTGGTGAAATGTATATAAGCTGTAGAGGGCTTGAGCCTACCAAAGCAAGGCACTTTCCATTTGGCAAAACTTGACTTTTTTGAGTCTTGCTTTAAACATTTTTATATTGTGATTGAAAAAGATTACTTGCAGTGACGTATCTACTATAATTGTTCTATGACTTTGGTCCACCTAATATTTAGGACTTTTAGGAGTGAAAACCAACAACATCTGGAGGAACAGAGATGGAAAAGTCCTGAACTGGGACCCACCTTGTTCTCTCCAGATGTTTTGTTCTACAGTCAGCCCCAGATGTTCTGTAAGTCAGAAATCAAAAACTTACAGTGAGCACCAGGTTGTTTCTCCCTGCTCTCTTATCCCTTATTTGTCCTCTTGTTCAGAAAACAAAACAACAATTGTGTGTCTTTCTGCCTTTTTCAATTACTGTACCTTAATATTACTTTATGGTTAGAGGTCTGCTAGTGATGATGGGAACATGGTAGAATCCTTTTTACACACTTTGCTTTTCTAGAAATAGAAATAGCCCAGTTCTGAATTTAAGAGTTTTTTATTTAAATTTATCTTCTTAAACTTCCATTTTACTACATATTTTTGTTACCCTTTGTTAAAAGAGATCCATAAAAGAATGTGTTATTTTTTTTCTTTTGACTATTTTTGTAAAATTAGGTGGATAGCAATGCCGCAGAATGCAGAAATTGCACTTTTTTGCTTGACTTCCTTGTAAAATAGACATTATTTAATTTGAAAGAAATAATAATGTAATTTATGCCAAAAAAGGTGTAACTTGCCATTTTCCCACTGCATAGGTTAGATTTAGCACAAAATACAAAGAACTTTGGTTGAGGTGGAATTTTGCAAGCATAATTATGAGATGGGAAAGGAATCTACTTCAAATAGTGGCTACCAATAACCCAAGCAATGTGTGTTAAACTAGAGATGATGTAAATTAGTCATTCTGGGGAGGGGAAGAGATTATGAAAATGTTCAAGACTTGTTTTCCCTGCTCCATGTGGTCATTATTTCTTTTTATATATGTATATATATATATATTAGTTGACGAGCTGCTACATATTTGGAAGTTCTATTGTTTGTAGGTCACTGAATGGACATTGAAATCTGATTTATATTGTATACCTGTAACATAGAAAGAAAAAAGTATTTATATATTTTCTGTATGAATATTTCATTGAGCTGTGTATAATTTTAAAGAGGCTTTGTCCCCAAATGGTTCTGCTCATCTTGATTTTTAGTTTGGTTTTTTTTATTTGTTTTGGTTTTTTTTCTTTTTGTTGTTTCCTTTTGTATAGTGTATTCAGTTTGTGTCTATGAACAGTAAAAGCCTCCTGGAGCATTATCTTATTAAAGGGATGCATTGTTAATAAAATGAACTTCAAACAGTTATCTTGTTGTGTTAAAAATTCTTCTTTTAAAGCATTTATACACTTTTCAACCTCCAAGCCTTCCCAAACTTTGTTTTCTATGTGATCGTTAGGTGGCAGTGTAACATAATACTAACCCTTGAACTAGACTGGTAGTTCCCAACCTTTAAGAGACTACAGACACTGAGGCAAAAATGGGATACATCGTGGACCATTCTGATGAATCAACCCCTCTCTACGCCACCCACACACAAAGAAATAAAATCGTTTTTTCAATAACTAAAATTTATTAATCATCATATTTTTTATTGTGTCAAGCGAATTGAGGGTACATTTATAATGTATTTAAAAACACGAAGTTTTTAAAAGGGTTGCTGTGCGTTTTCCAGGCTGTATGGCCATGTTCCAGAAGCATTCTCTCCTGATGTTTCACTCACACCTATAGCAGGCATCCTTAGAAGCTATGGGATCATACATGGGTCTATGTTTTCCATAATTCTATGCAAAATAAGTCTTTCCAAAACTTTATAAAGATGGCACAACAAGGAGATTGGTCTGTAGCTTTTTGGATCATTACGGTCTTTGCCTGGTTTCAAGATGGCTATGACTCTTGCTTTTTTTCGAGATTTTAGGGATCTGACAGGAAGCAATGCATTTGGTTCAGCAGCCAGCACCTTGCTTTTAGGCCAAAATTCTTAATTTGTTCCATCAGAACTAATATTTGCATATACTTTTTATTTTGTGATATAAAACCAAAACACCATAATCAAACTTAATTAAAAAATTAATGTGATTTTTAAACTTGCATTTCTTTCGCTAGGTGGGGAATCCTTAAATTGATACTATTAGTCAATGCCACATTCTGTGTAGTGCCATTAAGTAATAGTAGACCAGCTCTAGATAGTAGTAGATTTCTGGACTGGCTCTTGAAGCTTGAGTATTAATAGTAGTCCAGGCTCCTGTTAGTACTTTGGTTTCGAGGGCCAGTCTGAGAGAATGAGCTCTGAGAGCTCCTGTTCCACTGGTCCAGCCAAAGGGAAAGAGAACCCACACGCTCCCTTTCCTTCCCTCCTCATGAGGAGCCAATGATGGAGCTTCCCTTAGCCCCCAACCATCACTGATCTGTTGGCTTCAATTGCCTCCTTTTCACAATCCAGCCTGTGAATGGAGCTTCCTTCCTTGCCTCAAAAGCAGTTAAGAAATGAAAGATCCAAAGCCACCATTCCTTCTCCTGATGTAATGGTTTATAAAAAAGCTGCATTTATTTTAGCTTTGTCTTACCGTAAATATGCATGCCAGCCAAATCTCATATCATGTCCCTTTCCTTTAACAACTTTTCCTCCCTCAGTATTATCACTGCCTTTAACCATGTCAGACAACAATGGATTTTCACAATGCTAATCTGAAAACTATTTTCCTTTTTACAGTAGTGTTTAAAGGCTTCCTTGAATCTCTCTTAATCTTTTTGTGATCTAATGCATTGTGGGACACAAAACTTTGTGCCGTAATACTTTTGTTAGTGTTTCAGATATTGCAGAAATCCTTGTTCTTTTTGCTGCGATAGATTAAGATGGCTACTTCTCGGTGATTTGTTTTAATCTTAAGAAGGTAACACGTGTGGATCACTGCTATAAAAGAAAGAAGAACCTCTATTTTTGGCCTCGTGTTTTTGCAGATTCTATCATGATGCAGGGCTATCTCCACTTTGAATATCAGAAGAATAATTGTTAACTACCAAAAAGAGTTGCCAATCAATATATCATGATTTCTTTTTTAGCACTCCCTACTCAAAATCTGATTACCTGGCCACATTGAACTTTTGCTATTTATTGAGAACCATTACTGCAGAAAGATTGGGATCATGCAGCTGTAAAATGCATATTTTCATCACATACAAATGACTTCGGTGAAGATTCCATGGGAAACTGGTTTTTGTAATTTGATTGTTGCAAATTTTCAACAAAACAAGCTGTGTTACTTTGCTGAACCACAAAGGAAGTTATGTTGTTTTGAGAAATATAGCTGAAATTGTTTTGAACTTCTTCCAGTGGAGAGCAGGCAAGTTTGCTTGGAAAAAAGTCTTGAAGTGGCTGGTAGGATGTCAAAGAAGAGTTGGGTTTCTTGCTTGTTACATCTTGCTCTTGTTGATTGGGGCAATAGTTTGGATTCAGGTAGAACTTGTGTCCCAATGTCTTTCCCAAATCAGGTTCATTATCAGATCCAGGCTTCTTCGTCACAAGTAGTTTGTTGGGAGTGACCTCACTGTTGTCTGGTAGTATAGGACTTTTCTGTAGAACATACAGAAAGCAACAGGATTAAAAACTGACTTTGCAAAATGAATATTAAGAGCTTTGATATTCAAGAAATATTTATTAAAGCGCTACTTCTGTGCTTTTTGTTACCATCATAAGATAACCCATATTTTTTGTTACCAACATAAGATAACCCATATTTTGAAAAGCACAGTGGAAATCACAAATAGTAGATTGTTGTAGGTTTTTTGGGCTATATGGCCATGTTCTAGAAGCATTCTCTCCTGATGTTTCGCCTGCATCTATGGCAGGCATCCTTAGAGGTTGTGAGGTCACAACCTCTGAGGATGCCTGCCATAGATGAAGGGGAAACGTCAGGAGATAATACTTCTAGAACATGGCTATATAGACTGAAAAATCTACAACAACCCAGTGATTCCGGCCACGAAAGCCTTCGACAATACAAGTAACAAATAGATTTTCCTATTTATTTGAGCCATGAAAACTGCCACCAATATTAATTCAGCTAAAATTGTTGCAGAAGACACAAAGAACTATCTTACGTTTTCAAAAGGAGACACGTAAGGACGTGGTATTTCAGGGATCAAGCGATTCCATACACTAGAAAAACAAGAGTAAGAAACAGTAATGAAAAAGTATCTCACTGATAAAGAAGTGAAGGGGATGAAAGGTCAAAACAATTTTCCTAGGACTAATTTACACTCATTAAAAAATCAAGGGCATTTGGACATTTATAGTATCCATACAGCCAGGGCTGAGGGAATTCTGGAAGTTTACCATTAAGAAATAAACTTTTCCAAGCTCTAAGAATTAACCTGAACTCACCTTTTTTTCTAAATTGGGAAACTTAGTTTACTAGCTGTGGAACAAAGTGCAATATAAAGCCAATTTTGAAACATGGTGTAATATGCTGGTTTGTTTGGAAGCTGGTAACCAAAGCTTCTGAGTTCAGATGAAACAGGAAACTGAAGTCAGTTGGAGATCTTAGTTTAACTGTAGCTTTCTTGGTTTGGAACGCAAACACTGAAGAATATCCAGTACTAATAAGAACTGCCCTATGTACATATGTGTGTCTAGAATTTGAAGACATCTGCCCTTGCAATTTGCTACTCTGCTGCTGAGTGCGCATGCCCAGTGTGGAACACATCTCACCATGTTAAAACAGTGGATGTGGTTCTTAATGAGACATGACGTATTATCACAGGATGTCTGCTCCCTACACCACTGGAGAAATTACACTATTTAGATGGTATCGTACCACCTAACATCCACCAGGAAGTAGCAGCCAATAATGAAAGATCCACGGCAATAACATCTCCGGCCCACCCTCTGTTTAGCCAGCCAGCATGCCAGCACTCCAATGCCTTAAATCAAGAAATAGTTTTCTAAGATCTACAGAGATACTTGCGGAGGAACACCTCAGCAAGCAAGAATCCAAAAGTGACAGGCTAAAACCCAGAACCTCAATCCATATATGATACCAAATGAGAGACTCCCTCATGGGCACACAGAAGACTGGGAGACTTGGAAGACGCTGAACAGACTGCGTTCTGGCACCACAAGATGCAGAGCCAACCTTAAGAAATAGGGCCACAAAGTGGAGTCCATGACATGCGAGTGTGGAGAAGAACACACCACAGACCACCTATTACAATGCAGTCTGAGCCCTGCCACATACACAATGGAGGACCTTCTTATCGCAACACCAGAGGCACTCCAAGTGACCAGCTACTGGTCAAAGGACATTTAATATAATGCCAAGTTTCTAAACTTTGTGTTTGTTTTTTTAAAATACATTACAACTGTATCCTTGGTTCGCTCCTGATATGATAAATAAATAGTCAAAAGTTCAACCTCAAAAACCTGGTTTGACCTACTCTTGAGTCAATCTAAATATTGTGTTTTAACTCTAATAAAAAATGAACCATTCCCTTCTTTGAGTAGAGTGGCAATAGCCAAAATCTTAGTCCATTCTGGGAGAACATAGAAGAAGCACTGACTTCCTCTCCCCACTCCCGTGGTGCTGCTTCTGTCTTTTTTAATGTCTAGGAAGGGACATGTCTGCAGCCAAGGGTGGAATTGATGCTTTCCCCTCTCTTCAGAATTACCCTCAACTTATCCATAAGTCATACCAAAATCCACACTTTTGTCTCTAAAACTTGCCCTAAACTTATATATGAGTATATACTCATATATAAGTCCTTATTTGTCACATGTTTCAGACTGGGTCTCTACATGGGGTACCCAGTCACAATGTGTACCCAACTTAGTGTACCCGTTGTGTACCCAACTTAATGAAAAGCACAAATAACACACTGGCCAGATTTTGTTGCTGACATATACAAGTCAACCTTACTCTTGAATATGTGCATTATAATAGCCTCCCCCTGGCTATTTTACTGGAGAGTGGAGGGACTGGAAAAAGCATCTGGCTGTGTTGTGAAGACATTTATTATGTATAAAACAGGCTTATTATGGTACCCTCAGAACCCCCGGTGGCCCAATGGGTTAAACCCATGTGCCAACAGGACTGGACTGCTGATGGAAAGATCAGTTATTCAAATTTGGGGAGAGGGGTGAGCTCCTGCCTGTCAGCTCAAGTTTCTCATGTGGGGACATGAGAGAAGCTTCCCAAAGGATGGTAAAACATCTGGGCATCCCCTGGGCAACATCCTTGCAGACAGCCAATTCTCTCACACCAGAAGAAACTTGCAGTTTTTTAAACTGCTCCAGACATGGGGAAGAAATAGCACCCCCAAGTCTATTTTTATTGAACCTCCAAGCAAGCTTACTACTCAAACTTACCAGTCACTCTTCCAGAAGCACGTACAGGCTATAAGCAGTAAGGGTACAGCTATAAGTAGCACAAAACGAAGGAAGCCCCAACTTCCTACAAAGGGAAACAATATCTATTATTCAAATCTCCTATTGTGATTGTTAAAAATGTTATGAATGATACATTCTCTCCTAACTTAGATTATTAAAAACAAGGCTGCTTTTCCCCATTGTTTTAGGTGTGTTTTCTGTACTTAAAAGACAGCTAGATAATATTTAAAGAGAATAGGAATTCTGCCTCTGGAACTGACAAGAGAGAAACAATCTATAAGACTTGTGAATTGTTGTTCTGTACTTCTAAGAATGCCTATTCATAATGTAGCAATACTTTATTCTGTAAAATGCACATGTTTGCCAGAAAATAAAATATTAAAATGATTCTAAAAAGATCAGGAAAGAGATTATTTTGGGCTCTTTTCTAGATGAGGAGTTACGAGATAAATATACTAGCACTAACATACCAATTAGTACATAAATGCTGGTACTGCATTTGAAGTAAAACAGGGTCCATATGCTGGCAGAGGGCACATCTACACTGACCATTTAGGATGGTGTGAAACCAGAAGAGGAGGAAGTGATTTCATGATGGAGCTGTGTAGATGGGAAGCCCTAGAACTGGATTGAAGCTTGGATGGTGTCCATATGCACTGCAGCGGTTGGCATCATTCCATTTCCAGTTTCCTCAGTATCCTTGGCTTCATGGCTGTGGAGGAATATTTTTCACTTCTCCTCACTGCAGTGCATATGAGAGGATTACTAGAGCACCCATCTCTTAATTGGTTTCACAATGTGATTTGGTGATTGCTTGGGTGTGCTGATGCGCATTGTGGGCTCTACTTTGAAATATTATCCATACTTTCCTCCTCTTGTTCTAAATCCTTTAGTAAGCTTCACTGCACACATTCACAGCTTATCTCACTTAAAAACTACTGTATTCCAACTGTATTAAGTGGTCATATATCTGGCATAATCTGCAGCAGAGACAGGTGTATGTCTCATCAACTCCTAACCCATTCTGATTCAGTATAAAGTAAAAGTTCTTAAACCCAAGGCAAACTGCATGTCCAAAATCATCCCAGCATGTTCAAACTGCCAGAATTCACAAAGTAAGGCTTGTTTATAAAGTAAAAACAAACAACATCCTTGCAAAAAATCTCAGTTAAAACACATGTCAGTTTCATGGCTTACTTACTCTCAGACTGTGTCGTTACTCGTTGAAATTCCAGGCTTTTGTTTCCAGGATTGACACTGTAAGCTTGAACTGCAATCAGGTAAGCTGTGTTGGGCTCCAGGTTTCTCACAGTGTAATTCTTTTGATTCCGATCTTTAATTGTATGTCTGCATATCATGGGATTACCTGTATTCAAAAACAGATAAGGCAGCAAACAAGGGCTATAATACCTTATTTATTATTATTTGCATGCCATGTTGACTCCAAACAGCTCAAGGTTGTGTATCTTCATTTTTATCAGCCACCGAATGGTAGTATTGCAGGTGGAGTGGGGTAGGTGAAAATGATCATTGGAATAATTCAAGGGGCCAGATTCAGTCTCCGGGATTGACATCCTCCCCCTCTCTCCCCCAACAATATAAAATCATTAATTCTTGAGTCTTAACTTTTTAACTACATGGCATGCCTGTCTTCCATAGCATTCCAGTATAAACCATATGTAAGAACTGCTCTCAACCAAAGATGTGAAATGCTAGACTAATCCAGGGACAGGCAAAAGGTAGACTGGGATTTAGTTGAAGAATACTGAATGGAATTTAATGGAATGTGGGCATTTTGAAAAATGCAATAAGAGAAAGGCTTCTGCCCTACCCAAAGATGCTGAAAGCATGAGAGTTCTCTCTCGCTTATGACCACAGCATCTCCTGTTCTTAGAACATCTGGATTTTATGTGCCACTTAAAGATATACACTGTATAAACTTGAGTATAAACTGGGGTTTTAGGCCCCTTTTTTAGGCTGAACCCCCCCCCCCCAGCTTATAAATGAGTCAAGGTTATTTACTTTGTTGTTGTTGTTGCTGTTGCTGTTTTATTGCATGTATTATTTTACTCTCTTTATTATTATTACATTTACATTATTTTACTCTATTATTTTTATTACATTTACATTATTTCACTCTTATTTTATTACATTTATTATTTTACTCTATTATTATATTTATTATTTTACTCTAGTTATTATTGTTATTATTACATTTATTATTTTACTCTTTTATTACTGTTATTATTACATTTCCATTCTTTTACTCTATTATTATTATTACATTTATTATTTTACTCCATTATTATTGGAAGGATATGTAAGCATATTTACATTGAAGAAGGTTAGAATAATCAGAGTTGGACAGTCTTATCTTAAATTACAGTTTCATGTAAATATTCAGAAGCATGTAACCGACTGGTGCTTCAATTAATGTAATGTTATTGGTATCTATTTATATTTTGAAATTTACCAGTAGCTGCTGCATTTTCCACCCTSGGCTTATACTCGAGTCAATACATTTTCCCAGTTTTTTGTGGTGAAATTAGGTGCCTCAGCTTATATTCRGGTCTACACGGTACATTATTCTGGATATCRTGGATGTCTTACCTGGAAGTTGTTCAAATTCCTTTAATGTTCTGCAGTTCCCATGTTCCATTTTCACATACACATTGTAACCTCTGATAAAACCAGGCAGGGAATTTTCAGGATAAGATCCCCAATGTATTGTTAGCGTATCTGAAGTAATTGCAGATATGCTAAAGAGAGGGTCATGAGCTGGCTCTGGAAAGAAGGATGTTGATAAAATTGTTACATGCTTCCTGAACAGCTAATGTTCAGCCTTGACAATACAGTCAGATTTCCATTTATTGTTCTTGAAAAACAGCATTTTGAGAAATGAACATGACGATTTCCAGTCCAGGAAAATTGGAATTGGACCTATGTGAGAAGGCTCATTGACTTATCTGGAGAACTCTGGAACAAAATAATTTCCTATCACTACAATAAGTTTAAACACTCTCTTTAGTCTAATACATTACTGAACATTGACTCAATGCAGACTGAGTACACACTGCAGCATATGAACACTGCTGACTTCTAAACTGTACTGCTTCTGATGCAAATGATGTCTAAAATGGAGTCTCAGTCTGAACAGTTCCAGAGCTGATCACATGGTCTGAAGTCCCTCCCACAGTCTCAAACAACAGAGTTAAGGAAAAACTGCATATCAAAATATACATACAATCTCAATGTCAATTATATACATATAACTAATATAGAAGGCTTGTAGACTGTTGCAGTTTCCAACAAAATTTGCTTTATTCATGCAAAGAAAATTATGAGATAAAATTATGAGTAAACTAAATGCAGAACCAATCCACAGACCTTACAATACAGAGAGTGATTCAACACATAGAGTTCTACCATTTAACCGACTTACCTTGTTCTTTAAGATATTTAATCTTTTTTTCTAGAAGGTAGCTTTTATCTCCTTCCATCCCATATATCCTAAATGTATATTTCACACCAGGACTGAAGTCATCTAAACATTTTTGAAAAGTAGAAAAAGGCAATACACAGGTAAGCATAAAATCTGAATGTGCTTACTACATAAAATAAACTACTTTGTTGAAACAGGTAATTATGAATTATTGCAATGAATGGGAATGAAAATTAGTTAGGGAATACCAAAGGTGTGTGTACTTTTAAGGGTGTAAAATCTCTGTGAAATTGTGTTTGACATTTCTGTTCACTCAGCAGTGTGTGTATGTGTGTGTTCACACCAGGGTTGCCAGGTGTCGAAGATGAAAATAAGGGACACATTCACAGTAACACTCAAGGAAGAGAGGGCCCACCCCCTGCCCCAAGCTCCTCTCTGGCCCATTTCCGCTATAATGTCCATTTCTGCGGTGCAACAGAAATACGGGGTAACTGACATCCTAGGAAAGAATCTAACAGGATGCAGGCCATTTTTTTTCAAATACAGGACTGTCCTTTCAAATTTGGGATGTCTGGCAACCCTGGTTCACACATAAATACACAGTCAGTTTTGTTCAGAAAGAAAACATATCCATGCATCTCATTCAAATGCTGTTCTCGTTAGTATCGTATTTCTTTTATTCTTAGATGCCATTGATTGTAAAACACAGACTAATTTCAGTACTGCCAACAGAGTGATGTACAGGGAGCATACAACCCCCCTCTCACATCAGCTGCACTGGCTGCCAGTCTGCTACTGGGCACAATTCAAAGTGCTGGCTTTCTCCTATAAAGCCCTGAACTTTCCGGGTCAACTTACCTATCCGAATGTATCTCTCTCGATGAACCTGCTACAGTGTTAAGATCTTCTGGGGAGCCCCTGCTCTCGATCCCACCTCAGTCAAAAGGCACGATTGGTGGGGATGAGAGACAGGGCCTTCTCAGTGGTGGCCCCTCAGCTATGGAACTCCCTCCCCAGTGAGATCAGACTGGCCCCCTCCCTCCTGGTCTTTAGAAAAAGGGTGCAAATTCGGTTATGCAATCAGGCATTTGGGTGGAGTAATATGGATCTGGCATAATGTAGCAACGTAAAGGATGATGGCAGGACTAGGTACTATGTTTTAAAGTTTAATGATATGTATTTGTTTTATTGTTTATATATTGTATTGTTTGTATATTGTTGAATTGTGGCATCGAATTGTGTCAAACTATGTAAGCTCCTCTGAGTCCCCTTCGGAGTGAGAATAGTGGGATATAAATATAGTAAGTAAGTAGGTAAAGAGGTATCCTATGGTATGTGCCTGCTGAAATCCATTCATTTAATAAAATTTGTAATTACCCACAGTTTTGCATATCTCTGTGAGGTCCCAGAATGCATCCTCCATGTATATAGGGGCTGGATTGTACATGTACACAGAGAGAAAATGTACACTTATGTATCCTAAAGCAAAAACAGCAGAGCACCCACACTCAAGGAACAGAGAGGAAGTTTATGGAGAGATGTTTCCATCAGGACAGAGGAGAGGCATGGACCAGCCAGCTATGGAGGAATGCACCAGAAATATGATGTGCCTTCACTATACCCACATAGATGTTGTGTAAGATCAGTGGTTCTCAACCTGTGGATCCCCAGGTGTTTTGGCCTACAACTCCCCAAAATCCCAGCCAGTTCACCAGCTGTTGGGATTTCTGGGAGTTGAAGGCAAGAACCCACAGGTTGAGAACCACTGTGTTAGATAAACTACCATTACAACAATTGCCTCTTATTAATACAGCAATGAAGCTGCATTCTACTTACCAGATGTAATGAGAGTACTAGAGACATTCTTCCCAAATCTTTTCCACTGAAAATCACACGTTTGGGACAATGGATCAACCACACACCAGTCAATCACATAGCTATCATATGTATCCTGGGTCTTCCAAGAAAGATAAATGCCGTGTTCTGTATTGTTGGCTGTGCTTTCTTCAGAATAATTCAAATCTTTTAATATAGAATAATGAAAGAGCATGGCAACATTTAGATCATTGTGAAAAGTTATATCTAAGAGATCAGAGGTTGATTAACTACTATTTTTACATTATTATGGAGATAGCAGTTGGATTCTGTTGGTCTCCAAAAATAAGTGATAAAAATGGGAATGAAACTGCTCTGCCTTCACCCCATGACTGGAATAAACACTGGCAAAGAAAAATGCAAAAGAGGCATTCTTTTATTCTTGAGCAGAGAATCCTGCTGGTGATATATGCAATCCTTGGTAATGACAATGCCATGTTCTGTAATGCTATAGTATTTTACACCAAGAGCAAAGACTGTAACCCTGGTACACGAAGGCTAGATAAACATCCATAGCCAATTTGTAGATGTGGGAGATACAGCCGTACCCATGAACCTTCTAATATTATTGTCTTTGTGGAAGGGAAACGTGAAACAGAGGGTAGACTCCATCCTCCAAACACAGAAATAAACCTAATGCTTATTGGATCTCAATCAAAGGCATAAAGTGAAGTGCATATAAGAAGATGAAAAATAAAAACAATGTTCCAAACACAAATATTTCAGTTGGATCAAATAACAAATAAGACAATCATAAAACCTTTTATATATCCATGTTTAAATGTGCAAAATAGTTCATTTATTGCAGACAATGGGAAAGGTAGTTTTTTGGACTACAACTTCCTGCATCTAGTCTGTCAGCTAAAATGATCAGCACCCATGCTGGATAGGAAATTCTGAGAGCCATAGGATAAAAATGAGATACTTCCAGACTCTGTCTGGTTCATCCTGGGGGAAAATTATACCCATATGCACAGGGAAGGAACAGGGAATATTTTACTGTACACTTTATCATTTTCTGTGCATCAAACGAAGTGACATACTAAGCTTGAAACTGAACATTTTCAGTGAATCAGAAAAACGTAAACATGGGTATAATATTTATATAGCTATACTGTCATGCAGGTGAAGCAATTGAAAGTTAATGAATAAAGAGATTTGGGTGCACAAGCAATTTTAAAATACTCCTCAAAATAGGCTAACTGAACATTATTTCAGGGTAAAACCATTCTTTGAAGCAATATGTCTACATGTACAAACCATTATTTCCAGTTGTTGAGATGATAATCAAAGAGGGAATTGATGCATTCACTGAGTTTCTTGCTGAGACACTGATTTTGTAAGATTGGCTACCAAGGGAAATTGTGTAATTATTTAATTCAGTTGAATGACACTGACAGTGTACATTAGGTCCTTCTACATTTTTCCAACATATGTCATATGTTTTGATGTTTCCATTAGCTCGAAAGTCTGTCGAGGTCTACAAGGAGGAGAACAAAACTTTTCAAACTCAAGTCTACAGTTTAATGGTACAAAGTGGGTTTTACTAGTTATTGATAAAGTTGCTTGTGGGGTGAGTTGTAATAAAAAAAATTCTGAACATTATTCCCTTGTCATAAGAAGAAGTCAGCTTTATTTACATTTTTATCCTAGAACAGTCAAAGATACCAGTTGAGAAGGACTTTCTTGTACAATGGCTTTCAGACTCTTAACCCTGTACTGCGTTCAAAGATAATTAGAGGCTCCTTTTGAAGAGGTCAGGTTCCAGGGCTGTAGAACTTCTGTTCCCCTCCTTTTTCACTGGAGTTATACTGGGCAGATGAATTAAACTTTTGGCAATAGTAGCCTGTCATCTCTTCAATCAGGTGCATTACATAGTACCTCCACCACAGAAAAACAAACAGATATTGCATTTGAAGATGTAAACTAGAGTTCAAAATTATCTAAGATGTCAACGTTTTTGGGAAAATATTCTAACACTCTAGTTGAAACAACTCAATTACTTTCTTTCAATTTCATTGGTCTTACATATAAACATAACTAAAGATGCAATTTGTAATGTGCACTACTTAAAACTCTCATCACTGGCAAAAAATTACCTTTGCACTTTTGGGACTGTTATTTTTTTTCAATGTAATTCCTCTTCCAGCATTGATTGGACAACCAGACTTACCTTCCAGAATACAGTTACGTTACATTCCTCCAAACATGGGCTAATATCACTCCAAATATCTAGTTTCCCTGATGGAGCTGCAAAATGAACAATATAAGAAAAAAAATCATGGGGATAAGGCCCCTCTCATCAAAACTATCAGGTGTGCAACTATGAAAGGCTACGGTGACATTCACCACAGTGATTCTCAAAATGCTTCTCAATGTGTTTTGGATTTCAGCTCCTGAAAGACCTGATCTTCAGCCAAGGTGTCTGGGAGCCTTAGAGATAGAATCAAAAGCATACGAATGATCAAAATTTGGGAACCACTGACTTTGCAGACCTCCATGTATAACTGCAAGTAGAAATGAATTAGATGGATTTGAGGATGGTGCTGCAAAGACTGAAAATTAAGATGGGCTGAGGGACATTAACCCATCACAAGTTATCATTTATATCTTGACTTGATTCTATAGATTGGAGAGAATTCATTGGACTTCACCACACAGGTGAAACTGCCTGTCCTACAATATTTTCACCTCACTTTGGAGATGGAGCCCACCGGATTGCATCAGACAACGTAGAAGTATGGCAGGGCTCTATCCCTGGCGTGAGATGGAACTGTCGTAAGAGGTAGCAGCAGGAACATGGGAGATTTTCCATGTTCTCATTGAGAAGAACGGGGGGAAGCCAGGCAGCAACACTTCCCCCTGTGGGATGAAATTAGGGGTGATGCAGAAAATACAGGGTACAGAGTTCCACCCACTGGATTTGCCATAATCCATGGAAATCCCCTCGCTGTTGCCTGCAATTTTGACCTCAATGTGATGAGGTGCAACTTTATTATTTCAACATATCTTTAAAAGTGGTGACCCCATAACTAATGATAAATAATGACAGCCAGGTTGTAATAATTCTCACCTGTGCATCTAGCTTTTAATGTGCCCAATATTTTGAATTGTCACTGGAAGATAAGAGTGGAGAATTGATATATCTAAAGCACAAGAAAGAATGGCTCTTAGAGAGAGAATCCTAATCATGTTTCTGAGCTCTGATGGGCCACAGATTCACCATTCTTAGGTTACACCTTCACTGTTGAATCGATGTAATTTCACAAGTTCAATATCTTTCTCTGCAAAACAGTGCTTGGGTCTCACTAAATTACAGTCTCCCGGGATTCCATGTTACTAAGGCATGGCAGTTAAAGTGATGTCAAACTGCATTAATTTGACAGTATAGATGCACCCTTAGACTACATAGAAGCAGACAGTACCCAACAGAAGAGGACTGTTAGACTAAGAAATGCAAACGTATTTCCGGCAGTACAGCTTTCTCACCAGATTCATTTGTTTGGATGGTTATAGTTTTACTCCATTCACTCCATTTCCAGAAGAGATGAGCAGCAGCAGCACAGCGTACTTTTAAAGTATAATTTGTATAAGACTGCAACCCATACAGGTTAATGAGGGGATGTGAACCTGTACTGAACCATACTGTAATGTTATGCTGCAAAACATAAATGAAACTATTATTAAGCAATGGGTGGACTTTTGTTGCTTACCATTTCTATTTTTTTTTTCAAATGAAGATAATATACTAATAATACTGACACAATATTATTATATCAGATAATATAGTAGTAGTAGTAGTAGTAGTAGTACAAAACCAAACCATTTCTCTAATGCATAAGTTCTAAATTGTAACCCATAACGATGCTGTTAAATGCTATCCTGAAATGCATTTCTACATAAATAACAAAATGTTATTTTTTTTCACAATCTTATTTTCAGACTCCTAATTTTTCTTCATTAGATGCACAGCAACAAGCATTCAGGGTGACTTTAAGCGATCCAAATGCTCCTGTGAATAATACCATTGCTTTGCATCCAGCTATAGGAAAACTGATTGGTCATATTGTTTATATATACTTCTAATGTGTTTAAATTATTGTCCCTGTTTTACACTGTTACCTTTTTATTTAATTGTATACCACCCTGAGATTATTTGACAGAGGATGGTAATAAGTAAAATAAAGATAAATGTGTGCACAAGAACAACCCTTCCCCACATCGCTCTCTAAATGGTTTGTTCCATTTCTGGATATGGATACTTTCAGAAGCAATGATTTTTGCATAAAACACATCAATCAAAACCAAAATTGGACATCTAGTCACTTCTGGGTTCTACTTTTGCTTTTAAAATGGTAATTTGGGACACCTCTAAGTATTTCCAGTATAACCAGGCATACTATGGTGCTGGGGACTAATATTGGAGCTCATACATCAATCAAAGCTGCACATCCCAGAGATATATGACAATATTTTTTTTGGGGGGGGGGGGATTTTTGGCAGCTTTTATGAGCTCTTTCTATCAATCTGAAAAAGAAGCAAGGAAAATGTACACGTCTTTGTACTAATTATATATGCTACTCACCTCTTCTTCTTTTGCTTCAGGATGAAAGTCATTCATGACATTAACTTGACACAGAAGCCAAAGTGGATCCCTTGTAGGTCTCATATCCCAGAGTAACTGGATGGTGGTAGCATTTTGATAACCGACAGAGAGCTGATCAGGAGGCGCAAGGTGAACTGGTTTTTTTAAAAAGGGAAAAAATACTGAAAGGGCAGCTCTGCTTGGAAGGGAGTCTCTACCTGTTGAACTATGGAGGTAAATTATATCATTCCATCCTCCTTGCAGACCCAGTCCTACCACCACTCTAACTCAGCAGACGCTGTGGGCCTAGCCCACATTTTCCAGCTGTGAAGTGAGCCAGATGCCTGATAAAATGCAGAGGACAGTTGGGGCAGGTTCACCACCCAAGGGGGCAAACTTTTGAGGGCTACCATGAGGACAAGAGCCTGTCTTCATACCCCTTTGTAGGTAGAATACCTCACATTCATACATACATTTGCTATTACCCATAGTAAATAATAGACTACTTATCGGGAAGGGAAATGTCAACAAAAGGTGGGCCACGGTCCTCAGGAAGCAGCCATTCCAGATATAGAGAGAGATGATTGGGGGCTGATCACCCCAAAACTGTATCCCATCTCAAATAATCTGGATAGCCTTGTTAATAATCGCCCTGGAATGAAAATGCTGCTGTTCAATGCTAGATTGGTAAATGGTGAAAATAGCTGCCATTCAGGAATGGATCCTGGATGAACATGCTGACCTGGCCAGTACTACAGAGACCTGGTTGGATGAGGCAGAGGGGGATTCTCTCTCAGCCCTAGGAGCCTACCAGGATTCTTTGCATTGTGCCTTATTTACAACATATTTGTTTGCCATGTTGTATGATGTAGGTACAAATATACATAAAAGAATGCAAACTTTTCACTGCATCTTTGTGTTTGTTCATTTAAAGAAGGTAGATTTCCAGGGAGCACTGAGTCATTTTGTAAAAAGGGTCAGTAGGTGAAATAAGTTGTGCTCTCATCATGGACAGATCACTACTTGGTCACGTTTAGGTTTGCTGAGACTTAATGCCTCGGAAGAGGTGGGGGCCCCATTAAGGTGGTCCACCAAGGGATTTGGATGGATTACTGATGGGTCTTAGGGAGTTTCCTGCTACCTGGGCAGGTAATCCTTTTGAAGCCCTGGTTGATATCTGCAATGGGGAAATGACCAGGGTGGTAGACACAATTGTTCTGAAGTGTTCCTTCTCACAAAGTGGAGCCCCCTGGTTTACAAACGAGCTGGCAGCAATGAAACACGTGTAACAGAGACTAGGGTGACATTGGTAAAAAAAACTCAAAGCAATTCCAACTGCATACAGGAAACAGGCTATCTGAAGACCCATGGTAGGATGATAAAAGCAGCAAAAAAAAAAAAGCATTTTACAGCAATACTATTGCTTTGGCACAGAACTGATCAGCAGAGCTGTTTCAGATGGTTAGGGACCTAGTAGAATCTAGGTACAGGGAGCATACAACTCCCCTGTTGTGTCAGCTCCACTGGCTGCCAATTTACCATCTACCAGGAGTGCTTTTGCAGTAAAAACGGATTGAAACATTTACTTCAAAAGCAAGATAAGCATTACACTGACACTCACATACATGCACAAACTTCCCATTCCAGCTAATGTGGGGGCCCAGGGGAGGACCTTCTCTTCTGTGGCACTCTGGAGATTGAGCACATTCACTTTGAAGGCTTCACTGGTACTAAATGTGTAGATAGACACATTTAGGTGCCCACTAAAATGTGTCTATCTACAAAAAAAACTTTGTAGATACTTGCAATTCGTCACTTCTGGGGAGCAGAGCTATTGACTTTCATATGCACAAGTCCCCTTTTGGGACATTGCTTCTTGATCACTATTTTTTGGGGAGCAGAATTAATTACTTCCATGTGTGCAAGTCCCCTTTTTAATTAATTACTTCTGGACTCTGCACTGGTTTTATGATAGAAATATTTATTATCACTCTGTTTGCAACTGGAAATTTAAAAAATGAAAAGGGAAGTTTTATTCACTGAGCTCTATAGAATTGTCTTCACAGAATACAACAGATATGGCTGCAATTTGATGTATTCTCTACATTTTCATCTAGTTGTTCTGTGCAGAAGCCTCTAAAATTTTGTTGACCATGAAAAGGCCAATGAGCATTGTGAAAAGCAGAATTCCTGATAGTTGGCCAAACATCTAGAGGAACAAAGGTTAGGAACTGCTGATGTAAAGTATAAAGTATAAAGATGAAAAATATATACAGAAAACTTACGCCTTTGGGCTACATCAACCACAGTATCGGTGTGTTCCTGTCCAACACAATTTTGAACTGTCAATCTTAAACTGTAATTCATTTGCTCACTAGAAATGTTGAATCCACAGAGTTTGCAATTTCCATCGCATCTGCAGTATGTTTGACCATTTGACCTTCAAAGAAAAGATGAGAGAAATGGAAGAAAAAAGTTCTAGTATGAAGTAGGACATGAGAAGATATTTAAACTAAACAAGAGTGAAAAACAGAAGTAAGTTTCTGAAATGTGTATTTCAAGCCTGCTCTTATCCCTCACCACCACCACCTTCCTTCCCACACCATCTTTTCATCTACATTAGTGTAAATCATGGGGAACACTATCCAGATTCCTCCTTAACCAGGGTTCAAGGATTGTTTTGAAACTTTGGAAAAAATAGGAATTGTTAACATCAAGTGTGCTCAGGACTGGAAAATGTGACATTTGCATAGGTTGAAAAATGGTGTATGAACAAGTTGGGTGAGTCATGCTGCACTCTTAACTTCAGAGTTCAACACTAGAGTAACAGTTGTTTCCTAGTATAACCCATCATTGGCATCCATTGTCTGTATGTGTTTTCAAGTTATACTTTGACAACCCCATAGAGTTCATAGAATTTCCTATGCAAGGAGTTTCATCAATTCCTTCCTCTGAAATACAGCCTACAGTACCTGGTATTCACTGGTCGTCTCCTATAACTGTAAATATACTCAATATAATCTTTTATTATTTCTGTAAATTATTATTACCTTGGCTGTTAACAAATATATTATGTGAAATGCTAGTGGAACAAACACAGAGGCAGGAGGAAGCAAGGAAAATGTATTTCCCAATTTATAAATTATCACACTTTCAAGGCAAGCCCTCCCATTGAATAATACTGTAGAAGATACAATAGAATAGTGGTGGTAGCTCCAAAGCTGTCCCCCTTGAACACATTCTTCTGTTTTGGAGGATAACTGGGTGTGTCACACAACCCATCTTGCACACCTAAACTGTCCTGTCAGCCTTAGATGTGGAAGGATCCTAAACTCAATGGCAATGTTGAATGCATCTTCAATTGCACATCTCAGGCTGGATCTTCACTGCCATATAATGCAGTTTCAGAATGCAGTTGGACTGCATTGAATTGGATTATGTGGCAATGTAGACTCAAATAATCCAGTTCCATTTAAACTGCATTATATGAGTCTACACCAGTGGTTTTCAACATTCCTAATGCCATGGCCCCTTAATCTAGTTTCTCATGTTGTGGTGACCCCAACCATAAAATTATTTTTGTTGCTACTTCATAACTGTAATTTTGCTACTGTTATGAATCATAATGTAAATATCTGATATGCAGGATGTATTTTCATTCACTGGACCAAATTTGGCACAAATACCCAATACACCCAAATTTGAATACTGGTGGGGTTGGGGGGGATGATTTTGTCATTTGGGAGTTGTAGTTGCTGGGATATATAGTTCACCTACAATCAAAGAGCATTCTGAACTCCAACAATGATGGAATTGAACCAAACTTGGCACACAGAACTCCCATGACCAACAGAAAATACTGGAAAGGGTTTGGTGGGCATTGACCTTGAGTTTTGGAGTTGTAGTTCACCTACATCCAGAGAGCACTGTGGACTCAAACAATGATGGATCTGGACCAAACTTGGCATGAATACTCAATATGCCCACATGTGAACACTAGTGGAATTTGGGGAAAATAGGCTGGACATTTGGGAGTTGTAGTTGCTGGGATTCATAGTTCATCTACAATCAAAGAGCATTCTGAACTCCACCAATGATAGAACTGGGCCAAACTTCCCACACAGAACCCACAGAACCAACACAAAATACTGTGCTTTCTGATGGTTTTTGGTGACCCCTGTGACAGCCCCTCATGACATTCCCAGGTGTCCCGGCCCTCAGGTTGAGGAACACTGGTCTATACTGACTATACAATCCAGTTCAATCTGCATTATAATGACAGTGTAGATGGGGCTTCAGTCATCCTTTACATATGAAAGGGAGGTGTGCCGGTACTTCTTATTCTTTGTCTCAGACCTCAAGTGTTTTGGGATGCTTTTGAGGAAAGCCAACATGACATCTGTCCTGTAGATCTCAAGATAATGAAAGGAATTTTCTCCACTGACGTCCCTTGAATAATTAATTGATATGATCACTCTCCTACAATTTTCAACTTTCTTGAGTACTGCCTCCAAAGCTATCCCACAACGTTGGCAAATATACTGTTAATTCCTCATCATGATCTGAAGTATGTGTGAGATATAAACTATTCCAAGCATACTTACACATCAGACACAGTGAAATTAGTCGCACATTTATTCTGATGAAGGTTAATATAATTGTCTGTTCGACCTGGGTCCCACATACACTTTAACTTCGTCATGTCTTCTGTTTCACAGTCAAAATCTTTGGGTTTATCAGGCTTACCTGTTAAAACAAGTCTAGATTACAATGTTTCATTCTTTTAATTTATCCATACAGCCACTTTCCAAACAAGTAAAAGTTGTACTACTGTTAAATAGAACATGAACAGAACTCCATCAGAAAACCTGTCAGCAAACAGTAATCATGCACATTAGGTGTCACCACTCTATTGTATGCATTGTGCCTGCATAGGAGAGGTAGAACACACACTATCTAGGCAGAAGGAGATGCTAAAGATGATCCAGTGTATTCCATTGGGTCTCACTAGTTCAAATTCAACACTCTAGCCATCACACCATAGAGAATCTCAAGGAAAAAAATCTTTAAAATGGCTAATGTAAAATGCAGAAGGCAGAAGAAAAAGTCAATTTGTGGAACAAACAGTTTGAACAGTTGAGTTGGGGTAGTAGCCCTTTGCCACTTTGCCCACAGCAGATAAAATCAAATAATAGTTGGGGATTGAGGGGGGGGGGGGGAGGAGTGAGAATTGAATGTTTTTTAAAGGATGATAAGACAAATAAATAAATCACAGAAATCTTAACATTTTTGTCACAGTTAATAAAAAGTCCCACTGAGCAAAACCGTCTTCATTTGAGGTTGCAAGCTAACTAAGACATATGCATCTCCTATGAGAGAGACTTCTGGAATTGTGGGGCTATTACATTAAAGATAAGCCTGGGGATTAAGCATCTCCCCAATTGGGATGCAAAAAGAATGGGATATCTTTCTATTAGATTCAAGAGGAAGAGAAACAAACCTTTATATTTGTCTTAATGTGGTCTGTCTTGATGTAATTTGTTTGTATGTTTTTCCAATTTTGGCATTGAATGTTTGCCATACATGTTGGAAACCACCCTGAGTCCCTTCGGGGAGATTGGGGGGTCTACAAATAAAGTACTACTACTACTATTATTATAGTATTGGAAGAGACCTTGTGGGCCATCCAGGCAACCCCCTGCCAAATGCAAAAAGGGAGTGAGATAAAGTTGTTGTTGTTGTTGAAACACAACAAGATGAGTCCACAGCAAACAAGATCCCTCTGCTGGCTGTTGTATTGGATCACACGTCGGACACTTCCCAAGTGTCTAGGACTGTGTGATGTATCTGCAAATAATGTGTACAGATCCGAGTAGGGTGGTCCTTTGCAGCTGGCAGACGGTAATTTTGTCAGCGCCAATTGTATTTAACTGTGGGCCAGGGTCTTTAGGCACTGCATATGAACTACTCTTCCAATATTGTGCATTAGCATAACTGTCAAAATCATTAATCCAGGTGTAGAATTGTTCTTCCCAAAATAAACAACAGAAGGGTGAACAACCTATGACCTGTCAGATGCTAGGTTATAATTCCCATTAGCCTGAGGCTAATGAGAGCTATAGCATCTGAAGGGTCACTAGAAGGAATGAGTCAGAATGCCATTTCACCTTGTTTCCTAATGAACACTTGCACATATTCAGAATGAACAGAACTTCAGATTAAAAAAAAAACCAAATTGACTGATTTGCCAATTTAGGCCCAGAACTTTGAGTTGAGATTTGACTGCAACCATATTTGTGATGATGAATTAGAATTGCCATATCTCTCTCTCTTTTTTTTTCATGAGATGCTTCACATCTTTCAAGTAGTTACACAGTTGTACATTTGAGTTTGACTAGTGTGAAGGGAAAAGGAGTGGGAATTTTCACTTTGATTTGCTTTCCGAGAAATTGTCAAGTTTGCAAATCATCTTTTCGAGACATAAAAAATATGAGATTTTTTTTTAAAATCGGAGAAAAAAGTAAAATGGACAGATTATCCATCCCAAACCATTGCTTACTGCTCAACAGTAATACAAAACACACTCTACTTACTCGTCACATAGAGAAGAGTTCCTTGTCTGTCACTCGACTGAAAGAAATCACACAGAACATTTATGCCACCAAAAAATGAAAGTGGAACATTCATTTCCGTAAATGTTATTCTTCTTTGTTTTGATTTAAGATGGGGCTTTCTATTAAATACATATCCAATTAAAAACTCGTTATTCTTTGCAATGCAGCAAAAAGTGATACTGGAACCTTTTTCAATGACTTTTTCTGGTGGAAAGATGTAACTGCTACCATCATCCAGGGAATCCATGCCTAAATAAAGACATCAAGGAAAATATTCAGTTTTCCTGCATTGCCTACTAAATTCCACAAAGAACTTATGTCAACTTCCTATTAGTGACATATCTTGAGGGAGAAAGAAATTCACTTGAACCCATCATGCCTTTACTGAGATATAAACACACAATACCGTTACAATGTCTGTGCATTCCTGCTAACATACATTCTGGTCAAGCCTCCAGAGATGCTGTTCTGGAAGGTGTAAGTTGAATTCTTAGTCATTTTCCTGGTGTGCAAAACATACACTCAGATGCCATTGACTCAGTGAGGAAATGATGTGTAGGCACAGTACTTGCAAGAGGAACATTTTTTAAAAATTTAAAATTTAAAGAATTTTCCTGGGACTGCTAAATAATAACAACAACAACAGGGACTGATCAAGATTCTGTTTCTGTTTGCAGTAATTTGGCTTTAATCAGAAAGACTGTGGAGAGCCACTTGAACAATGACTTCATTCAATGTAAGGCAGCACTACTGAACTTGTATCCTATTAGATGTTGGATCCTACCATCAGTACCAAAGAATACACACAATGGTTTGGGAAGATGAGATCTGTAGTGTAACTCTTGGAAGCCTGCAGTTTCCCCGTCTCTGGCATGAACTGTCATCCTCATTGTTACTATAATCAAAGTGCTTCATAATTATTTTTACAGTACTGTGGCACTTCACAGGCCACAAAAGAATGAGTCTGTCTCCCTAAGAGTTTGCAATCTGTCATCCAATATGAGAAGGCACATATTGTAATGCAGGGGTAAATAGGGGAAGGATATGCATTTATTTTAGACTTCTTTAGAGTTCAAAGGCTGTGACAAAAGCTTCATGGAAGAGATAGATTTCTAAAAGGAAACTGAAGTAATGTGGCATAATATTTGTTCTGGAAGGTTGATGGGGTATAGTTGCACTTTGTACATGGCAACCACTTCCCACTACATCAGTTTTTCTTTTTTAAAAAGAAATTAATAGGAGTAAGTAGGCATTTACCATATATAATTTTTTAGGCTGAACCCCCCCCCCTTCAGCTTATACTTGAGTCAAAGTTACTTATTATTTTACATCATCATCATCATCATCATCATCATTTGAAACACAGCAAGATGAGTCCACAGCAAACAAGATCACTCTGCTGGCTGTTGTATTGGATCACACGTCGGACACTTCCCAAGTGTATATGACTGTGTGATGTATCGGCGAATAATGCGTGCAGATCCCAGTAGGGTGGCCTTTTGCAGCTGGCAGGTGGTAATCTTGTCAGCGCCAATTGTATTTAACTGTGGGCCAGGGTCTTTAGGCACTGCATATAAACTACTCTTCCAATATTGTGCATTAGCATAACTGTCATAATCATTAATCCAGATGTAGAATTGTTCTTCCCAAAATAAACAACAGAAGGGTGAACAGCCTATTATTAGAAAAGTCGATTTACCATCCTTTATTTCCCAAGCACTCCAATCACTCCAAGTTTCAGAAGGAGCTACTCTACTCCGTATTCTTACTCCATGAGGCATACACTCCAAGGGTACAGCTGAACACCAAGTCAGTTTCAGAGGGTGGTTTGTTTTATTGATTATTGTTGTGTAATTCTTCTAAGTATACAAAACAAAGAGTAAGCAACTGGAAAGGAATACAGGAATAATGACGTAACATAATCCATATGTCTTTATAGCTTCACTCCTATAAAATTAGCAAAAGATAACGTACCCTGAAGAGATTCAGAACAATTTCACAGTAGATGTTGACTACAGAATTATGCGGATGGGCATGGGTTTTTCCATAAGCATATACTATTTGCAAGAATCCAGGCAGGTGTCACATGAGGACCACAGCTTGGAATTAAACCATTTCACAATCATGATAAAGTCTCCTCCCACACATCTAGTTTTACCTACTCTAATTCTATTCATCCTTTTTTGGTTCACAAGGCCAACATGACTCAAGTCATTCTTATAGGGTGAGATGTGTGCCACTTGCGCTACACAGAAGCATTAGAATGACTAGTGAGAAAGCTCACCTGGCATTCCCTCTGTTATTGCTTAGGCACTAGGAATCAAGTCAAAGCTCCCTCCTCTTGCACATCCAAAGACAAGAGAGACAAGGGTGGAAAGGGGAGTTGGTTAAACCCTAGCTACTGAAAATGACATGACTCTAACTGCTTGCAACGGTTGTCATACCTCTATAGACAGCTGTGAATGACAGAACTGAAAACAGAGAAGCACTTCTGAATCACTCTGGGAGCTGTTTCAAAAAGTTACATGGTCTCTGGTCATGCTGGTATTGTAAAATTTAAAAAATCTGATTCCAACCAAGGTTTAAATTCAAAATTCTGGTAAATATCAACCATTTTAGCAAATCTGAACTTAGACATTATTTCAATTAGAAACATCATGGCTTCAAAAACAAAGGTTAAAAATACATTGGGATTATGAGAGTTATGACAAAATATATGCCATGTGCTTAGGAAAGTAAGTAAATTACTACATATTCCAATTAAGCAGGTTGGTTCTCAAGCTGCACTTAGTACACTAGCTTTCAACCCTCTTGGGGTCTTCATTCTGGTATTTTGCTTCGTCTAATGCAGGTTCAGAAACACATGTAACACTATAGATGAAGAATAAAACTATGCTTTCCGTCATTCCGGGAACTTAGAATCATAGAATTGTAGAGTTGAAAGAGACCATGTAGGCCATCCAGTCCAACTCCCTTCCAAGAAGCAGGAAAATTGCATTCGAAGCACCCTGGACAGATGGCTATCCAGCTTCTGCTTAAAAGCCTCTAAAGAAAGCTTTTGTATGTGAAGATTCTTGTTTTTGTGGAAAGATACTTACATCGACAACAATATTAGTCTCGTTGCTGCTATAAATCTGGATGTTATAATCCATTTTTACTTCAGAGTTATATGCTTCCATATCATCATTGACATTCAATTCTAGTAACAGTTGCTGAAGAGCACGGTTCATGGAAACATTAAGTTTTAGAGGTTGAAATATATTATTACCTGTGGGAGAAAAGAAGGGAAACTGAAAAACAAAACAAAACATCTCCACCCAAACTCACATTCAGATTCATTTTAATACTTTCAACTCTGTAGAATAGGTTTGCATGCTAGCATTACCTAGAAATAGTCCCATAAGCTTTCTTTTTCATATGACCTGATAGTAATATGTTCATGTGTAGTCTGTCCCTCCACATAGTTTAGAGGGGCAGATTACACATTACAATTACATTAACTTTGGGGCAGGGGAAGAGATACTATTAATCCTCTATCCCCAGCTTCACTCTTAGCCCTTCTCTGTCTGCTATTTCATCATGACAAAATCTCTAATTCAGAGTTGATGAAAGTAACTGTTTGGACTACAATTTCCTACAATTCCCAGGGAAAACATATGCCAACAGAAGGAGCACGGATTCATTAATTCTCTGAGTTTTATTTCTGCTTATTGTTAAGAGCTTGGAATTTAGACATGTGAACAAAATACATTCCTACTGTTCCTACCATTTCTTTCACACAGAAATCTGCTCAAGTGTGCTCCAAGCCTGCCTGCAAGCCCCATCACACACACACTCTCAGAGAGTGTGACGGGGTTTGTGTAGCAACTGGTGTAGCATACAGGCAGGACCAGAGCTCGGCTGCAGGCATGCTCCAGACCTGCACCCTGTCACATTCTCTTGGAGAGGGTCGAGGGGCATGAGTGGCAGGGCGTGCAGGCAGGCCCAGAGCAAGCCTGCAGCTCAGTGCCTCTTACTCTAGAGGAGAAACAGCAAGTTCCAGGTAAGAAGAATGCCGGGAAAGGGAGCCAGTGGATCGGAAGCCACCCCTTCCCCCCTAATGGTCTGAATTTGAGAGGCCTGAACCAAATACAACTCTCCCATTTTCAGAAGGCTCTCAAAAATGGATCAGGGCCCTCAGCAATAGCCGAGACATGAAACGGGGCAATGTTTACCCCCAAAGCACAAGCCTATTGAAAATATTATCTTTCAGGATAACAAGTTTCCAAAATTTCCTATTCATCATGATATGTCCCACACAAATGCGTAATAACTGATCAGTTTAAAATATGTAAGAGAATGGTAGCATGCTGGTATATTTTTCCTTATTGTTCTGTTATTACAGTCTCCCAAGGCTAAAGAAAACACATGTGTCTATACTGTCCTAACGCTATCAAATTACAGGCTGTGCAATTAAAAGATAATAGATGGAACAACATACTAGGCCAAAGTATAAGATGAGTGGTTTACACAATTATTATTTTTTTTGTCGTGTCAGGAGCGACCTGAGAAACTGCAAGTCGCTTCTGGTGTGACAGAATTGGCCCTCTGCAAGGACGTTGCCCAGGGGACGCCTGGATGATTTTTTGATGTTTTATCATCCTTGTGGGAGGCTTCTCTCATGTCCCCACATGAGAAGCTGGAGCTGATAGAGGGAGCTCATCCGCCTCTCCCCGGATTCAAACCTGTGACCTGTCGGTCTTCAGTCCTGCCGGCACAGGGGTTTAACCCACTGCGCCACCGGGGGCTCCGTTTACACAATGAATGAATAGCTCTTAGCTAACTGAAATGTGTCCTAAGCATCTTTTCCTTACACTAGAAACTGTTAATTCTTTTTATATGCAGTATTTTCAAATAAGGAAAATAAATATTCAGTTCTTTACCTTCACTCTGAGGCATGGCAAAACAGAACAGTATATTTAAAATTGCTGCTAGAGACACCAAATATCCCATTTCTTTATCTGAAAGAAACATACAAGAGGATAATACATTTCTGCACTGCGCTTTAGTTACATTGTCAAATAACTGCAGCAATTGCAGTCATTTTCATATAGCTGTAGGAAGAAAGGCAGATCTAAATAGGTAAATGCTCTCCTCTGGGAGCTAACAAGAAAATAAAATGGAAAGAAAAGGAATTTTCCCCTGCAGTGTTGATGTAAAATAAGAATTCTGGATTCAAATGGTCTGTTGTAACTGGCCAAATGAACTCCATTTTGACAATAGCTGACATCTCAGAACAAGGGAATATATAACTGGACAACACACATTTAGGTGCCTCACATGTTAGACATGTTTCTGGATATATTTGACCTGCTGATTCCAAAAATAATAATAATAATATAATATAATAATAAACTTTATTTATACTCCGCCACCATCTCCCCGATGGGGACTAGGAGCATCTTACATGAGGCCAAGCCCAAACAACAAATTACAACAGAGTAAAACCGAAAACGGCATCAGCTTTCTCCTATCATCTCTAGTTTTTAAGATAGAGAACATATGCCAGTGTAGACTCATATAATCCAGTTCAAAGCAGATAATGTGGATCAGTGTAGAAGGGGCCTGAATCAGGTAAATCAAGAAAGAGTGAATAACAAATGACTTACAAAATTAGCCTTCAAATGACATTTGTCACCTACATTCTATTTTTATCATTATTTGTTCTCAAAATACACCTTTTCAAAATACCTTAAGACACACAGTATAGCTGGGATTTGCAGATTGTTGGGCAGTGATCATTCATTTTCATGTGGTGAGTTGAAATGCTCCAGATGGCATGTTTTTTTAATGTTGCGATGCCTGGAAGCCATTCTGCAAAGCATACATGAATGCAAAGCCTAATATAAATTTATTCATTTATACATATATATTTTTTGCAAGAAAATGTGTTTTAAAATACCAACAAATCTTAGTATCATTGTTTGTTAATGATAAAAGGCGACAGTAATAATTAGAAAGAAAGAAAAATAGCCTTAACTACTGGTCCCAGGAAAAACTCCATTGTAATTCATGCAATAACTTCACAGTGCTCTCAAATTAGTGGATTTTTCAGCCTTAGTGCAATCATTGTATATGCATTTGATATACCTTTCCTGCCACCTTGTGTCCAAAATTGTGAATTGTATGGTTTGATTTATCAATTAAAAAGTTATTTTATTTTTTAAATACCCTAAGGTCATCAGATTTTATCTGATCTTGGAATCCACTACACGTGAGTTTGGAGAAGAGCAAACCACAGACCACCTGCTGCAATGCAACCTGAGCCCTGCCACATGCACAATGGAGGACCTCCTTGCGGCAACACCAGAAGCACTCCAAGTGGCCAGATACTGGTCAAAGGACATTTAATCAACCACCAAGCTTGCAAACGTTGTGTTTTGTTTGTTTGTCTGTTTGTTAAAAAAATGCAATGTAACTCTTTGGTCTGTTGCTGACACGATAAATAAATAAATCTGATCTTGGAAGCTTGGTTGGAGTTTCCAGTTCCTGTAAGCTATATTTTAGAGGAAGGAACTGTTAAAACAGTCTCTGAGGCCCCTTCTACACTGGCATATAATCCAGATTATCAAAGCAGACAATCTACATTATCTGATTTGAACTGGATTATATGAGTCTACACTGCCAGATAATCCAGTTCAAAGCAGCCAACTGGATTTTATATGGCCATGTAAAAGGCACATCAGTATGCCTTGCCTAAGAAAACCCTATAAAATTCATGGGCTTCCATAACTTGATAGGTGACTTGAAGGCACATAGATGCACACACAGAATAATGGTTTAATTTATAATGTGTAATTCATCTAATAAAGAATTTTAGCCTAATTACAATGTCTGCTAATAAGATAGTGTGCAAAAGAGAAAGCAGAATAAATGTACAAATGTTCAACATCTTGAGCAGTTAGGAGGAAGATGAACATGGTATTTAGAAATACTATTTCCAAGCTGTTCTTTATAGCATTTCTGCATTTGTTTGACATCTCTACAGAAGAGATAAATGTTTGTTTTTAATTATTAAGCAATTTCCTTGCCAGCTATTTCATTATAGAGATTTACAACACTGTGTTGCAATGAAATCAAGGCACGGGTGCTGATGAAGCCGAGGCCAATAATGGGCTTTTAAAACAGGAGTAGCATGTTCTGTGTCCTGCTAAATTGACAAACTGATGCTTGGGATTGCAGTTTCCATCATCCTGAAATCTGTTCATGCTGACTGGGGTTCAGAGGTGGTATAGTCCAGAAAAATGGAGAATACCATGTTGTCTATTCCTTGCATAGAGCCCCTTGGCGTAGGATTGCCAGAGTAAATACCAGAAATGTCTCTTGCATCTTTAATGGTTGTTTATAAGAAGCAATTTCAGCAGGTATTCTTTGCTACCTTGGTGTTCAACAAGAGCTGAAAATCTATCAAAAAAGACAAGCTCTCTCCTGGTTTCAATCTGGCATCTAAACAGGATTTGTGTAAAGTTAGAAAATCCTGCTAAGAAAGTCCAATCTAGGCCACCTTGAAATAAATATTTGCCTCTCCTGAACTACAGACTAGGGCTGGGCAGTTTTGTTTCATTAATTCGTAATTCGTTAATAATTCGTTAATTTTTTCAATTACAAAACGATAACGAACCATTCTGGAGCAATTATTAAAAAAAACGAATTTTCAAAAACGTTTTGTAAATGCTTCGTATTTCGATATTGTATTCGTTTAGTTATTGTTTTGAGGTCGTTTCGTTATTATTTCCGCATGTCTGGGCCAGTTTTATGGTTTAATTAGTGAAAAAAAATTATAATATCACGCCAACAGTCAACAACAGAGGGAGAGGGAAGCTTCAGAAGGTTTTGGAGGTTTTTTAGCGTATTTCGCGGTCGCGTCCGCCATTAACGAATCGATTCGTTATTGTTTCGGAAATCGATTCGTTAATTTTTTACCATTTACGAAATTTCGTAAATATCGAACTTTTTAAAAGGAAAATTTTGTAATTATTTTAAATATCGAAACAAAAAAAAAACCCAAATACAAATCGATTTTAGAAACAAATTTTTCCGTTGTTACCCAGGCCTACTACAGACAATCATCTCATGACAGTGGGATTCAAAAGCATATCCATGTTAGTCAGGAATAATAGTATGCAACAAAATATTGTATACTATATACTCCAGTATACTACACTGGAGAAATAATGCAGCTATATTTTAGCAACATCCAAAATGCAATGGATTTACATCCTTGAAACTTCTTGATGCACATGTACAGCAATACAAATTAACAAAACGATTCTGAGACATCTGCTAAGGATTATGCTTCATGCTAATTTTATGAAGTCACAATGGGATGTATCAGAGAATGCCAGAAATTACTCAAGAAATTCAATCTAGTGGAAATGATTAGAAGAACTTCGTATGAAGAGAATTAGCATGATACGTGCACACTGCCCTTCTTGGACAATCGTGGCAGTTGTACATAACATCAACTCTATGTAACTTTGGCCTCTGCTTATGTTTAGCATTAATCTTGTAGATGACCTCGGAAGCAGGACATTGCTACCTGGACAAAACAGATGTCTCTAATAAGATCCTAATGGCCAAGGATAAAAGATATTTGTGTGTGTGTGTGTGTGTGTGTGTGTGTGTGTGTCAGGAGTGACTTGAGAAACTGCAAGTTGCTTCTGGTGTGAGAGAATTGGCCATTTGCAAGGACGTTGCCCGGGGGATGCCTGGATGTTTTGATGTTTTATCATCCTTGTGGGAGGCTTCTCTCATGTCCCTGCATAGGGAGCTGGAGCTGACAGAGGGAGCTCATCCGCACTCTCCCCAGATTCGAACCTCGGTCTTCAGTCCTGTCGGCACAAGGGTTTAATCCACTGTGCCAAAATTTTAAAATATTTTATCAAATATTATAAAATGATTTATAATCACTGGATGAATAACAGGAAGGGGTCAGGGTAGAAAAATGAGAAATATGCCCACATCTGTAAGACTAACTGGTTCTTAATTCAAGCATGAGTCTTTGTGGATAGAGGCAGTGACAAGCATTATAAAGACCTCAGTTGTAGAATTCCTATGATTCCGTAGCATTGACCCATCACAGTTAAAATGGTGTCAAACTGCATTAATTCTAGATTGCAGACATACCCATTGTGTTCCATGCTGTTGGTTTTGGTTACATTTAGGCTGGATCTAGGGCTCTTCTACACGGTCCTTATTGCCTAGGATCTCATACCAGATTATTGATTTATCGCAGAATATATGGCAGGGGAGACTCATGTAATCCAATTAGATAGATAACCTGAGATCATATCCTAGGATATAAGGACAGTGCAGAAGAGGGCTGACACTACCATATAAAATCCAGATTATCTGCTATGAACTCAATTATATGGCAGAGTAATGGTAAATGAAAATGTTTTCCTTGACATTAAGTCTAGTCCACTCTGGGGAATGGATCTCATCTCCATTTGTACAAACAACACCAAAGAGCTGGCGTTGTCTGTAAACGCCTCCAAGATCATCTGGCCGGCATGACTACATGGAGAGCCGTTACCTTCCTGCCAAAACGGTACCTATTGATCTGCTCACATTTGCATGTTTTCATACTACTAGGTTGGCAGATGCTGGGGTTAGCAACAGGAGCTCACCTTGTTCCACAAATTCGATCTACCGATCTTCCGGTCAGCAAGTTCTGGAGCTTAGCGGTTTAACACGCCGTACCACTGCAGCCCATTATATGGCATTGTAGACTCATATAATCCAGTTCAAAGCTTTCATAATTTCATATGGCAGTGTAGAAGGGACCTTGGTTCTTCTTTCCTGAGGTTCCCAAGAGCAAGAGTACAGATGCTGTATGTAGGATTTGCTTTAGATTCAAGATTGGCCCATCACGAGTACATTCTGCCTGTTAGCTGACATATCTGTTAACCATTTTATCCACAATGTGTTTATTGTTTCCAAATCCAAAGAATATCTTGCCTGTGGCAAAATACCACCATAGAAACCTTGCAACTTTTTCAACAACAAAATGAGAAGCAGCTGTTAAAAACTGATGGTGTGATGGGAAGAACTGTGAAGTACAAGAGATACTGGACCCTTCCTGAATAACCATGTCTGAAATTAAACATTCTCTTCTCTCTCCCAAACCCCAAAGTAAAGGAAAAATGTTCAGATACTTTTTCCTTATCACAGTTCTTTTGCATACATTCATTTTTATTTTATGCCAACTATGGCTGAGGATGATTAATTCTTCTCTGTGCATCCTTGCTTTTTTGAACTACCATTCTTCAAAATCTTCCAGCCTATAATGCTGCTGGTCCTGTTGCCTGGGGGACTCCGGGTATTATAAAGTTTTGAAAGTGACTTTAATGTAAGCAAGTGAAGGAACTTTTGTGTGAGCAATTTGTGACCTCCAGAGTAAATATTTCAGCAGTTATTGGAAGGGAATTAAATATCCTTTTCCCTTATGCCACTTCCCTGAACAATACTGAAGTTTGCCCAGCTGCTCTGAAATTGTGTGTGTGTGTGTGTGTGTGGCTGTATTTATAATTATTGGGAAGTTTGTTGCAGAGTCACAGGCATCATATCTATTTTGGCTCTTAATTTATTTCCAGATTTTCTGAAATACTTTTGTTTTTCTAACCCTCGCTCTCCATTCCACTTTCTGCTTGTCACTCTTTCTCAAAGGACAGTGCAAAAATGTCCTAGTGTGACATCCAGTACCAGGAAATCTATGACATAGGTAATAGCTTGAGAGCTAATGTCCAGCCCTCCTAGCAGCATGTCTTCTTTTAAGGTCAAGAGATTTAAGACCTATTCTGGAAAATCTGTTAATCCTTTACAGCTCCAAAAGCTTTTTGGATTGATGCTCATTTCCTTCAGAACTTGGAAAATTAGTTTCGGGAATACAGGTCCCAGGATGCTGCAGTTAGGATGAACAAAACTTATCAAAACTCCGCTTTTATTTTTGCAAAAAGATTATTCTTAATGTTTTTCTACATTCCTGTACATTATTATTGCTGATATGAATGATCTTACTCATAGATTGGAATCATGCAGTTGCCCAAGTGTTGTTTTTCTGCGAGTCCCAGAGCTCCTCGGTATTGTTCATGATGGGCAGGGCTGCTGGGAGCCACACTCCAACAACATCTGCAGGACTGTATAATGTTCCTCCTTGATTTAAAGCAACATAAGGATTCTGGGAAAACTGCAAGGTTTACATTTCATATTAAATAAACAACGAGACTAAAATTAAAACAAAAATCATGAAGGATGATTCATGGGAGATTCATGGATCAGTTTCACAACTTGTTTTAGAATTGTTTTAAAATTAAATTGCAGTGCCCAATTCTGGGCTCCGCAATTAAAGGGAGACGTTGACAAACCGGAATGTTCTAGAGGAGGGTGACTAAAATGATCAAGGGTCTGGAGAAGAAGCCCTATAAGGAGCGGCTTCAAGAGCTGGTCATGTTTGCCTTGCAGAAGAGAAGGTTAAGAGGAGAAATGATGATGGCCATGTATAAATATGTGATGGGAAGCCACAGGGAGGAGGGAGCAAGCTTGTTTTCTGCTGCCCTGGAGACTAGGACATGGAACAATGGCTTCAAACTACAGGAAAGGAGATTTCACCTGAACATTAGGAAGAACTTCCTAATTGTGAGAGCTGTTCAACAGAGGGAACTCTCTGCCCCAGAGTGTAGTGGAGGCTCCTTCTTTGGAGGCTTTTAAACAGAAGCTGGATGGCCATCTGTCAGGGGTGCTTTGAATGCTATTTTCCTGCTTCCAGGCAGGGGGTTGGACTGGATGACCCACAAGGTCTCTTCCAACTCTATGATTCTAAGTTCTGAGATGTTGCTATCGGAGGAGTTACATAACTCTTTTTCTGATAGAAACTTTTGGGATGGAATACTCCAGAAGCGGATGGATTCTCCTTCATTAGAGTTTTTAAACCAAGCGAGGATGAGCATTTATCAGAGATATTTTAACCATGGATTCTGCATTGGCAAAACATCAATAAAGATAAAGGTTAGGTAGCCTATGTTTCAGTCACCACTTTTTCTACAATTTCACATGCTTTGTTTTAAAATGTTGGGAGATGGTCTCTTGTGAAATATAGCCAAAAGAACGGCATCATATGGAGCCAGCACATTGGTCAATTCAGCCTACAACCATCTTTTTTGCCTTTGCAGGGACAGATCTTTCCCAGGCTGAATCTACACTGCCATATAATCCAGCATCTGATCCCAGATTATCTGCTTTGAACTGGACTATGTGAGAATAATAATAATAATAATAATAATAAGAAGAAGAAGAAGAAGAAGAAGAAGAAGAAGAAGACGACGACAGCTCTGGCATAAACCAGTACAGGTGGTCCCAGTGGTAATAGGCACGCTGGGTGCCATGCCAAAATATCTCAGTTGGCATTTGGAAACAATAAACATTAACAAAATCATGATCTGTCAACTGCAAAAGGCCACCTTACTTGGATCTGTGTGCATCATTCAAAAATACATCACACAGTCCTAAACGCTTTGGAAGTGTTTGACTTGTGAATTTGTGATATAAAATCCAGCATATATATCTCATTTGCTGTGTCATACTATGTTTTTATGTCAGAATAATAATAATAATAATAATAATTATTATTATTATTATTATTATTATTATTATTCTGTTCTGTCTCCCCAAGTGGACTCAGAGGAGATTACAGAATACAAACATGGCAAACATTCAATGCCATTATACAATTAACAAAATAGACAATACATAAACAGAGGCAAGGCTACACTGCCATATAATCCAGTTCAAATCAAATAATTGGAGATTAAATAATCTGGCAGTGCAACAGGAGCCCCGGTCTTCCTTTCTCTGTTTCAGGTTAGAAGAACCACCCATAGCATGGGAATTCCATGTGCCAAGGAAACTGTCTCTCCATGAGGTCTAGTCCATTCCTTGAAATCTCACATTTCTGACTGGCAAACAGGCTTGATGTCTTCCTGCTTTAACGGAAGCACGATAAAATCAGAACAAAGTGGATGGATTTTCTCTTGTCATTTTTATCGCCATACTAGGAAACGTGTGCACTGCTGAATTTCTCCAAATTAGTCTGCTCTTTGAGAAAGATATACAAACAGAAAGGGGGGCTGGAAAGCAAGGATTAGAAAAATAGAGGTATTTCAGAAAATTTGGTGAATACATACATTCACTAAATTTATATATTCATGTATTATGTATTTTTGCTTCTTGGGCTTGTGGATAGCCCAAGAACCAAAACTGATACAGTGCAGGCTACTCTGTAATCAATTTAGGATTAAGGTAAAGGTTTTCCTCTGACATTAAGTCATGTCCGGCTCTGGGGGTTGGTGCTCATCTCAGTTTCTAAGCCGAAGAGCCATCGTTGTCCGTAGACATTTCCAAGGTCATGTGGCCAGCATGAATGCACAGAGCCCCATTACCTTCCCACTGGAGTGGTACCAATTGATCTACTCACATTTGCAAGTTTTCAAACTGCTAGGTTGGCAGAAACTGGGGCTAACAGCGGGAGCTCACGGTGCTCCCCTGATTCGAACCTGCAGCCTTTCAGTTAGCAAGTTCAACAGCTCAGCGATTTAACCCACTGCACCAGAGGGGGTCCTTATTAAATTTACTAATCACTTAAAAATTCAAAACATTGGAGGGCAATTTCAGTTTTGTTCAGGAAAAGAGCATAAGTGAAATTAGTATTTAATTCCTTTCAAAGGATCCCTGAAATAATTACTTTTGGGATACAATTTGTTGGACCCACCAGACAATACAGTGTCACCTACTAGTCACCCTGGCTGGGAAATATGGGAGGAAATAGTGCAGAAAAGCTAATTTCTAGCACTGCAATTTTCATTAAAAGTACACTGCTCCAAAGCTTCAAAGGGGGAAAATGATACAGGTAATTCTTCATTAACCTCAGTTCAAAAAGCTGTATAGAAGAGTTGACATCCTCCTCAGTCACCTAAACCTCTGATCTGATCAGCACCAATCCCTCCTGCAGACAAATAGATACATCACTGTTCACATTAAATTATTTTCGTTTTATTTTAGAGCGTATATACTATTTCCCCAAGGAAAATCTCCAGAATGACAACTAAATTTATATCAAATTAAATTGAATTCTCCAAGATTTAAAAACAAGCAAAAAAGAGAACTGTTTATAAGAAAAACTTCCAACTAAACAGAAGAACAACATACCAATTCTCTGTGGTTTTTTTCAGCAGTCTTCTGAACTTCCTCAAATGCTCTTCCTTACTATTTCTTTTGTTACCCTGTGAAAGCCAGCTTTTTTATTTCCTGCTTTTTCCCTTTTCTCTGTTTTATTTCCTTTCCTTTCATCATCCTCCAATCCAGCCGGGAAAAATGTTGTTTTTATTGGTTGTTGCTGATCTCACAAATAGTTCATGCTATGATGATAGGAGACCCAATGCCAGGAAAACGGGGTCAAAGAATCAGTAAATAGTCGGATGTGTGCCAATGAAGGAAACCAGATGCAGAGAAAGAAAATGGAAGGTTTCACTAATGAGTGTTTTCAATAATGTTGTTTTGCACTCCCCTTCACCTAGGGAATATAACATAGGAAGTTGCCTTATACCCAGTTGGACCATTGGACCATTTAGTTCAGTGTTTCTCAACCTTCCTCATGCCACGACCCCTTAATACAGTTCCTCATGATGTGGTGACCCCAAACCATAACATTATTTTCGTTGCTACTTCACAACTGTCATTTTGCTACTGTTCTGAATCGTAATGTAAATATCTGATATGCAGGATGCATTTTCATTCGCTGGACAAAATTTGGCACAAATACACAATACGCCAAATTGGAAGACTGGTTAGGTTGGGATGGGTGAGGGGATTGATTTTGTCATTTGGGAGTTGTAGTTGCTGGGATTTATTGAAACCTATAATGAAAGAGCATTCTGAACTCTGGGATTTATAGTTATAGTTATTCTCAACTCCATCAACAATGGAATTGAACCAGACTTGGCACAGAGAACCCCCATGACCAATAGAAAATACTGGAAGGATTTGGTGGGCACTGACCTTGAGTTTTGGATTTATAGTTCATCTACATCCAGAGAGCACTGTGGCCTCAAACAAAGGTGGATCTGGAACAAACTTGGCATGGATACTCAGTATGCCCAAATGTGAACACTGATGGAGTTTGGGGGGAAATAGACCTTGACATTTGGGAATTGTAGTTACTGGGATTTATAGTTCACCCACAATCAAAGAGCATTCTGAACCCCACCAATGATATAATTGGGCCAAACTTCTCACACATAACCTCCATGACCAATGGAAAATACTGTGTTTCCTGATGGTCTTTCCTCTGACACCCCCCTCGTGATCCACCTCTCAGGGGTCCTGACCCTCAGGTTGAGAAACACTGATTTAGTTCAATGCTATCTACAGCTGATGTTGAAAGCTGGACCTAAACTTTGTACTTTGTTATAACTAATGAGGACTTTAATGGGTATATGGTAAGTTAACCCTTATACAAGTTCCTATGATTCATTGGATCTATTCTAATAGGGATTAAAGATCAGATTTACACTCTGGCATCCTCTTGAATTGCCAGCATGGTGTAGTGGACAATCATTCTGGAAACCAGGATACAAATCCACTGTGTAATTTATCTTAGGGAACTGAATCTGTGAGTGTATAGATATATTTGCAAGGTTTACTTAACCCTTTTGGTTACACTTTTTCTCTTCCTGCAATTGAATCATTCCCCAGAAATGCTCTTATCCCCATTCCAGGAAAGGACATTAATGATTTCCTTCTAAGGACTGTCACAATTTGGGGTTGAGGTGGAAAACAACTTAGGGAAGAGTTAATGCAACCTAATGTAAAGTTACCACCAATGATCTTATCAAACATGGACATGATACATGCCCCTCCAAAGGTTTAAACTTTAATTTAAAGTCGTAAGCTTAGGGACATAAAATTATGGCTTTCCCATCTTAAACCTGGAAAATGGAGTGAGAGGAGACCGATAGATCTCTTTGGAACACTTCAATATTGTTTGTGTATGAAATTGCTTTTTGCATGACACCTATGTCTATGTTGTCCAGTGTCAGTTCTAACAGCTGCTCCCCGATGCTCTGGGAAGTTTGCAAATCTGACAGGGAGGATGCACAATTGGGCCTCCCAGTTGTCCACCCCTCCCCTCCAAAACTCGAATATTTTAACTTCAGATCCTTGTATCTTTACTTGGCACACAGTACCCCCATGATTAACTAAACATATTGGAGGGTTTGGAGGAACTGATCCATCAGGGTGGGAGTTGTAGTTCACCCTGCATCCAGGGAGCCCTCTGCACTCCACTGATGACAGATCTGGACCACACTTGGCACACAGACACCCCTTCCCGTGACCAACAGAAAATGTTGGAGGTTTGACAGAGAATGGCCCACTAAGGTGGGAGTTGTAGTTCACTCTGCATTAAGAGAGTACTCTGGACCCCACCAACAATCTGGACCACGGAGAATACTGGAAGGGTTTGGTGGAACTGACCCACCACAGTGTAAATCGTAGTTCACTGCATCTGAACCCCACCAATGACAAATCTGGATCACACTTGGCTCACAGACACACACCCTCCTCCACCACCACCAACAGGAAATACTGGAGAGGTTTGGGGGGGGGGGGGACTGACTCAACAGGATGGGAATTGAAGTTCACTCTGCATCCAGAGAACACTCTGAACCCCACCAGTAACAGATCTGGACCACACTTGGTACCCATAAGCTGTGGGTTACACTTAAAAATGTACCTGTTTAAATTTACATACAGATTCAGATTCAGATTAATAATAATAATAATAATAATAATAATAATAATAATAATAATAATCCTCTTTATTTATGTTCTACCCTATCTCCCAGTAGGGATTCAGGGAAGAATTCAAACATAAAAGGCAAACATCCAATGCCCAAACACAACAAAAATATATCCATAGTAATGAAATTTGGCAACCCAACATATAAAAACAAATTATGCCTTAACAACTAAAATTAAATAAAAAACGCAATCTGTTATATCAGACATAAGACTAAACATCGAACAGAAGCATCCATTTCCCAGTTCCTTGGAGCCAAATACGTAGATTGATCATTGCTCAAGATATCTATTGAGCTGGGGGGCAAACAGGGCATGGCTACGGGTGGTAGCTATTAATCAGAGGTATAATGGTAGCATTACTAACTACTCCTCCACCTCCTTCTCATAAGCCAGTGAGCAAACATTTGTATTCAGCTGCTTTTTGAAGCCAGGGAGGGAGGAGGTTAGGAAGGGAGTTCCAGGGGTAGTGGGCAGCAAGGGGATGTCAGAGAGGTTGCAAAAGACCATCAGAAAACATAGTATTTCCTGTTGGTCGTGAGGGTTCTGTGTGGTAAGTTTGGCCAAATTCTGTTGGTGAGGTTCAGAATGCTCTTTGGTTGTAGGTGAATTATAAATCACAGCAACTACAACTCCCAAATGTCAAGGTCTATTTTCCCCAAACCCCACCAGTGTTCACATTTGGGAATACTGATTATCTGTGCCAAGTTTGGTCCATATCCATCATAGTTTGAGTCTACAGTGCTCTCTGAATGTAAGATGAACTACAACTCCAAAACTCAAGGTCAATGCCCACCAAACTGTTCCAGTATTTTCTGTTTTTCATGGGAGTTCCCTGTGCCAAGTTTGGTTCAATTCCATCATTGGTGGAGTTCAGAATGCTCTTTGATTGTGGGTGAACTATAACTCCCAGCAACTACAACTCCCAAATGACAAAATCAATCCTCCTCCCAACCCAAACAGTATTCAAATTTGGGCATATTGGGTATTGTGCCAAATTTGGTCCAGTAAATGAAAATGCATCCTGCACATCAGATATTTACATGACAATTCATAACAGTTGCAAAATTGCAGTTATGAAGTTGTAATGAAAATAATTGTATGGTTGGGGGTCACCACAACATGAGGAACTGCATTAAGGGGTCGCAGCATTAGGAAGGTTGAGAAACACTGCTATAGAACCTATTTTGTCCCTAACTGGTTGACAGCCTGTACAGGAATAACAATAACACATTTCAGCTGAAACAGAGCACAAACATTGCAGAGATGGTCATTTTGGTGTCACCCCTTTAAGGGTGTCACCTGGAGTGGTTTACACACAGGTCTAGTGGAGGAGAAGCGAAGGAAACAAAGAGTAAAAAGAAGAGTGCGTCTACATTGTAGGATTAATGCAGTTGGAAACCACTTTCACTGCCTGGGTTGAAGGCTAAAGGATCCTGGAGGTGTCGTTTTTCAAGCCTTCTCTGCCCAAGAGTGTTGCTGCCTCACCAAACAATTGCCACGATCCCATAGGCTTGAGCCAAGGCAGGGAAAGTGGCGTCAAAACGCATTCCTTGGACCTGGATCTGTACTCACGTCTCCCTGGGGCTCTGTCTCCAGAAGGAACCTGGGTTTCTTTTCCTGGAGAGGGAAGAAAAGAGAGAGAGCCGGGCTTGAACCGGGAGACGCATTCAACCGTCTCCGGCTTACTCCACGGCCTCATTGGGTCTCCTCCCACTTTCCTCGGTCGGGGAAGGGAAGAGACCCAGGGCTCATCTACACGCTATAATCGGTTCAGCTTGACCCTGCTTTAACTGCCAAGGCTCAAGGCTATGGAATCATGAGAGTATTAGTCTACAGCTCGTTTGGAGGGCTCCTGAAGGGTTTGAGGGTTCATTTTACACTTTGTCTTTCTTCCTTGGAGTCTGCAAACTGGGAAGCCCTGGCCCTTGAGCGCTCCAGCTGGAGGTCAGCTGTGACCAGCAGTGCTGTAGAATTTGAAGAGGCATGAATGGAGGGCGAAAGAGAGAAATGTGCCAAGCAGGGCCGTAGCCAGAAAAAAATTTAAGGGAGGGTTGAAAATGGGGGGGGGGGGTGTTGAAAATTTCGGGGGGGGGGGGTTGAAAATTTTGGAGGGGGGTTAGGGTCATGCTGAAGCAAAGAGCACAGCAGGGGGCAGAGCAGCCTTCAATAGCCTGCAGCTCCGCCCCTGTCAACCACCTCCACCAAGTCTGGCCTCCTTAATGAGAGCATTCAACATCCCCCCCCAACTTGGTTGCTTCACTACATCGGCTATTGCTGCAAGTAATGACAGTGTGAATAAATTGTCAATATTTGCTTAAGATAGTGCTTGCAGTTCTGGAGGGACTCTTAATTTTTTGCGTATCATAGACTTAGCATGGGGATTTGGTTAACCAGTTAAAATTCATGAGTAAACCAGGTTTTTTTTAACCTGAAAATTTGGGGGGGGGGGTGAACCCCCCCCCCCCCCCGGCTACAGGCCTGGTTGCCACCCAAGGCCTCATTAAGGCCAACCCCCCCCCCACCCCCCCACCTGGTGCCAAGAGGAAGGCGCATCAAGCCAACCCCGACTGGGACCGCCTTCCACCTGGAAACCAATGCCCTCACTGCAAGAGAACATACATATCAAGAATAGGGCTCCACAGTCACCTATGTACCCACTGCCAGTACACTGATCTTGGAGGACAATCCTACTCAGACAAGGGATCACCTAAGGAAAAAAAAGTCTACAGT